AGCTATAAAAAAAGGCTTTATTGAATTTAATTTAGTTAAAGTAAAACCTCTATTATATATATTATTTAGTACAAGAACATACTTAATTTCTTAAATATTATTACACTCAAAAAATTCTATTTAAATAAATAACTAACAATTTAAATAAGGGTTGTTTTAGCCCCCAAAACCCCCCTTTAAAGTCGCCACTGCCATGCCCAGTGTGTGAGTGCAGTGACGAGGGGTATTTGTGTGAGTGAGCGGCAGGGGTTGTGAACGTGTGTGCGTGCAAGTGTGCGAGAGTTTAAGCTTAAAGCTATTGTACACTTGGTGTGTCGTGTCTGCCTCTCTGCCCCCCTTCCCTCAGCGCCTTTCTTCTCAAATTCTCCATTCCCCATTCTCCACACCCCCAAGCCCAAGCGCAAGTCAGGCCCGGCCCTCCCAGCCCCCCAGTCCTGCCGTCGCTCTTCTTCGCACTCTCCTTCGTCCTCGTCCTCGGCGGCCTGTCGCTGTCCTTTCAGCCAGAGCAGCAAGCAGCCAGGCAGGATGGAACAGCTTAGTGGCCTCATTCAGGACACTCTTCGCAGAATACTCTTAATTCGGATTAGATTTTAAAGAAATATATAAAAATATCTGACAGATCTTTAAGGGGTTCAAAGGATTTATAGTTTGAATTTAATTTAATTTATAGAATAATAAATTTCTTATCTTTAGAAGAAATACAAATAATTATCAGAATATTTAGGTACATACATATGTATATACAAATATATTTCCAAGAAGTCAAGATAGCAAGGTATCAGCATTTTATATATATCTATTGTAGAAAATGCTTCCTGATAAGATAAATACTATTTAATTTTTGTTTACAACAAGTTTGTGTTATCCATCACGTTCTGATATCATAATACTTTAAATTTGAATCCTGGTTAATGTTAGACGGTGCACTTAAAATAAATATTTAGGTAAGATATTGGAACATTAAATAAAAAAATTTAAGTAGAAATTTAAGTAGAAATATCTTCCTTAATTTAAACATACAAGAAAAGAACATATTTTATAAAGTTTAAAAGCACCTTAAGCCATATTTTTGAGGTATTTCTTACTATATAAATTTCCTTTTTAAAGTAAATTTTATATTTATAATAAATAATAATTTTATACAAAGTCATTTCATTTTTAAAAATATTTTAAAAATATATTTCTCCATATCAGCTTTTCTGTTTCTTTTCAGTTCTTCCTCTCTTACAAGTTAAAGGTGCCTTCCCTTGGACATAGAGTATCTTCACTAACGTTGCCTTTGCTGTTGCCAGTGTCGCCATCACCATCGCCATCGTAGTGAGCCAGCTGCCTTTGCCTCTGCCTTGTCCCCTTGGACTTACTCCGGCACCATTGCCGCCGCCTGCCCCATCCTGCCGAGCTGTGGAGCTGTCTCCCTGGTTATGTCCCAGGTCCTACGCTTTTGCCAACGCATTTTTGTTTTGTTTATAGCGCAAGTTATGCGGGCGCCAAGGAGGAGAAATCGAGAGGCGAGAGCCCAGCAGAAGAGATGCCGTTGAGGGCGGGACGAAGAATGCCTCTTGGTGCTCGACACATGCCGACAGGTATCGAAAATGTTACCCCGAAATGCAGCTTTTGGATGGTAAAAATGAAACTGAAAAACGAAAGAATTGAAGCTGGCGGCGGCACAAAGTTTCGTAGGCAAAAGTTGTTCTTTAAGCTGACTTCGAATCCACCTGACGTCAGACAGCACGCCGGAAGAACCAACAGCAGTGGAGCAATCGCACCCCCTAAAACAGCGCCCAAGCCGCCACCCCGCGTGCCGCTAACTTACAGCCCCCCGCCTTCGTCCTTTTCCCTGCTTGTGCTTCTGCTACTTTTTCCCCGGCACACGCACCTTTACACATTTTTCCACTTCCTTTTCATTTCTCCGCTGGGCTTGGGCTTGGGCTTGGGCTCGGGCTCGGGACTCTGGCTCTCGGGCCAAATGAAAAATTGCACACGCGGGAATTTGATTTTAACATGAGAAATAAACACAATGAAGCTGACGGCCCAAACGGGGGCAGGGCCGCCCAAGGAGAGGGGAAAAGACCCAAGGGGGTGGTAGCAGCGGCAGTGACACTGCGAATGTCGTACATTCCTTGCCTCTTTGGAAAAACTTTAATTTTCAACTTTAATTAAGGAGAGAACATAAGGCATTTAATGGGGGTCTGGTTTTGCTTAGAAATTGTTGAAGAGTTTGTTTTTTTAATAGTACAAGGTCTGGAAACGCCAATGAAAATAGGAAAGAGGAGTTAAAAAGGATAAACTATTAAATGCAAGGACTGAAGGTTTGAAATCATCAAGGTTAGGCCAAGCTGGGATCTGGGTTTTATTTTAATGTAAACTGTGATTATATTATGGTCTTACTTGGTCTTAAAAAATGATATATTCAAGTAATTGAAATTTATTTATAAATCCTAATCAAAATACTTGTGGAGAAAGTCCCTTAGTAGCTTTTGTTAAATATAATGAAACCACAAATTTTACTTAGTAAACAATGGAAATAAAACGGTTCATTAGAACTTAAAATAACTCATTTAAAAATAAATCATCTTCTTGTGAATATCTAATCGGCTTTAATGATTAATATCATAATGTATTGCCTAAAACTTATAATTCACCTTATCTTAATTAATAACTTATTTAATAACATACTTAAAATGCCATCTTAAAGCCTTTTAAATATATCCAGCAGTTCAATTTAAATTTCCAATGATTTATTTGCACAGACGCTAATGGGTGATGAATAATAATTTCTTGGTGCATAAAATTCGACGTGCTGTGGCACATTTGAAACAGATAAGCGCCACCCCCGCCCACGTTTAGCAGGCACCCTTCTCTCTCTTTGTGTCCTCTATCATCCAATCCTTTTTAGGTCTGCCACCCCTTTTTCAGGATAGATTGTGTGTGTTTTACATTGGTCCACATTCCTTGCCTAATGCTGGAATTTCAATTTTAAAGACTGAACTTGATTACCACGGGGGATGAGGCTGGATGGTGGTATGGCAGGAGACTACTCCTCGTACACCAAGGGTAGTTGTCTCCCATTGTCTCGCGCATGAGTTGGCCCAAAAGTAACTCTAACTCGCAAGGATCAAAGTGACATAAGTTCGCCGTTCTTCGACTGTGCCTTCTCGTGTTCATCTTCATCTTCGGCTCCAATTTATTTAATGCCAGCAAAAGTTTTTAATGTAATTAAAATGGCTAAGGCCTAAAGAGTGTTTAAAACCTGAGAGATATCGCAGCTTTAAGCGGGGATTTGCCCCTATGCTTTCCCCCCCGCCCCGTTGGTGTTAGATAACTCACACGCACACACGTACCGATTGGCATACACGTGCGCTCTGTGCCATAAAGTGCTCAAGTTACTTGCGGGGATTACCAGTGGCACCACCACCCACACCTCTAATCCTGCTCAGCACTTCCTACTCTTGGCCAGGCGATCCTCGGGCCGGACAACGCGGCGTATGCGTCATGTGAAAGCAATGCCCGGCAGCCGCAAGGAGTTTTAACATTTTCCAAATACTGCAACGCCTTTCTTTCTTTCTTTCTTTATTTTTTTTTACTTTTTTGTATTTAGCCCAAGCAAAACGAGAATTTCCAACTACACACAAGGACGAGGGACGGGGAGGTAGGGCGCTGGGTGGCACAGGATGTGCGGACGGTCGCACAGATGAGGCGGAAGCATGGACAAACAAACGGATAAGAAGGCGGGGAGGGCCACGAAGGACGAATGGGAAAAAGGACGAGGAGCTGCCGGAGCTGGAGCCACGAGAACGAAGCGCACATGGAAGATAAGCGCACAGAGTGTGGCGCTGATAACGCAGGTCCTGCTGCTGCTGCCTGTGGGGCAAAATGGAAGAAGAGGGCGAGCACGGGTGGAAGGGAGGTCCTGCGAATTTTAACATTTTAGAGAAAATACGAACGGGAGATATTCCGAACGTTGGGCTAGAAGTCTGAAGCGAATTGTGTGAGCTTTTCGCGAGGGGAAGGAATTCGCTTTGTGTCTGTGTGTAAGCACAGTGGAGCCTGTATTTAAAGAATAAATTTAAGAACTTGAAGTTTATTTTTAAAGCATCCACAAACTTATATAACTCAGCTACTCTTGGATCTTACATTGTTGTAATGTTCCATAAAACAAAATCAAATATTAATAAATGGAGAAGTTTTTCTTTTGATATAAAGCCTTATTAACTCCTTACAATCTTATTTACAACAAATTGAAGAAGCAGAGCATTTTTTTGATAACCTTTTACTAATTTACATAAGCTTTAAACTCGCTTTATGACAATTTAAGCCTAAAGTCAAACTGCAACCGTTTGAAATGTACACTATTTGCCTAAGTTCTCTGGAAAAAACTGCGTATATTTGAACATATTGCGTTGCGACAGCCGAGGGGTTGATTGTAAAGAAGTTGGACTGTGGCAGCATTGCTGGAACGAAACAATTTGTAATTTATTTGCGAAGCGTGCGATGTGCTGCTCCGGCTCTGTGCGAAAAGTTGAGGCAGCTGCCAAAGGCGTAGCCATCGACCAGAGACAGTGGCTCCGGTCTTCCCGAAACAGAAACAGAGACTCTGGTGTGATCTAAGGCCCGAAAATTCGAGGCTGGGAGCACGCGTAAGCAGATACTCAGCTACAGATACAGATGATGTCGCCCCCATCCAAGCAGAACTCGCACAAACACACACACACACATATATTCGTATAGACAAAGGGAGGGAAAGGCAATGCGTGGGTGGTCCTGGTGGAAGAGATGGGGGATGAGGGGGATGGGAGGATGTGCTGGCATCCCAGCGAGGGTGGCTCGCCTTGCCTGCGCTCCTTTGCTCTTTAAAGACCTTTAAACTTTAAGCCGAATGTCAGCCATAAAAAGAATCAAAAATAAAAGTTGGCAGCCAGCAGAAAGTTTAGCAAGTTGGATAAGCGCAAATAAAAAGAATTAAACTCAACTCTGGGCAGTAGCAGAAGAGAAGACAACGATTTGGAATAGCATTTTCGAAATTTATTTAATGTATTTTATAATGCTTTAAAAGTTGATGCTTTACAATTTGAATTTAAGTTTTAACTATCTGTGGTTTGGGGTGGCTTTAATTGCGTTAGCTTAAGTTTCCGTTTTTGTTGCTGCTGATTAATGCAAACTGTTGATATTAATTGTTAATGTTTAATGTTTGAAGTTTGGTGTGTCTATTGGAAGTTATTTCATTGACTACAGTCGGCAGTTTTGAGTATTGTTTGTGTATTAGGTGACCTCGTGTGTGTCAGTGTGTGTGTGTGGCTAAATAATCTATCTCAAAATACAAATATCAAGCACATTATAAACCATTATATCATTTATCCAATATTAAATACAATCGTTCATATCAAAAATCTGTTTGTTTTGTTTGCTAAGTAATTATTTCTATGGTGGAAGAGCCTTTAAGCTCTGCTAAGTACAAAATTCACTTTTTGCGAGTTCGAGTATTCGTCTATTGTTTTGTTTTTATGTTTAGCTTGGATCAACTCCTCGGGTGAAAACCAAATGAAAGTCGGACTCGGGCTTGGTAACGCTTAATCAGTCTTGTGTATAAACAAATTAAAATTAGCAAATTGTCTACAACCAAGCAAAGGCTCTCTTCACCTCGTACTCCCTTTCATTCTCTCACATCTTTCTTCGTTGTCAAGCAGCATTGTCTAGTAGGTAGTAGGACATAAAAAAAAACATAGATTAAAAACTACAAGTTACACAAACCATTTGGAGTTGGGAGTCGCTGCTAGTGGGAACATTGAGATTTGCTTGTACTTAGGTAAACCATATTTTAATTCGACACTTACGAAACAAATGATATCTTTGTTGGACATGTACATAGAGTTGCCTTCTTCTCATCAATAAATTAGGAATTAGAATTAGAATTATAGTAGCTGGATTACAATTACAACTAAAATTACAATAAGAGACAGAGATATTCATGGGGGAACGGAACTCATCATGCATCGGTATGTACAGGGTTTCTAGCGCATTTCAAAGATTGGATACTGGAGAGCGTCGTGTAAATGCAATCGACTCGTCGCTTCGCTTCTCTTCGCTTCTTGGCCTGGGCTGGAAGTCATGAACGTTTTTGAGGGGCGGGGCTTGGCGCATGCTGCTTCTGCTGCTGCTGCTTTGAACGTGGCCTAATACTTGATAACTTAAATGGATTTCGATTTACAATTGTTTTCCGTTTTGCGCCGGCGGCCTAACACTTAGAATTTACAACTTGTAACAGGGAATCGAGACCGAAACCGGGATCGGGGACCGTAGAGCAGCAGGACTCGGATCCACAGAGCTCTGGGTCTGGCTCTGGGTGTGCCTGGGGCTGGGGGGCCGAGGCCACGGATGATCCTCCCTCTAGCTCCGGCTATCGTTGCTTTCGCTGAAGCTCTGCTCGCTGGACTCCCGCCGGCTGCTCACTGGCTTGGCCTTGTACTCTGTAATGAATACGGTCACCGAATTGACCGTTACCTCGCGCGTTTGTGCTGTGGATCGATCCACGTTCTTCAATCGGGCGGGATAACGTTTATGTCGCTGCCTGCCATGCCCGCTGCCATGTCGCGATCCCGAGGCGGACTTCCCATTGGGCATATTGCCACTGGCTCCCGGCAATGTGGCGGCCTGCTGGGCGACTAGCGCTGAGTTCAGGCGCGGCTTGCGCGTGGAGGTGCCTGGGAAAGAAGGATAAAAGTTAGAACGGGGTTTCCTTTTAAATATAATAAAATACCAATTAGAGAGGTTTTTAGGGTAAACAACACCTGAACCTAAGCCATTTGAATTATTTATCTTTTGTAAACACTCAAAAATCCGTAACGAAATCAATCGAATTGGCCACACAGAGATTGGCGATAACGAAAACCGGAACGACGGGGACTGCGGGTGAATCGAGGTCACTCACCTTTCCGCACGTCGCACACTTGACACTTGAAGGCCTCCGCCGAGTTTCTGTAGGTGCAAACGCTGCAGTCCCAAAAGTTCTCCTCGATCACCTTCGCCTGCCGCTTTTGTCGTCGCACCGGCGAGGATTTCTTGTCCATAATTCGTGGGGGGGCAGGCGCTTTCCGTTCGGCGGGGGCGCGCTGATTTGCAGCTGTATGCCGAAGAGAGTTTTTCCTTTACGTGTTTTCCCCTGCCGCCGCTGGTGTCCCTCTGCTGGGCGATGCTGCTGCTGCTGCCGTTGTTGTGTGCTGCTGTGTTGCTCCCACGCCCACACAGACACACGCACACTCGCACGCACGCTCGACGGTGGCTTAGAGGTTTATAGTGCTTTTCGCAAACATTTGGTTGCTTAATTTTAGCGTTTTCGGTGGCTTTTTGTTGTGAAAAAAACTTTCTGCACAATGTTGCCAAATGAAAATGATGGCTTCCTACCTAAAAAATCTCAAGAACCCGGAAAATGCCCGCTTTCGCGGCTGCTGGGCACACTAAAACGCTGAAACGGGCGGTCTGGTAGCACTGGTCGCTAATGAACGCGCGGTCTGGTAGAAACGTTTAGATTTAAACGATCTGGCAACTCTGTGACATTATTAGCCGCCAAAACTAATTTGAAATCATCTTCTGTTTTGTCTTTGCTTTTTGAAGCGTTGCTTACGCCCACGCTTTTATTTTTATTAGGAAGCTAAAGGCCAGCCACGAAGGTAAGCAGATGCTTTTGTTTATGTTTATTATAGTGATTATTGATTGGTAGAAACTAAGGAAATGATGCCAAATGCCAAATGCTTTAGTTTTTCTTGTTTGCTTAGCTTCTTTTTTAGCCAAAGGTTACTGTACAATCTTAATTTATGCGGTTGAGAAGCATCAGCTGATTTGCGTGTGTAAATAACATCTTTAAGTTGTATATTATTATTTTATCTAGCCACCAGATCACATCTTATCTTAGTCTTATATTCATCTTCTCCCTTTTGGCTCGTAGGAACCCAGGAAAGTGTTGCATTTTCGACAGTAATGATTGGCAGTGCGGCAACTATTCATGCAGTAGGGAACAAAACAAGCACAGCAGCACCAGCTAAAAATATAAAATAATATTTGTAGAGTAAATAGAATATTTAGATGGTTTTACGATTTTAAATATATAACATTATAACATTATAACATGTTAAAACTTATTTAAAATCTTCAAATACATTTTTCCAAAAATTGTTCTTAAATAACAAGGCTTTTGTTTAATTCTTGTTTAATTTATAAATTAAATTTCAACGTTTTCTGTTAGAAATGTTGAAAAACAAAAATAAGTTTATAGTTCCCCTAAAAGTAAAAAAAAATGACTCAACTTTCAAACAAATATTTTACCAAAATCAAAAATCAGTTTAAGATGAATCTTCAAAATCTATTTAATCTATGACTAATTGTGGACCTTATTGATAAGAAAGTGTGCTAATTAATGACCATTCAGCAGATTTTATATTTATATTTCTGGAGCTATCTCCCATTATTACTCACCCAACTAGGCAGAGCAGACCTGCTCCCATGTGGGTCCTATTGTTGGCAGTAAAGGTCATCCTGGTGGTTTTCTGGGCCCCACAGGCAGGACACAGCACCCTGCTTCTATTTGGACCTAAATTCAGAGCATCTGCAAGCAATCCGAATGACGTAAGTTAATAGTTTTGATAGTAACTGCACACAAACACAAACACTCACCTGGTGTCTGCACCACTGTAGGCGGCAGCTGTGGGCCTGGCTGCTCCACCACAATAACTGGCTGCGATTGTGGGGCAACCATTGGAACGGCGGGAGCTGGCAGCGCTGGAACGGCCACCGCCACATCGTAGGACGGAGGAGCCTCCACGGGCTGGCCCATGGGATAGGGCAACTCCCGAGTTGGCGGTGGCGTCGGTGAAGGTGCACTCGGGGAGTTGAAGTCCACCTGGGGATAGAGCATGGCTCGCTTCTGGTCCATCTTTTCTGGGATGAAGTGACTCGTAGCTTTTAGAAACTAATCCAAGAAACCCTCGTCGGTGCAAGGTTCAGGTATTTTGGGTTTTCTTTTTTTTTGTACTTCTGTTCGTAATGAGTAAGAGATTCCGGTTTTGTTTACTTTGCGTATTTACAACTCGATTCGGCGTCTTTTGCACTTCGCTCGCCGCTCGCAACTGCCAGTGGATTCGGATTCAGACTAAGATTCGGACTCCGATTCAACAAGTTTTCAAACTCGATGATCTGAGCGAGCTTGAAAAAGCTCTGCGCATGTTGAGCAATCATTTGGCGTTGCAAAACCGAAAGTATCTTTCGGATCGTGTGTTTTGCAGAGCTTTATCTTTAGGCACACAATGACAATCGTTGTTTGTCCAACTTATCACACGTAAGAGAAGAGGATGTCCGTTATAAGTTTGGCTACAGATAGAGCATTTTAGGTACATAGAAATATCTAAAAATAATGTAAAGCTGCGGGTAAATAATTGCAATGTTTTTCAAGAGACCTTGAAAATAATACAATAAAAAACTAAAATATAGAACTAAAGTGAGGCCTAAGTTTCAAATTAGGCTGAGAGTTAAGAAACTGACAGCTGAACTTCAAATTTATAATGCTAACAATAAGGAAAATTTAAATAAGAAACCAAGCTTTTCCCCGATCTTTTGAAAGCTTAATGATATGAAACCAATACAATATATATTATCCAGAACAGCTGTCTTGTGTTGTAGGAAGAAAAGGTGAAAAGCTGCGCCCGAACATCAACTTAGATTGATGTGTTTTCCTCAATTAATCTTGTAAGAGAATTTAAGAGAGCTTTCAGCTCGAAGCTGAGATTCTTTTGAATCTTTCGGATTAGTTAGATCAGAGAAAGATACGCAAAAGCGGAGAATTTAAATAGAATTTAAATACCAAACAAAATGGATTTAATTCCTTATTTTTTGCTGCTAATACCCGCTCTTGCTCTGGGTATTAAAGCTTCAGATGTCGATGAGGACTACACCGAGGAGACCAATGCAGATCGCAGGGAAGTTCATCTGGACAGATGCAGTAACCTGACAGAGAAGGAGCTTCCAGCTGACCTCCATACCTTGGCTTTAAGGAAGTGTTCGTTGACCAATCTCGCTGCGATCGACTTTAATGCGGTGGCCAATCTCAGTGTATTACAGTTGCGAGGCGGAAACCTATATATTCTGAAAAGGGAGCTCGTCCCCAAGCTGCCTCATCTGCAGATTCTCGAGCTGCAAGATAACCGCATATCTGATATTTTCTTTGGTACCTTCGAGGGACTCTCCCAACTAAGGATGCTCGCTTTGAACCAAAATCTATTGGACCTTTTGAACGGGAGTGTGTTCAGGCCTCTGCCGGAGCTGCGACACCTTGACCTAAGTGCCAATCATTTGATCGGTCTGTCGACATTGATGTTTACTGGCAACCCAAAGCTGGAGGTATTGCTCCTCAGGGGTAATCCCTTTCTCGTGCTGTGGCTCACAACATTTATGGCTCTGAAGAATCTGGTTCTCCTGGACCTACGTAGCTCTGGCAGATACACGGACTTGGAGCTCTTTAGTGCCGAGACAATAATCCTGAATAACAACAAGATATCTCGACTTGAGGTTATGGGTGAAGTTAGCAAATTGCAGGCCCCAAACAATGAGCTGGAGCATGTCCGGCTGGAGGAGAAGGCTCCCGTCATCGAACTGGATCTGCATGGCAACAAACTGGACACCTATGATCTCTCCGAACTACTCAGGGGCATGTGGAGACTTCAAATCCTTGATATTTCCCAAAACTTCGTCAAGGAGCTTCCTGTTCTCAAGCCTCGCCTTTCGGAGGTCTTTCTTCTACCCAATCTGAAATTTGTGAACTTGTCTCGTAATCAACTAGAGCACCTGTATCAGGACTCACCGCTGCTGTCCCCCAGTCTCACCCACTTGGATGTGTCCTACAACAGGATTGATGGCATAGAGGCGCATACCTTTGGTATGGTGGAGAATCTTCAGTACCTGTACCTTCAGGGCAACCTCATCAAGAGCTTTAGACCAGAACTATTTTGCAACCAAAAACGAGGTCTTAAGGAAGTGGCCCTCTACAATAATCCCATCGCCCTCAACAAATTCTGCCAGATCGTGAAGTACCTTGAGGAGAATGGTGTTCACGTATTAGAGAAGGTTTCCCTGGCTCCCCACTGCGAGCGAGAATCTTTAAAAAATCATATTTTCGATACTGAAGCATTTCAGCCTAACCAAGATCTTCTCACATCACAGAAATGGAGCACATGGAATGCCTTGATCCTTTTAGGTCTTTTGGCATCCTTGGCCCTTGATGTGTTCCTTATCCTGCAGCTTCGACGCTATCGAGTTCAAAGATACTGGCGGAAAAACCGATCCTCTAGAGTTAAAGCCATGTTTGTGAAATCTGAAGGCTCTGAAATATTCATTTAACATTTTAAACCGTATTCTCGGTAATTTTTGTAAACGAATAAATGATTAAGGCGTGACAATAAAAAATATATTTGATTAGTTTTTAATTTATAATTGATATTTTTATTTTATTTGTTTTGTTTATGGAAAAATAATTGTAAAAAAATAATAATAATTAAATGTATTGCAAAACAAGAAAAAAAGCTAACTTTGGCCAGCAGGTAACAATTAAAATATATCATAACTAAGCCAAAAATGCATTAATTTCGATTCGGAAAGCAGTTTTGTGTTAGTTTTAATTAACTTAAAAAAACTGCATACCAAATTTAAAATTTTAAGAAATCAAAAATTTTGGCCATTTTTGCTAATTTTAATGATGTAACCCCTTATCAAATTTTGCAAAAATGGCCAAAAAATCGATTTCTTCCGGACATGTCTAGAAAGATTCCCCTGTTGATGCTGATCAAGAATATATATACTTTATAGGGTCGGAAACGTCTCCTTCACTGCGTTGCAAACTTCTGACTGAAATTACAAGGGTATAAAAATATATTTGGAGACGTGGAAGTTTATTTATAAATTACAATATAGTATATATGTACCTCCTTACGACTTGCTTAATACGTATTGTAAAATTTTCCAATATTTTTTTAAAATCTATAATTTGTATTTAATATTATCGATCTATTGTATTCTCTGTCAGTATTTTTATACCCTTGCAGGGTATTATAATTTCAGTCAGAAGTTTGCAACGCAGTGAAGGAGACGTTTCCGACCCTATAAAGTATATATATTCTTGATCAGCATCAACAGCCGAGTCGATCTAGCCATGTCCGTCTGTCCGTCCGTCTGTCCGTCTGTCCGTCCGTCTGTCCGTCTGTCCGTTTCTACGCAAACTAGTCCCTCAGTTTTAAAGCTATCTCAATGAAACTTTGCATATAGTCTTCTATATACTCTCACTGCTATATATGTCGGAACGGGCCGGATCGAACGACTATATCGTATAGCTGCCATACAAATGTTCGATAAATTTTTAGAAAAAAAATTATAACTTGGCTGTTTTCCAAAATTTTTGCATCATTTTTGGGATATGGCCATTTTATATTATTCCAGAATTTTGGTAAAAATTTTATGAAAATCGGACGACTATATCTTATAGCTGCCATAGGAACGATCGGGAAATTAATAGAAAAAAAATTATAGATTCGTTGTTTTTCAACGTATTTTCATCTACTCCGGGATATAAGCTTAATTTATTATTATAGAATTTTGGTATAAATTTCAAAAAAATCGGACAACTATATCATATAGCTGCCATATAAACCGATCGGTAGATGTAGAGAAAATGTAAAGCTGGGAATGCAAAACTGTAACTGTCAAACTGTAAACATAATAAGTATAGGTAAAATGTATTGAAATAATATCTGCAAGGGTATACAAACTTCGGCGTGCCGAAGTTAGCTTCCTTTCTTGTTTAAGGTCACTTTAGATTGCATTCTGCGTGTAGAGCTTTTTGGCAAAAATTAGTAATAAGAAAGAGCGAAATCAGGGCGACAACAAAGAATAAAATATACCATCGATTTCGTCAGGCAAATCAAAGACAGGTAAGAGATCTTGATCGACTATACAACTTCCAAATGAATAGCCATTATCCTTTATTTCAAATTCTCTCCCAAAGCAATATGGGAAATATTATCTATTCACCGCCTCCCTTGTGTTTTCCCTCGCCCGATGATGATGATGATTCCCATTTGAGTTCACGTCCTTTTCCACCTGTCAAGGTGGAGATTTCGGCTCAAATACAGGTTAAAGTTGAAATGGAAATATGAACGAGAATTCAAAAGGACGTCTTAAATGTATTAGTTTCTTCTAAATTGATGTATTGTTCCAACTGTCTTTTCATGTGAATCCCCTATTTCAGATAATAATCCATTAAAAGCAATAAAACTGATAAACGAACCCGAATTCTTGATTACAAAAACTCATTTCTTAAACCACACTGGCTGAAGCCTTTGCAATATGATTGTTTTTTAGGCCATTTATTAACTAATTACAAGAAAATGTGTAAACATGAATGGAGCGACAAGACGATGCCGAAACCCTCATCCGCAGCTCACTTGCGGTTGTAAGTGCCCAGGTAACGATCGCACATGCCACAGTAGTGATTCGTGTTCATGCAACTGGAAATGCAGTACGGCAGGCACACGCAGCAGTACAACCTGTAAAAGGAAATAGATAATGAAATATTAGTCATAGAGGAAATGGGGAATACACTGGGGAAAAGAATCTTTGAGGTGCACAAAAATTTTAAATTAAAAAGTATTACTTTATATCTCTGTATAGATAAATCCTATAGTAGAAATTTGTACTATTCTTTATTAATTCTTTTTTTCTTATTTCTTTTCGTTATTTATTTATTTATTTGTAGATTTTACTATACCTATACACATAATAGTATATATGTATTTCTTAATAAATCATATCTCCTGCTCCCATTTCCAGTTCCAATAAACTTATGTGAAATACCGAACAAGGTCGACAGTCAAATGACAAAATACCTCTAGTGTTTGCCATATCGACTTTATTTATATCAATCACTCTAATTATTGAACTTGCCACGAATTCCACATTATTCCTAAAGGTAAACACACGATTCATTCACCGGAATTACAATGGCATTGTGAGAAATTGGAACAAAGGAACAAAATTTCTGATTATTTTAATATTTTTTTAAATAAATAGCCATATTCTTATCATATTTTGAATATACGGAATATACAAAATATTCTATTTAATTTAATATTTAACAAAACTAATTAAAAGCTCATCAAATGAAGCAAATTATCATAATTATATTTCTCAAATTAAAAATGAATCTTATAATATTTTCTTTAAAATCCTAATTTCCCTTTAAACTCAATTTAAGAAAACACTAATTTCATACAAGTATTTTGTTCAGTGTTTATGAAACACTAAAGGCGATAGCCGAGTTACTCACTGGAAGAGGCACAGAATCAAGGCTATCAGGTGGGTGCGCGAGTTGGGCTTGTAGGAGATCCGGGTCCGGGCGTAGTTGTGGCAATACGGACACTGGATATCCATGGGTTCTGGGCCGTAGGGCGAGCTGGGCACCACCACCACTGTGTGGTGGGTGGTAGTGGTTGTTGTTGCTGGAGTTGCTCCCTGTCCCGGTCCCGTGGTCTCTGCCGGAGTGGCTGTGGCCTGGTCATAGCTTGGCGGTGCCGGTGGCGTCAACAGCTGCTGATGCTCCGGCGAGGCAGGATGGGCCTCCACATCTCCAGAGCCCTTGGGCGCCTCCAAAGGTGCAGCCGGATACACTTTCTCCATATTGTTAGTGGTAGTTTCTGGGTGTGTGAATCGCTGGAAAATGACTCAAGGGAATGCCGTGGAAAAAAAAAGAACGCCCGTATCGCATTTATGGTCTTATCAACTAAAGCCAAAAGCTCGCAGCGGCCCGACTGTTTACCTGCTGCGGAGCGAATTTGGTTCGTCTGTCGACACCTGATCAAAAATGTTCGCTTTCCCGGTGATTGGTATTTGTCTGGAGGTGGTGATAGGTTCGATGAGGTTCGGGTACGGTTTCGGTTTCGGTTTTGGTTCGTCTTTGGCTGGTTGTGTTTACTCCGAGATACTACTCGTGCTGCTAGTCGCTGCTGTAGACACCTACGAACTTGTTGCAATTGCCGCAAAAGTGATTCGCATTCATGCAGCTGGGCCAGCAGTAGGGCAAACATACGCAACACCAGAGGCTGTTTTGGGGATATTTCCGTTACCGATTAGATAAGGTGGAACGATGATAAGAGATCCCAAGATCTCCAGACTCTCATATCTTACCCCACAAAGCAGATGAGGGCGGCCATGCAGTGGGTTTTCACACTGGGCGAATACTCCACGCGGGTCAGCTTCTGGACATGACAGTGCGGACACATGACAAAGCTGGGATCGGGGCCCACAGGAGGTCCAGATTGGTCTGCAAATTGGGGTAAATATTAGACAGGAAAATAAGAGGTTTTTAAAGGAATTTCCTAGTGTGGCTTGAACCTTTATTGTTCTTAATCAAACGAAAATTCTTAGCTTTTAACAAAAAAAAAAAAAAAAAAATCTCTATAATTCTATACTAAGTTCAGCACTTTCCAGTGTATTTAAATTATAATATATGCCAAACCCACGTTGTATGATCACCACCGGAGGTGGTACTGCGCCGTGAACCACTCGTACTGGCGCCTGGACATGCACCACCTGCTCGTAGCTCGGTGGTTGCGATTGGTAGGGATAGCCCGTCGGACCCGCCGGCGGTTGGTTGTACTGCATCTTTCTCTAGCAAACCGATGACTAACCGAAACTAAGGCCGGGCCTCGAATTTTCGTCACAAATCGCTGTTGCTGTTGCTATTGTAGTTGCAACATTGCTGCTGCTGCTGATGTGTGTTGCTGGCAACAAAAGCTCTTTGAAGAGCCAGCTTTTCGGCTTATCTAGATATAATCAACAATACATAAGTATTTATTTACGTAGTTACTTAGCAGGTTGAACAACTCAATTAGGAAATGAAAAATGAAAGTGCAAGAAACTACCAAAAATAGTTTTTTAATTATGTATTTATTTTTAAATTATTTTGGTAGCCTATTTATTATATTTTAAGTGTATTATCTTGTTTAATTATTTTAGATTGCCAAACAAAAGTTGATTCAATGCATTGAGTACATTCTTTTTCATTTACTCTTTATTAAATATTCCAAAACACTGTTATAAGTTATTCATTATTTTACATAGTATTCAAAACATATAAATCTTTATAATTTTCACTTTTACAAGCCTTATTTTTTCTCTCTGTAAAGCTCAAAGCTTAAGGGACCCAAAGTTCGCTCTCATTATTACATTGCTTTGACTCAATACTTTTGAGTAATCAACAGGCAGAAAATGCAACAGCTGATAAAAAGCTGATACTGCAATTATTTTTATGTATTTGTTAATATTTTTTCATGGCTAATTTCCCCTCCAGTTGCATTTACGACACCTGTACTCTATTTTATACATGCCCACCGGACAATATCGGCGACAGCAAAAAAGAGCCCTAAAAGGAAGAAAAGAGTGCATTGAAAAAATAAATATTTAAAAAATATATAGTTTTATAATTCACCCGAAATCCATCTTAAGCTTCTTGATGCGCGATATAGTCAAGTATCTTTTGCGAATCAAAGGTCCGCTATCGCAGTGGGGACAGCTCTCAGACATTGCAACTTCTTATTGTTGCAAGCTCTGTTTACGCACTGAGATGAATTTTCTTTTTTAAAGACTAAAACTTGCTATATATGTACTTATATATATGAATCATGAAAGCTTATCTTATTATGTATGCTGCAATAAACGGAGTCGAATGCGAAATAAATGCAATTTCTTCAAGATAATAGGGATACCCTTTTAGAAATATAAAGTTTGCTTGAACATTTAACTTTTGGGCTTATGATTTATGCTGAAATGCATTAGTTTTTCATCAAACTTTTGTATTGTGGAATATATACAATCAAGTCTATATTACATACAAAATCCGAAAGGTATACAAATGATATGATACAATATAAATAAAACTATGATGTAAAACAGGGTAATTAAAAGTTGTTTCCTGTTGTATTTTAATTTCTGCTATTTAGCAAGACATGCAATTTGCTCGGAAATTCTAATGAATCTGGAAAATGCACATATAGATTCTGTGAAATCAATTCATGGCACACACATACCAACTAAACTAATTAAAAAAGTTTATATATATAACTGAAATAGTTAAAATAAACATTAGTTCTTGAAATCTTTATTTACATTTTAAAATATTTGTAATATACAAGATTGATCATAATTAATTAAAACAGTTAATTCGAATACACTGGGATACATAATTATAAAATACATTAACTATAATTTTTGGCATTCATGAATAATCACAATTTTGATTTGACTTATCTCCTAGTCTTGATTTCAGCACTTAATTAATTTGTTTACTGCTCCAAGGGCTTGCCAAAACAATTTAGAGAGCTGCAATTTTGATATATAATATTTAAAAATAAAACAAACTATAAAAATACCACTGAACCCACCGCAGATTAAACAAGACTCTTCGATACCAAGATAGTTTGAAGTCATCAGAGATAAGAGATCCTTCCGAGGACCCTTTTTTTGGGTTATCCCTTGGAATTTCTGGGTCTGGTTCACTCAGATTTCTGTAGACCTCTGGAGATCGCTTTGTATCCTTTTGTCTGCCTTTGGTCGACATCTTTTAGGTACTAGTCGTAAGCTCTACTTGTTTATTTCCGCTCAAGTCTGCCTTCCGAAATTCTGAGAATAATACAAGCCCAGCTGATAAGCTCGAGTCGTTATCAAGCGCTTTATTTTTTGATGAGCTTATGATGGAATGCAATGCGCATTTATGAAATAAATATATATATTTTCATACTTGGGCAATGAAATCGAAATCTAAAGTATATATTTCGGTCTTCTAGGCAACAAAGCTTTGGTTTCAGCGATAATGTTTTATACTTTCTAATATTCTTATCAATTTCATTTTATTTTAATCATATGTCTACATAAAAATCCCCTAAGTCCAGCTTCTTCACTTGATTATTTTTATTTGAATGTTTCATTATGGTGCACATATACATATATAAATAACATTTATTATTTATTCATATTGATAAATTCCATAAAACAAACATTTTCTGCCCCTCAACTGTATTTCTTCGGTGAGAATATATATTTTGTCTGTGTCAAATTGGGAGGATTCCCATTTTTAGATTCGTTTTAAAAACATTAATTGTTGTAGGTGCCCACATAAGCTCCACAGGCACTGCAGGTGTGATTTGCCGACTGGCAGGAGTCGGTGCAGTAGGGAATGCAGCAGCAGCAGATTCCTCTGTGGGAGAGTAAGATTAGTCCAGGATTCTAGGATTACCAATCAAATACGTACCCAATCAAGCAGATTAGCAAGGCCAGCAAATGGGTCTTGGTACTGGGCTGAAAGTTTACATTAGTTTGCCGACGAGCTCCACAGCTGGGACAGGTGGCCATGCAGGGAACTCCACCCAAAATATTGGCCTGAGGTGCTGGATAGAGGAAAGGGGAATTTTAATTAATTTTGTAAATTAAGAAATGTATATTTTCTGCTGTTATTTTGTCAGGTTTCAATACAAAATTATTTAAAACGTATTATAAAAGATTTAAAAATGGCATGAAAGCGTTGGAATTAATTTTGTTTTAATGAGAACGGAGGCAAAATCATTTGTTTAGTTTTAAACAATAAATAACAAGGAATTAAAACTGCGTCATTAAAAGAAAATTCAGCAAACTTTCCTTTTACTTTACGTAGAATAATTATTAAGAAATATAATATATTTATATTTATTATTCACTTTACTAGAAATGTGTTTTTATTCACAAATGTAATTGTTTCTTAAGTGAGACAGAAAAAAAACTGTATTTGGTTTACACATCAAGCGTGACATGACACTTAATTTCACATTTTCTATATAATTTTTTTAAATCAATTTAAAAAAATAATAACACCCTCACATTTCACTCAATTTCTTTGTTTTAAAAACTTAATTTTTGCACAATTTGTTAAGACGCAGTTTCCTTATTCACCTTGGACAAAGGGGGCTGGAGCCACCGTCACAGGCACCTGTGGATATACATGCTGGGTGTTGTCATAGGATGGCGGTGCCAGGGGGATGGGCTCCTCCCGACCGTATGGCATATTCTTCTCCATTCCGCGATGTGTTGGTAGTTCCGCTCGAGAGGTGCTATGCGTTCGGAGTTCGACACGAAACTGATGTGGTAGGTATACTTGGCTTCCAGTTGGGGCTTCGTTCTTTTTCTGTTCTCGGTATAACCGCAGAGCATTGTGGGATTCTCCTCAGCTCAGTTTCCGAGAGGGGATTTATTATTATTTTGTGTGAGTGCGATTGATAATTATGCGATTAGCTTGGTGTTGTGAAATTCAAACTGTTGCTCGTTGGACGCTTAAACGGATATTTATTTTTCTTTTTATTTTCCTAGAAACCGATTGCATTCGCTGCAAAAGTGGTCTGCATTCTTGCAACTCTTCAAACAATACGGCAAAGGCACCAGGCATAATAGTCTGCGAAATAGAATATCAGTCCTTTGTTTTTTAATGTAAACAAAATCGGGTTTTCGTAAATGATAAATGGCATCAATTAAACAATTAACTTTCCTTTTGTGTGTCATGTTTCCAGCAATTTATGGGAAAAACTCACCCCGTTAGGCAAAGACCAAGGGCGAAAAGATGGGTTTGCTTGGTCACGCGCATTTCCAAACGGGTTTCCATCATCTTGTCACAGTGAGGACACTTCATGAGCTGGGGCACTGGTCCTAGTTTATTTGGAGTACCGCCTTAAAAGTACAGATTATACTTAAAGCAGGGGATTGAATTTATTTCTAAATATTTATAAATACCATTTGGAGCAATAATAACAACAGAATTCGGTGGAGCTGTGGGAGGATTAGTCACTTCCGGCGCTGCTAGATAGCGAAATTCGCTACCCTTTAGATCTGTTTCCATTTTGAGATATGAACCAAGGGAAACATTACACGTCTCTTTATAGGCAGACGCGACCAGCAGGCGGCTGCCTGTAAATAATGTCCTCGAATTTCAACTAATTTTGGGTCAATTAGGCTGCACTTTCACTTACCTAGTAATGATTTTCTGGGTGGTCCTTTATGGATTATGTATTCATAATGAATGGGTTCGATTTTAGGGAATTGGATTAAATTAAATTAATTCATTTATAGGATATATGGAGTCAAACCAAGATCCTTAATGCTTCTGAAACTATTCTTAACAAATTGAATTTGCACAAAAATAGGAATAGGAATTTGTTGATTTTAAATTTTAGATACATTTTGAAGTTGGCGAACTTTTACTATTTAATTGTAGGTTTGTAATTATTTGTAATTTATTTGTTAAATTCCCCTTCATGCATCCTTTAATGATTTTATACTTAAACTAAAAGAAAATCTCTTTTTCTTTTGATATTTCCTCAGAAAACGCCTCAAAAATCTCCCAAAGAATAGACATCGTTTTCTTCCTTGAATCTTTATTTTATTTTTATTGCTGTGCTGGGATTACAAAAGCCTAAAATGTTACTACAATTTTTTGCCTGACATCAAAATATTGCGTAAGATTAAATGTGTGTTGGTGTGTGTGGTGTGTGTGTGGGAGAGAGAGGTAACTACGGAATTAGTATGAAGTTTCGTCCTGCATTTTGACTTGGCTGCTAAAGCTAGGCAAATGCATCAATTTCCGGCTGGGCGAAAGATCCTGTCTAGCGCTCATAGGTGCCCACAAAGTTGTTGCAGGATGGGCAGTAGTGGTTAGTGTTCCTGGCGCACTGGGTGCAGTACAGGCAGCAGGCGCAGGGCCAGAGGCTACGAGAAGGATACATTTTAGTAAAATTAAATTGTAAAAGAAAAGCGATCTTAATAACTCACCAAGTGAGGCACATGATCAGTGCTATCAGGTGCGTCTTGGTGGTGGCCTTTGGCTCCAGGCGTGTGGTAACCTGCTGGCGGCAGCTGGGGCACACCAGGTTGCAGGGCTCGGGACCCACTGGGCTGGACATGTTGCTTGTTGCTGTTGGGGTTAAACAAACAGAAAAATAAATCACGCTTTCTAAAAACTCTCTTATCGATCGGGGAGTCAAGGGGTGACCTTGCACACTTCGCGTGCAGTTGGTATATTAATGAAAAGAGCACCAAATTGGTTGTGCATTCGGGTGAATTTAATTGCCATGCACCAGGGCTGTGATCAGGCCTTATCTCTGCCAGAACAAGCAGAACAAGCCATGAACTGTACAATCTATTTCGGAGTGGACCCTCCTCCTTCTCCGCTCCTCAACTCCATGAGAAATGTGTGAGGTCATCCGCTTTGACAGACAGAAAACGAAAGTGCGGAGTGCCGCCATTTGGCCAGTGAAATGCCGAATTCCGAGTGTCGATGTCGTCATCCCGGTTTCATTCCCCCTGGCCACTGTTCCACCATTTATCATCTCGGCACCGAGCACTTGGCCAATTTGTATACAATTCCAGCCGCAAGACCCTGCCCAAAACCAACACAATCTATTTATATTCACACTTGGCCGGGCCCCGGTCTAGTATCTTCATAAGGCTAAGGGTGTGTCCGGCGCCAGTGATTAATCCTGCCCCCCAGAAGTCCACCTGCCCGCTGCTGTGCGTGCCTTGGACCCGTTTTGCCCCTCAAAATAAACACACAGATATATGCGAGTGACTGGAAATCTTCTTCAAGGCGTTGTCATATTTGCTCCCTCTCTCTATATAAATTTTTTGATATGGAATTTGGATTGAACTTGACTTTGAATTTGGATGGATGCTTTTATCGCGCGCCAACTGTACGCTGTCTGCATTTATAAATTCTGGTCTGGCGCACACTCACTCTATCACTCACGTACTTGTATGCACTGTGTCGTTATTTGAACAGAAAACCCGAAGTGGCCAATTTCCGGAGAGTTGGGAGAACTTGTTGCGCACTGTTGGAGCAACGAATGTGCTTTGCGGTTCACGATTTTCACCCGACAAAGACAAGCCGCACGACAGAATGGCGATTTTCTTTCGAAAAATTCGGAATGTTGCTGCAGCAATGTTGCCAGCAACACGGTGTGAACTGGATTCCGGAGTCAACGATACAGAGTTTTGATAGAGAGTACTCGGGGGGATATATGTACATATATGTATTTGCATACCCTTTCAGGAGGTCTCCTTGGTTTGGAGTTTGGAACACTATTAAAAGGGCGATATATACCTATAAAGAACAACTTTATTGGTTAAGTTTATGTATGAAACTAACTTTATTTTAAAATTACAATTCCTTAAACCCTTTTGATATCAGCTTCCTTGTGTTTCCAGTATCATGTTACATGCTTTATAAATAAACTTTTTGTAATTACTGATATACTAAAAATACAATATAATCATAAAATAATAAAGTATATTCCATTTGTGAAATTTAATGAAATGAGGAGAAAAGGAAGTGATTCAGCTGTTTAAAATATAAATATGAAATATAATTATAAACTGTTAATGTTAATTTTTCTAAAGCTAAAAGGCTGAACTGAAAACTATAATATGGGTAGATGATAGATAAGCTATAATTCCCTGAGATTCTTAGCCATTGGTTGTATGTTTGATCTTTTTCTTAACGGGCTGCATAGTCTGTACATACCATACAATGCCACCTACATGGGCAGCTGGCGTTCTCAGATAGTTTTCCATTATAGTGATATTTAATTTGTAGAGGCCTAAAGGAGGACTGATCGGTATAAACGTCTCGTCGATATAGGCGCCGCGAGCCAATAGGTGACCCGCATAAGGACAGCTGTGATTGAAGTTTGAAAATCGCTCGGCTACTCTCAAAATCATTACGCCATATGGTATAAAGCTTCGTCTGGATAGTATGTCACATACATTTATATGAACATCGATAAGAAACGGCTGAAACTGATTGGAGTAGTCCTTTTTGAAGACCTGAAGCCGAACCTAATAAAAATCGAGCTTAAAAAGGAAATACAGTGGTCATTTATCTTGGTATTAGCTTACTGATATATTATATAGTGGTCTTACGAGATCCACGTCCATTTGAGCCACTGCCTTATTCCAATTAATGGCCTTAATGAAGCAAGAAGCGTTGGCCGAAAAGCCAGGTATTGTAATGCACTCGATATTCTTCATTTTGTATACTAAAGAGGGTTCACAGAGCTTTCAAATAATACAAAATTAGTTTTTAATAAGATATTTTAAATATACAGATTACTCACAACCTTCCAGGAAAGGCAACTGATCAGAACGACCTTTGCTATGGAGATCATGTCTATAAAGAATTTTGAGTTATAAGCCACAAAAACAGCCAACAAAATGTCGTGGTTAAAACTTAATATGCTTTTAATTGGCTTGGTTTAAAATGTTATTATGACATTATATTTATAGTCATTTGATTCTAATTTTCATTTAATTGGTGAAATAATTGTTTTTATTATTTATATCCTAATGAACCATATGCTTGATCAAACCCCCAAAACACAATATAAGGGCATCCCACGAATGGCTACCATGTTGTCTGGTTCTTAACGATTTCATGGTACCCCTGACAATTAAAAAATATATGTACATATATATTTAAAATTGAGATTAGAGCTGCGATAGTAAGAGTAAAATTTTTATGTAGACCAGAAATTGCAAATGTAACGTAACCGAAAATAAAAATGCATAGGAATTTAGTCCCTTGCACGAAGTTTGGAATGTTAATAGAAACCTCTTCAAGAACTGAATAAGACCTTTGATTTTAAAGAGAAGATTATCTTCAAAAATAATGTTTATATACATACGCAATCTTTGCTACAAATATTGAATATAAAATCTAAGAAATGTATTTTCAATCAAAAGTGCATTGTTCAGCATTTTAAAAAGCAAAACATAACTATTTTAAACCACCATTTTTATTTTTGTTTGCTACCTGTAAGTATGCAATAACTTTAGCATAATTTATTCTAAGTTCGGAGCATTCAAAGGAGTTTTAAAGTCAATGTTAATTTATGAAATGGTAAAAAGCTAAACTGAAAACTAAAAGATGAGTAGAACATCCAATTATTTAAGCCATAAATCCTAGAGATTCTTAGCCATTGGTTGCCTGCTTTATCTTTTTCTTTACTGGCTGCATAATCTGTGCATGCCATACAATGCCGCCTACATGGGCAGCTGGCGTTTTCAGATAGTTTTCCATGATAGTGATATTGAATTTATAGAAGCCTAACGGTGGACTGGCGGGTATTAAAGTCTCGTCGATGTAGAAGCCACGAGCAAATAGGTGACCCTCATAGGGACAGCTGTGATTGAAGTTTGAAAAACGCTTGGTTACTCTCAACATCATTACTCCGAATGATCCAAAGCTTCGTCTTGATAGTATGTCGCATATATTAATATGAACATCTATAAGAAACGGCTGAAACTGATTGGAGTAGTCCTTTTTGAAGACCTGAAGCCGAACCTAATAAGAATCGAGCTTGAAAAGGAAATACAGTGGTCATTTATCTTGGTATTAGCTTACTGATATATTATATAGTGGCCGTACGAGATCCACGTCCATTTCAGCCACTGCCTTATTCCAATTAATGGCCTTAATGAAGCAAGAAGCGTTGGCCGAAAAGCCTGGTATTGTTATGCACTCGATATTCTTCATTTTGTACACAATTGAGGGTTCACGTTCACAGAGCTTTGAAACATTGCAACATATTTTAGTTTTTAATAAGATATATTAAATATACAAATTACTCACAACCTTCCAGGAGAGGCAACTGATCAGAACGACCTTTGCTATGGAGATCATGTGCTTTAATGTGCTTTTAATTGGCTTTGTTTACTATGTTTTTATGAAATTATATGTAAATGATGCTTGCAATTCGATTGTTTTTATCGATCAACTAATTGTTTACATTATTTATTTGCTAATGAACCTTATGCTTGCGCAACATCCCAAAGCTCAATATAAGGGCATTCCTCAAATGGTTTGAAAAGACGTCTGGTTCTTAACGATTTCATGGTAGCCCTGACAATTAATATATATAGTAGGTACACAATATTTCAAATTGAGATTAGACCTTCGATTAAACAAATAAATAACAGAAACCCAGAACCCGAAATTCAAAATGCTTAGGAATTTTAGTTAATGATATTTCCCAATGCCTCGCTTTATTTCTTTATATCTTGCCTCTTACGATATTGTATTCTGTGATGCAGTCTTATGATGCTAATATTTTTCGTTGACGTCTTCAAAACGATCCCAAACAGGCGTTGCAGTTGGGGCAGAACTGGGAGGTCTTGTAGCAGCAGTTGCAGCAACATGGAGCACAAACACAGGGCCAGCAACTGACGGATGAGAGGCAATAAACAGAGTATTAATTACCAGTCACGATTCGGTCATTATCTTAACTGTGATTAGAAAATGCACATGTATTTTATACTTACAGGAAGAGGCAGAGCATCAAGGCCAAGCAGTAAGTTTTTCCAGTGGCATGGCGCTCCACTCGAACTCGAATCCTGGCGTTGCAGTAGGGACAGATCATTCCCCCACCGGGGGTGTCCACCACAACACTGGTCTGGTGCACAACGGTCACTGGAAGAGTTGGTGACAATTGTGCGGGCACCGGCACCTGCGGATATACGCCATGTGGCGATGCAGTATCCAGCCTTATCTCCGGCTGTGGATCGGTATCAGGTTCATCAGAATATGGTGGAGGGGAATCACCAGATTCCGAACTCAACTGATTGTAACTCATTGCCGATACGTTAAGACAACTTATCCTAATAAAACTCCTGAAGCGAATGTTGCAAATAGGCAAATGGCGCCTTTTCTGAGCTTGGGAGAGAGCGAGACAGCTATTAGAGCACGCGAAGTTAGAGTTGTAAAACATATATCGATGGTATCGATAATATTTATGGTACAGTCCACCATCTTTAAAATAATAATACAAATAAAAATTACCATTAATATAAAGGTTTAATGGTTAATTTAACCATTGTGGTAATGTTAAAACTTTAAAGTTTTCAAAAATTTGTTTCTAGATATAATAACTTTTGGATAAACTTAAAAATGCCATACCTAAGCACTTCAAGCCACAACGTTGCCAGATGCAAATAAATACATAAATTCAAAGCAAGAGAGTATTGGGAATCCCCCTGATTGGCTTTAAAATAACTTTATTTCTTTATTTTCTTTACAGCTTCTTATAAATACATATGCATGTACATATGTATGTATATATTTATGAGTATCGTTATCAGTGTTCCAGCATATATATGTAAATACATATATACTAAATATAATAAAAAAAAGCATTACCTTTTTAATGTTTTTCGTTTATGGAATTCTAAATTGAATATGCTTGATTCTGTCAATGTTTATGAATTGGAACAGTTCTTAATATAAACTAGATTGAAAACACAGATTTTAGAAAAGTTTTACTGTTTTTGGAGAGTTACCCAGATGTACATATGTATGTATGTACAAAAATAGGATTACATACATATTTAAATCCATATAAATATAAATCATATTTGAGGATATTCATGCCGGAATGTACATTTTATTATTTATAAATATATATTAAATATTATATATGAATTGTATGTATTAGTCCGACCCACATTTTTTGGTGATTGATGTTCTTCAATACGTTGACAAGCGAAATTGGCACTTGGAGCAAATCTGTGAGGTTCGATAGCAGGTTTTCATATAGCATGGAACGCAAACGCAGGGCCAGCAACTGTGTATAAATTAGGGGGAAAATAATAATTAAAATGTACAAGCATAATAATTAAAATTACACATATTTATGAATCATTTATGACTAATCGGGTTCTGTTGAAAATACGAATTGATAACAGCATACAAACAGTACGCATTCTACAGAAAAGTAATAATAATGTTTTCTTGTTTTATTATAAAGAGCCTGAGTTTTTTTTTTTAATATTTTTCCTTTACTTACAAGCCAAGAAAGAGGAGCGCTGAAAAACAGTAAGTTTTCCAAGACGGATGATACTTTGCCTCGACGTGAAGCAGGGTATGGCAGCGTGGACAGTGCGTCTCACTGGATGAGTTCATAACAACACTGGTTTGTACCGTGTGCACCGGAGCCCCAGCAGAAGATGAAGCCACAGTCATGGACGAAGACTGGGTCGTCGTCATATGAACGGGCTGGTGGACATGGTGTTGTTGGGGCGGCGGCTGATACACATGATGTTGCGCCTGCGGCTGATAGTGGAAAATTTCCTGCGGCGGCGCAGTCCCTGGGTACGGCGGCGGGGGAGAACATTTTTTATTGTAATCCATTCCAGCGGCGAAGCCTATTTTGTAATTCCGGGATCCGAGTCAGCAGTACCGCTTCCCTGAACAGCACAGAAGCTTATGCTGTGGCAGTACAATCGTTGAAAGCTCAGCTCAAAAAATGTTTAAAAATTATCAGCAGAGTAGTGTTGGCACTTTTGGTTTGTTGAGAATTCGTGAGGAACTATCGGATTAATAATATAATGAAAATATTCAAAAGTGGGACTCCCACAAAATGCTTTGCTTGAGAAAGCTTTATTTGTTCATCTAGTTTAGAGTTTTCTATGCATTTAGTTAAGATGATTTCGATTTGTAGTCTTAAGTATATTATTTTATTTAAGTGATCCAGCAAATCTTATAAATATATGTATGCATCGGCATACAAATGTATTTGAGGATATTCATATGAATATGTAGCCGAGTTTGGCGAATATTTTTCGCTGACGTCTTCAAAACGATCCCAAACAGGCATTGCAGTTGGGGCAGAACTGGGAGGTCTTGTAGCAGCAGTTGCAGCAGCATGGAACGCAAACGCAGGGCCAGCACCTAGAGGATTAGAGAGGAAGGGAAAGATTAAAATATTGTATACCAGACACGATCGAATACCCATTTCCTGTGAAAAGTACATTCATATGTACATACTTGGTGCAGTTTCGTTTTTGTTTACATTTGCTATAATGGAGTTCATTTATAAGCAATGCTATATTTGTTCTTTAACAGCTCATTGGGGTTTTTTATAGATCATTTATGACGAATATGGTTCAGTAAGGGTCCTTAATAAATTGTTCTTAGATAAGAGAAAAAGTAGTAATTATATCAGAGCCTGTATTCTTTGCTTTATCAGCACTTCATGGTAAAAAAGTTGAATTTGAAGATTGAAAAAGGTATTCACAGTGGGCAAAACATATACTTCAAGATTTGTAGAGTTATAAGTAATCATTGTGCCCACTGTATGCATGCTCAATCAACCGTAAATCACCACCGTACCCCAAATATGCCTGATTTAAGGTGACGAAAACGGTGTTCAGGTGCTATTAAATTGACCGTAGCTACACATATGCATATGTATGTATTGTATTACTTACAGAAAGAGGCAGAGGATAGCTGCCAAGCAGTAAGTCTTGCCAGTGGGATGGTGCTCCGCACGCACACGAATCCGAGCATGACAGTGGGGACAGATCATTCCGTGGCCGGGTGAGTCCACCAGAACTGTGGTCTGGTGATGCACCACGCTTACCGGCGGCGGAGCCGGAGCTACGACCTGGGCCGGAACCATCGGCATTGTTGGAGGCATCGGCATTGGAGGATACAGGTGCTGCTGCTGTTGTGGGTGATCCATCTCGTGCGGTGGGGCTGTGGCCATGTCATCCGAGTAAGCCGGCGGAGAGTTCACCCGTTTGTAGTCCATTGTCGCGTTATCTATAATACTTGGAATCCCGGCACTTGGGCTCTGAGTCAACAGTACTGCTGCCGACGCGAATACAAAAACGAATGGATTGGCAACACAAAGGTAGAAAGCTCCGGTGCCAAAATGCATGTGCTTCGCCAATGGCAATAAAAAACGACAGTTGCTTTGCTGCGCGTTGAAGGGAGACGACTATACGATCGCGTGGAGCTTGCACTTATCGATAAGTAATCGCTGAATTACAGCGATAACAATATCTAATTTAAACTTGGAGAAAGCGGGTAATTAAATTATCAGCAGGGTGCTTTACAGTAGATCCTCGTAAAAAAAGAACTGGTTTGAATCTGGGTAAGTTTAACAATAAGTTAATATTTTATTTAAATACACTATTTATTTTATAAAATCCTTTATTCCTGTTTTCGAGCTTCCTTGGTAATTGCTTCTTTAACTCCTTCAAATGGTGTATGATCCTATATGGCACCCACAATTGGGACAATAGTGTTCAACATTCTTGCAGTAATTGAAGAAGTACGGTAAACATACAAAAGGCCAGCAGCTGATGGAGAAGATCCATTATTTATACTTGTCCAGCTAGGTGACAAACTCCCCACACCGACTCACCAGCAAATATACAAGGTCAGGGCGCACAGATGGGTCTTCCGGGTGGCCGAGGTCAGCAGACTGGTGACCACCTCTCCCTTGCAGGACGGGCACCGTACCCGCATTTTCTGCCAGCCAACTGTCAAGGGTAGTGCGGCGCCCGCCCCCACTCCGTTCAGGGTGTAAACAGGTATCTGGGTCACCACCACGCCGCAGTCCGCAGGCGGCGACGGTTCCGTGTCCGTAGTCGGAGCAGTGGTGCCCACCCATGTGGTGTTCATGTTTGCGGCGGGACAGGCACTGAAATCGGTGGCCACTTAATGACACCGACGCTATATCGCGGCTCGTTATCTCATTTCTGACTAATCGACAGTTTCTTTTTTTTTTTTTTGTATATGAAAACATTTCAAACCCTAATAGCAGTGGTGAGGGGGAGTTGTCATTTGCAGCACCTTATCGATTGCCCCTCGTTCCAGTGACTTTGTACACTTTAATCGCTAACATTAGGATAGTTCAGATTAGAGTACATAAATAAATAGATTTGGTTTCCCAAAAATGTAAAAATATAAGAAAAAATGAATAAAAAAAACTAGAAAAGATTTTAAAGAGATATAAGAAAAGGATATAATTTTGATCTTATTGATATTATCTGGTGGTCTTTGCAGGGCAGTGATTGTTTTTAAAGATTTTATGTTTATTTTAACTTGATATAATGCCCCTATTTTTTTCTGTGCATGTTTAGTGTTTCATTTTAATTTGTTTACTAAAAATAGTAACTGTTGTACTGTAAGGTCAGCGCTCAATCGATGCCAGTCGGAGTAACAAAAACATAATAATGAAGTTCTTCGAAGTTAGAAAATGGGGTTCACAGATTACTTAGACACCTTGAATTTTTCAGATAACTAATCAGGTAATAGCAGGTTTTAGACTTTTGTGAGTGGTTTATAGTAATGAAGTCATAAATTAATTTGCTTAACTCCTGAAATTTTGGTTTTATGGAATTGAACTTTCGTAGAATTTTTTGAAAATATATTTTCTACTATAAGATATTTTTTGTAAATAATGTACATATTCTAATCAATTTTATGGCAATTACAAGGATGTATATTTTATATAATTATTTTAAGTAAGAAAATAAATTGTAGAGTCTATAATATAAACTGCTTAAGATTCCATAAGAGTTTATAGCCCCGTAAAATCAGGTTTTTATTATATCATAACAATACATTTTTTAAAATACTTTATGAGGTAATAATCAATAATCCTATATACCTTTATCGTCATTATCAATCTTGAATTTTAAGCTGCAATATGGCAGTTAAAATCCCCGTTGCAATTATCACCAAGCTACAGGTGGCTATGACTAACTGAATGCCATTTGAACCTTCCTAGAATTTTTTCCAAGATATTAAGTTCCATCTAATCAGAAGCTGGCGGGTGTATTGTGGCTGCTTTTATGACCAATCCAAGTGATTAAGTTGCCACCACCGTTAATTAAGTTAGGTAAGCAAGCCAAGTTAAACATTCGCATTTCCGTTCTCCGGCTTGAATCTCATGTTTAATGTGTGTGATTAGACAAGAACATATTTACAGTTTTACAGTTTTTCGTTGAAATATGGCATGGTTAATGGTTAGGGATCTCCTATAGATCAGATTTTTAGTTCTCGTAGGTGCCAATATAGGCACTGCAGTTGGGACAGTAGTGATTGGCATTCTGGCAGGAGTCCATGCAGTACGGCAAGCAAACGCAAGGCCAGCAGCTAAAATATAGAGAGATGGAAACAAATATTGATTACTTATTTAATTAGCTAGTTTGTCAGAGGTTCCTCCTAATTGCCGCACTAATTCCTATTGGTACAATACAAGGCCCCCGAGGGCACCCGTTCCAGTCGCTCGGCTTGCTTGTTTTCAGCCCGGCCCCATCAGTGCCAACGCTATCTGACTCAACTCCAGTTCCAGTTGCGATAACAATGTTTTCTAGTATATAGAAACCTATTGTACTCGCGATAAGGTGTCGCAAGTGCTCGACACAGGCGTAGCTTTAGCTATTTTTAAGCAATAATAATGTCTACACAGACATAATGTCGTGGAGTAAGGGGGAGTTGTAAAATTTTATAGTTGCTATAGATTATACATTTATTTTGCTATATCCCCTTGCTTTGATGTATCTGATAATCTATATAGTCATGTTTTCAACTATTTATATAAATATTAAATATCTGTCTTCAATTTTCCATCCCTCTTAATATTTTCCTGGCTACGCCCCACCTGCCGTTATGTACATTTACCAACTGCAACAGGTGCGGCAACTAAAAAAAGAAATCTGCGATCAGATGACATGGTCTACTCACATGAACAGGCACAGGATGAGGGCCCAGCAGTGCGTTCTGCCGGAGGGTGTGCTCTTAACGGTGGTCAGGACTTCGGCATGGCAGGAGGGGCAACGGATGCGGGTTGGACCATTGCCGATGGGCACCAAATTTGAGGTGGTCGTGGTCTGGATGATCACAGTGGAGGGTTGCGGCGGCTGGGGCATCGGTGGATACAGCGGCGGCTGGGTGGGGCCACCTGGCTGGTAGGTCTGGGCGGGCGTGAATCCGGCCTGCTCACTGTACGGCGGAGGCTGCTTGCTGTCCATAATTATATGTCTCTCTCTCTGGATTATCTGGACTCTCGATTTTATTTCGAACGAACTGAACCGATCGGGTTGATGGTTAGCGCTAAACTGAGGAGAGAACTGGAACTGGAGCTCCCGCAATACCTTAACATACGGATTCCTATCTTATCGCTGCTGTCTGATAGCTCCTCCACAATGGGGGTTTTCGTTCTAACTCATAAACGGATATCTTCTTTATTGTGCACTTGATTTAGTGAATGCCGTCGATGTTCCTCTAAATGCGAGATGGATGACTCACAGGACTGATACCCGATGATTAAGTGCTAGTTGAGGTGACAACTTGGCATGTTTGGGAAATTGAATTACTTGGGTTTATTTGTTTTGGAGAAATAACAAAGGGAGGAGAGTATATATCCCACAGGTTATTGCTCTCACGCTCTCATCTGAATACAAATTGTAATTTAATCTTTTCAGCAGGTGCGTAACCTGCTGAGATATAAACTTGTACCGGTTTCAGCATTGCCATGCCATTTCTCCAGCCTACATTTGATCTCATGAGCACTGCAGTTTATTTTTTACTAAATTCAAATTACGTATACGTTTGAGAAATTACGTATACGTACGAAAATTACGGGAGATTTCTATTTCTATTTTTGTTGAATTTTTAACCATTTACAGAATTTTGAATAACTGCAGCTGGCTAGATCGACTCGGCTGTTGATGCTGATCAAAAATATTTATGATTTATAGGGTTGAAATTGATTCCTTCTTCTGCTAAAATTATAATACCCTGCAATGGTACAAAACTTCAAGATTTACTTTTATTTATTTTGAAAATTTACCTTCACACCTTCCTGGCTCCCAATGGGTTAAGCTGACTATATTTTAACCGTTGCTTTTTATGGCCAAAAAGCTCGATTTGCCACCCACTCGAAGGCAGCTTTACCCGAAGCTTTTGGCATTGACTTGGCGTTCAAGTGCAGCCGTTAACATCGCAGCCATGAAAATAGTGTTAGGCAAATACTAGCATGGCAAACACATACTCCGGGGGCTTGACAAAACAGATGAACAACTGGTTTGGCCAATTCCAATACCCATTGCCCCCTGCTCTCCCAACAGACTCCCCCTCCACTGCCACAACTGCCACTTTTTGATGTTTTCAATGTTTCAATTGTAAAACAATAAAAAATAACCCAATTTATAGGCAAATAGAAAACCCGCTTCGCGTCAGTTCGACAACATGAGCCGGCAGCTAAAGTTCCACCTGCAAGCGCCCGAGATGGAGGAGGAGTTCTCCACGGATCTGGTGGAGATCAATCTGAATCCCAGTTGCGGCCAAACCAAGCCATCGTCTTCAGCCCAGGCTCTGGACCAGCTGCTTCTGGCCACGCCCCCGCACCGAGGCTATCCCTACGGCTATGCGGAGGACTCTGAGCCGGAGACGTACTTCTGCCGGAAGAGCAACTCTACGGGACAGTTGGCTGAGAAGGTATCGCCACCGCCGCCGGCGGCCACCAACATAAGCTGCCTGCGTCAGATGTACTGTCCGGAGTGCAATGAGCGGTTGCACGAGCAGGGAGTCCGACTGGAGCGACTGCTGACCATGTGGTGAGTGTGGCAATAAGTGGAGATAAATAGGGGAAGAGTTATCTAAAGGATTTTAATTAAATTACCAAGATTGCCTTTATAAACTTAGGAAACGTGACTTTCCAGTTAAGGCACTCCAGCCTTCAATATCATGAAAAACAACCTGTTCTTCTCTAATTTTTCTTTAGTTCTTTCTTCTTTTCACAATATTATTTTGGTAAATAACATAATTTCATTTTCGTTATAATTTCCAGCTGCTTTGCCATGCTGCCCATTTATCCCTGCTGCCCGAGACGCACGAATAACGATTGCAGGGTCATTTGCGGCAAATGTGGCTACCTCTTGGGGGCATGGAAAAGACAGTGACAAGGAAGGCAGCGGCGAGGGAATGGGCATGGGAACCGGAGTGGGTGCTCCGCATTTAATTATTTGTTTTGTTTAGTTTTTAAGCATTTTTTTGCTGACCTTGCGGCGAGTGAGATGAGCGTTGTGATGAGACTGAAGAGCCGAGGCCAAAACAAAAAAAAATCAAACACAGAATTGTTGATTTCAGCATTTACTCTCTCCGTGTTTTTCTCTTTCGATTGAAGAATTTCTCTTTATTTGAATGAATTTATTAAAATGCCGCTGGGATTTGCCAAAATATTCGACTGGGCCAGTCGCAATGTCTCGTGGGAACGACTTGGATGCGGATTTGGAGGTGGATCTCCAAGGAGCGGGGGACACCAATTCGGCGGCCACCACGGCCACGCTGGACGAAGGTCCTCGGAAGCCGCAGGTGCGATTTTTTAGCATTGGACCGAGTAGCTATCAGGTGCGGTGTCCTCTCTGCCAGCAGAATTCCAAGACGGAGACTGTGGAAATGACCGGGGCTTTGGGTCAGCTCAGCTGTCTCTTGTCCGCCTTGTCCTGGTAAGGATTCATAACATTATGATTCTATAAATATTTACCTTATTTCCCTTTAAATTTAGTTGCTTCCCCATCTTCGCCTTGACCTTTGTCTACTCCTGCCTCCAGAGTCGCCTCAAGACAAAGCGGGTTTTCTGCAGCAGATGCGGTGGCCACCTGGGCTTCCACTGGCGTCCCACTTAGTCGGACTTCCACTTAGTAGTAGCTCTCTAACGATCTATAAATAAACCGGCAGCTGTTGTCAAATTTTTTAATAAGTTAGCGCACACTTGAATTTATTATTCGATCATCACTTGGTCAGGCAGTTAGGCGGTGCCTCCAAAGAAGCATTGCGATCGCTCCCACTCTCTGGCGCGCTCTTAGCACGCATTTCGATGTAGATACAAATGCAGATACAGATACATTTTTCGGGGGTCTCTCGATTCAGTTACCTTCTCACCGCGCTATGGCCAGCACCGAGAGTCTGGACGGTAGTGCCTTCGAGGGCGACATCTCGCAAGTGCCTCAGGTGGGCCACCTAAAGACCGAGCCCCAGGAGCTGGAGTGCCCCGCGTGCCAGGAGCTGCAGATCACACGCGTGGAATTGGAGGCGGTGACCGTTCTACAGAAGATTGCCTGCTCGCTGAATGTGCTCCTCTGCTGGTGGGTTTTATATAGTACAAGTGAGGTCAGAATAATGGCACAAATGAAGATATATATAAAGATTTAATTCTTTTAATTTAAATTAAAACTATTGTAACTAATGAAGAGTCTTAAATATTATCAGGCTCATTAATTATCTATACTTAATTCGTCATAAACTATTAGATAGTTCTTTCAATTTATAAGACTGTTTTAACTGTTCCGATTTTGTGCCAGAATTGTCATCATTATACAAGTGATATATATTTACTATAAAATTATATTATGTTTCTTAATAGAGTGCTATTAATTTGATTATTTATGATTAAAATCCTTCAAATATCATTAACTTTTTATATATACATATATCCAAATCGTTTTGATGGTAGCTTATGTTGTTGGACTTCTCTTTAGTAAGAAACTACATTTTAATCAGTTTTTACCAAGTTATAGTATTTAGTTCCCAATTTGTTTCTTATATGCTATTATTCTGACCTAAACTATATATTTCTACGTGTATCACCACGTGTATAATCCTATATAACCACATGTTTTATCTTTAATAACTATTCTATAACCATATCCCTTAGCAATCCCATACGCTGGCGGGGACGACATGATGTCAATCATTACTGCAGCTCTTGTGGCTGCTTCATAGGACGCAACATCACCCTCAGTTGGTACAAGCGGACCCTGTTCCGCCTCCAAAGAGGTGAAGTGGAGGACAATGGACGCTGGCAGAGATTCCGAAAGGTAGAGAAGGAGCAGCTAGACGAGAAAAAGTTGGGCAAGCAGCGAAAGGCTCTGGAATCAAAGCTGGCTAATGAGAATAAATAAATAAATTAAACGAAAAATTATTTAAGTAATATTTCCAATTAATTTATGGTTTTAAATAATTAATTTAAACAATTTTAAGGTCCTAATATTTATTTTTCAACACAAAGCATTGTGTGATTTATAGAAACTATGCAGGTTCTCCGATCAACAGGTAGTCTCTCCGCTCTTTAGGTTTGCCCTGCTCCCTCCTGAAGAGCCGAAAGCTTTTTCCAGTTCGGTTTCGTCTGGAAGAGAGTGCGAATATTGGCAAAACAAAGCAATGAAATGGAATCGCCGTTTGCTTTGGACTCTCATTCGTAATGCTTATCGGGAGGTGTCTCGGGACCCATAGGAACCGGGCCCCATTCAGTAGAATCGTACAGTTTGTGGGGAGAAGATCACGCTCTAACTAATTTCACCATCTAAAGAAACGTAAAAACTAAAGTTTCTCCTTGAAATGTGGGCCATTCTTCTACTTCTGCTCCTGTGCCTGGGCCTGCTGTACAAGTATGTGAGGCGTCACTATACCCACTGGCAGCGATTGGGCGTGGACGAGGAGCCAGCTGTAATCCCCTTCGGGATAATGGACACGGTGATGAAACAGGAACGGAGCTTGGGCATGGCTTTGGGCGATATCTATGCCCGGCACGAAGGCAAGATTGTGGGAATTTACATGATGAACCAGCGGAGCATCCTAATCCGTGATGCCCAGCTGGCACGCCAGATCATGACCAGTGATTTTGGCAGCTTCCACGATCGCGGGGTCTATGTGGATGAGGAGAAGGATCCGCTGTCGGCCAATCTCTTCAACCTGCGTGGCGCTTCCTGGCGGAATCTGCGCCACAAGTTGACGCCATCGTTCTCCTCGGGAAAAATCAAGGGCATGTTCGGCACCATTGACGAGGTGGGCGATAAGCTGGTGCAGCATCTGGAGGGGGTTCTGGACCAAAGCGACGAGGTGGAGATCAAGGATGTGATGACCACGTATGCGGTGGATATTATTGGCTCGGTGATTTTTGGCCTGGAGATCGACAGTTTCAGCAATCCGGAAAATGAGTTTCGGGAGATTAGCAGCTCGGCGAATAGGGACAAGTCGCTGCTGCTCAAGATCCACAATATGTCCATGTTTATATGCCCGATGTGAGTAATAGTTAGTACTTATATATATGTATATATATATGGTGTATATGCGCAGTACTCAACACTTTTATTTAATAAATTATTGTTCGAGAGATCAGCAGCTCGGCGAATAGAGACAAGTCGCTGCTGCTCAAGATCCACAATATGTCCATGTTTATATGCCCGATGTGAGTAATAGTTAGTACTTATATATATGTATGTATATATGGTGTATATGCGCAGTACTCAACACTTTTATTTAATAAATTATTGTTGCACTTAAGTTGCTATACTTGCATCTATATTTAGATGAGTTTGCATTTCAAGAGCTCACATATTCTTAGCTAGAAGAAAATCGTACACAAAGAGACTCTTTATTTTGATATCAGTACTTCTATTAAAATATACAAATAATATTTTCCACACATGGTGAAATTAGGGATTTATGGTAAGCCTGAATACAAGGATTTTCTTTGTTTTGGGACACTGCATTCACTTAGAAATTAAATTTCTCAAAATTGATTTCATAACAATTTTACTAACTATATTTATTTCGATATCCTTTCAGGATTGCCAAGCTAATGAACCGCTTGGGCTATGAGAGTCGTATCTTGACTTCCCTCCGAGACATGATGAAGCGCACCATTGAGTTCCGGGAGCAGCATAATGTGGTCCGCAAGGATATGCTCCAGCTACTCATCCGGCTGCGAAACACTGGAAAGATAGGCGAAGATGACGATCAGGTGTGGGATATGGAGACGGCCCAGGAGCAGCTCAAGTCGATGTCCATCGAGAAAATTGCCGCCCAGGCTTTCCTTTTCTACGTGGCTGGATCGGAGTCCACTGCTGCCGCTTCTGCCTTCACCCTTTACGAGCTGTCCATGTATCCGGAGCTATTGAAGGAGGCGCGGGATGAGGTGGATTCGGTGCTTCAGAGGCACAACCTAAAGCCCAAGGATAAGTTCACCTACGAAGCTGTGCAGGATTTAAAGTTTTTGGATCTTTGCATCATGGGTGCGGTTTGAAATCAATTTAAATTGTGTGGAAAAGTATACTTTTCATAATACTTTTGGACATATTTTGATTGATTTAAATTTACTGATTGTTAAATATTTATTTTCTTCAACAGAAACCATTCGTAAATATCCCGGTCTGCCCTTCTTGAACCGCGAGTGCACTGAGGACTATCCTGTTCCTGGCACAAACCATACCATTACCAAGGGCACTCCCATTTTGATCTCGCTCTTTGGCATTCAACGTGATCCTGCCTATTTCCCCAATCCCAATGGCTATGATCCGCATCGCTTTGATGCGGACAACATGAACTACGATCAGGCAGCCTATATGCCATTTGGAGAGGGTCCCCGTCACTGCATAGGTGAGGAACATTGATCTCTATGGCTATTTGGACTTTAATTATAATTCTATTTCGGTTTGTACCAGCTCTACGCATGGGCAAGATCAACTCCAAGGTGGCGGTGGCCAAGGTTTTGGCCAATTTCGATCTGGTGCAGGCTCCACGCAAGGAAGTCGAGTTTCGTTTTGACGCTGCTCCAGTTCTGGTGACCAAGGAGGGTCTGAAAGTCCGCTTGACCAAGAGGAAGTGGGAAAAGTAATATAAAAATATTTCTTTTTTTGGGATTTATAAAATGGTGTATATATTTTTAAAGGTTAAAGGCAAATATATGGTAATTATTTTACTAATATTTTTGAGTTTCTCTTTAGATATTGTAGATTGATTTACAAGCTGTTTAACTAAGAGTCCAGTCCAAATTTGTAATAAACTTTTGAGGGTATATAATATATGTAGGTAATATGGTTTATAGCTTAAAGCTCTCTCTTAATTGAATTCAGCTTAAGATTTTGTGAGAGAAAAGTATACAAACAAAGCGAAACCAAACATAAACATAAACAAAAACTAGTAAGCAGCTGATTGACCCGCAAACGTGTTATGGGTTTACAAAAACTATACACTGATCATGAAAAGTATTAGGCCGCCTAAATAAAATTTTCTAAAATGTTATAACTCAAATCAATTAAAAAAAAAAAAAACACATCAAGCGAATATGTATTCCATATTTATGTATGACTAATATCTCGAAAGTCTCAAAACTATTGAACATTTGGAGGAAGTATCCAAATTTCGAAACAATCTCCATGTGGTTGATGTATTTTTTTTTAAACTGCTCCATTTATTGAATAAACAAATATTCGCAGAATGTTTGGCTGTCGATCTGGTTCTGGTTGAGGGGCCACCGCACAGAATAGATGACATCATGGGCTCCATGGTCATCGACAGAAGCATGCCATTGTTCTCCCTCTCTCTCACTGGCTGGGAATCATTCTCTTAGATATTTTGACTCTCCCGATCTCTTTTTCGTTCTCCACCGGCTGGGCCTGGCCTGCTCGCGTCTGGTGGAGATCAGATAGTCAGTGAGCATGGAGCAGCATCAGCAGGTGGAAAGGTTGCGGGTGAGATTGGTGCCCGCCAAGACGGCAGAGGAGCGCTCCAGGAATATCATAGCCAATGTGGTGGTGGACGATGGCCTGGTGCCCTTTATCGATGAGCAGGCGGCGGAAAAAGTGACTCTTATCCACCAGGAGGCAGCTGCTCCTGCTGTCACCAGTGCCTCCCAGCAGCCACGCCTCCGTTACTATGCCGTGGGCCCATCCACCTACAAGCTGCAGTGTCCCCTGTGCCGGGAGCGAAGTCAGGCGGCTGTGATGAGGGCAGCCAGCTGCAAGGATGCCAGCATGTGTCTCAGTTTGCTGTCATGGTAAGGGGGTTCCCTTGATGTAGAATATTCTAATTTTTAATATTATTTCTCCTCTTTTATTGGTAGTATCTTCCCGCTCTTCTGGATCTGTTGCGTCTGCACCTGGTGTGGCTGCAACCGGGAGTGGACCACCAAGGGAATCTATTGCAGTTCGTGCGGCGGCAAAGTGGGAATCCAGCGCAAGGCCAAATAGTTCATTCATCGAATCAATTAAAATAATGTTTATTAATGCCAAATATTTCACTTTTCTGCTATAATTCTATTACGCACCTAACTCAATTAAAGTCGCACCATAAATCAATTCTCTTGAAGCTCTCTTACTTTGTTCTTGGACTCTTTAAAGCTCTTATTTTTAAGACACTTGGAGAAAATAAAACTAAGTGAGGGGAAATTATATATTATTTCATTTGGAACACTATTTAAATACGAAATTTAAAGTTTAATTAGTTTTCCTTGAAAGTATGATAAGAAAAAGTATGGATTCTATTCTGATTTTAAAATACGACATATTTTCATAACAAATAGAGATACAAATATATTATAAAGTTTTTTCTCTCTGTGTATTCCCGCTCTCTTTCCATATCCAAAACAGGTTGTCCGCTTGTCTGGCCAAAAATTCGCTTTCAGTTCAATTGCAGAGCAACCATGACGACGACGCTGCCGGAGAAGGCGACGGAACAGGAGACAGAGCAGGAGGCCCGGGAGAGGGCGGCCAAGGCTCTGGAGGATCAGCGGGAGCGTAAGATCTACGAAAACTTTGCCACACCGCTGGCAGGCACCTTCCTCAATCTGCCCCGCGAAGCTGTGGAGATCAAGTGCCCCGCCTGCGGCATCAAGGATCTGAGTGTGGTCCAGAACGATCTCAAGTGGTGGGCCAGTGAAATCAATCGCATTGTGGGCTGTCTTTTTGTGTGGGTATCTTATGATATTTAATCCTTGAAAAGTATACCTCATTGAGAAAGTCCTTTTGCAGGACCTGTTGCTGCTGCTGCTGCTTCAATTACTATGTGCCCTGCAAGCAAACGGACAGGAGTCACTATTGCGGCAACTGCGGCTGCTACTTTGGACGCTCCATGAAGCGACGGGCACCCCTTAAATTAAAGGCAACCACCGACTAATTTTCACATTTTTCACATATTTTCAAAAAACCAGCCAGGAAAACACCCACCCACAGCGACACCATATGAGACGAAAATAAAACCAAAATAAAACAGAAACTGAATCATATTCTCTTGTATTTACTCTAACTTTCTCTTGGGGTTTCTCTCTTCTGTGATTATTTATTTATTTTTTAATTTAATGGCTTTTGATTCTCTTCTTCGCTGGCCTCAGTCTTCGTTTGTTTTTGAAACCGTCAACACCGCACCTCTCCGTCCATTAAAATGGCTCAGGATCCCAAACCTCTGTACTTTGCCGTGGGTCCTGGCCCTAATGAGGTCACCTGTCCCTACTGCCGCACCAAGGCCACCACTCGGGTGGTGCGATCCTGGCTGCGTTGCTGCACCAAGAGGCATCACTGTGGCGCCTGCGGGGAGTATCTGGGCGTGTACCGGCGCCCACAGCTGTAGGAAGCCAGCGAAGATGTCATACGATCCACACATTAACCTGATTGATCATCACATGGAGAGAAAAATATTTAACGAAAATTGATAGCTTTTTCCTGTCACTTTTTTTGAATAAAATATATTTTATATATTTATTAAAAAGGTATTTAATTTTCTTAAAAAGATTAATTACAATTTAAGTAAGAAAGAAATTTAAAAACAAATATAAACCCAACAAGAAGAGCGGAAATTCTCCGTGCATCGTTTGAATTTTGTAATCGAGAGTAATTTAAATATTTTCGATGTCTTAACTTAATTACTCGACCAACGCCTCTGCGAGAAACACACACAACACACGAGAGAATTAGAGAAACACTGAGAATCTGCCCAGAGCAAGAGAAAAATCTCTGATTTTCTACATTTCCGATCTCTTTGAATCGATTTCGCTTTCAGTTGCCGCTCGTTCTCCAAAGAACTCACATCGCCATGACCGTCGACGAGCCAGAGATTGTGGCCATTAGTGTCAGTCACAAACAGCAGGTGGGTTACCTCAGGCAGGACTCCACCTGGCTGCAGTGTCCTTCCTGCGAGAAGTACGGCATGAGCGTGGTGCAACTGGAGGTGGTGACCTGTCTCCAGAGATTCCTGGGATTCACCAAACTTTGGTAAGTAAACACAGCAACTTTAAATGGTTAAATACAGTAATTAAATATTTTTTTTAGTAAAAAATGGCCTGGTCGTCAGGACATCAATCACTACTGCCTACACTGCGGCTGCTTCATTGGGAGATTTGTCCCCGTCAACTGCACGGAACGTTGCCTCTCCCGATCCGCCCGCAAGCAGGCGGCCGTGGATGAGATGACCCTGAAGACACGCCCCAAGGACTGCGCCGAAAGGGCTCAGAAGTCCAGGGAAAAGATCCTGGCCAAGAGGGAGAAAAAGAGGGCCGAGAAGGCGGCCAAGGAGGCGGGCAAGGCCCAAGAGCAAACCCAAATAGCTGTGCACCAATGAGGCAAGTCAAGTGGTTTCTGTATTGACTAGGGCAAAGCTCTGCGCGGAAAGCTCTCCCCCCTTGCATTACACTTACTTGTTGACACGAACAATTTGATTATATTAAATATAAAAAAAAATTAAACACTATTGCTCGGCTTAATATTCGTGCAACTTCCCGGTTTGGTGGCCACGAACTCCCTGCTGGGCTTCACGCATTTCTTCTCCCTGTCGTAGATGCCCAGGAAAGCGCGACAGTTGGAGCAGTACAGGTAATCGCGAGTCTCTAGGAACGCCAGGCAGCACAGGGGCCAGCAGGCGAAGATGCAGGTGGCCAGAGCTCCAGTGGCCGTCATCTCCGAGGCGGTCTTGATCAGCGGCCGTTGGCTGAAGCCGCAGCTGGGACAGAAGATGTTGCCCTCCGCCGGCGCCCAGTGCGTAATGGATGCCTTGAAGCTCTGCTTGCGGGTCACCTTCTCCTTTTCTTCGAAACAGGAACAGGACTTGGACCCGGAGCCATGGTTGTTGTCCACATAGGCGTTAGCACTTCCGCAGTTTTTTTTCTTGTTGGCTAAATCTGGTTATATTATGATTACCCGAAGGTGTTTCAAAGATCTTCCTAATAAATAAACTTTCCCACTTACAATTGCTGACTGCCGCCGTGGCCATCTGTGTCTCAGAGAGATCTGTTCCGTCGCAATTTTTCCCTATCAGAGTGTGCAAGTTCTTGATCTTCTCCTTGGCCACTGCAAAGACCTCGGGATGATCCCGCTGAATGTGGAGCACCATCTGGCCAGGGTCAACGGGAGAGCACTGGATCTCCTTCATGCACTGCAAACAGCGCAGAGTTTGCACGTTGTTGAGTGAAGGCATATTGTTGCGTATGAAAAATCTTTGTATGTATGTTGTTTTGTCTTTTCTGCTTGTGATTCCTGGTTCAGGTTACCTGGTGAGTGGAGAACCTAATGACACCTACGCCTGTGACTCCTTAGCTGCTATCAATCAAGGTTTTCTTTTTTGAGAAAATTTGATGGATTGGCTTTACTTGGGAAAAGAAAGAACCCCTTGCCTTGTAATTATAAGAAATTTTCATTATATTCACGAAATTTGATCTTCTATCCGAAGGATATTAAATTTTGTTTATAACTGATTAAGTTTAGCATAAAACAAGAAAGAAAGCTAACTTTGGTTAGCCAAAGTTTGTATACCCTTGCAGGTAACAATTAAAATATATCATAACTAAGCCAAAAATGCATTAATTTCGATTCGGAAAGCAGTTTTGTGTTAGTTTTTATTAATTTAAAAAAACTGCATACCAAATTTAATATTTTAAGAAATCAAAATTTGTGGCCATTTTTGCTAATTTTAATGATGTAACCCCTTTTCAAATTTCGCAAAAATGGCCAAAAAATCGATTTCTTCCGGACATGTCTAGAAAGATTCCCCTGTTGATGCTGATCAAGAATATATATGGTTTATAGGGTCGGAAATGATTCCTTGACTTAGAAAAATATTATTTTGTATTATAAAATCGGATTTTTTATATTAAAAAACTTCTTGATTTTTTTTTAAATTAAAAATATCATAACTCGGCCAAAAGAGCATTAATTTTAAATCAGAAAACTGTTCTGTGCAAGATTTTCTACAGTTAATAAATCTGCATACTTCATTTAAAAATTTTGAAAATTCAATTTTTTATCAAAATCAAAAATTTTAATGATGCAACCCCTTATAAAATTTTGCAAAAATGGCAAAAAAATCGATTTCTTCCTGACATATCTAGAAAGATTCCCCTGTTGATGCTGATCAAGAATATATATACTTTATGGTGTCGGAAAGCTCTCCTTCACTGCGTTGCAAACTTCTGACTGAAATTATAATACCCTGCAAGGGTATAAATATAAGTGAAAACGAAACTTTAATTATTTTCCTTACCTTACCTTTTTACCTTTTTTCTTCACTTGATTTTAGGGTATTTGTTGGCGACCTTTTTATTTGTATATTTTTCATAAACTTAAAACCAACATTGTGAGCATTAGGATTTATTTTATGCAGATGTGTGAAGTGAAGGGCTCTCAGCATCAATCAGCTTAGGCTGTATGAAAGGACCCGTCGCGCGGCGCCTTCAATAAAGCAAGGACCAGCAGGTACTCTGAATGTTATTGTGTTATTCGGGCGGGATACAGGACCTCGGGCCCCATCATCCCGGGGAACCGACTTATCGACTTAATCCAATCGCCTGCGAGCACCCTGTATCCATAATGCTCTTTGGCTGCGTCAACATTTTATTGTCAGTCATTTTCCAACGCGCCCCGCTGCCTCTTCACCGCAAAACGGTTCCGTTCACGTGCCACGCCCCTCGTCTCACGCCCAAGTGATTTTCAAGGGGCGTCCTCACATCACACATATCCCGTTCCCGGTACACCCATCATACCCATTCCCATTTCATTTTCCTAAGGCTTTTCGAGTGTATTTTTTCACATTTTGTCAAAATTGATTTTTTACTGCACTTACGGCATGATGCGACCGTTTTAGGGTTCCACATGGCTCCACATGGCTCCGTCAACTCGATACACTTGAAATAAAAGTGCTTGCGTTTGGTTTTTATTTGTGATTTGATGAGAATTTAAAAATTGCTTTAAAATTAGATTTATTTCAAAGACATTTTCATGGGAGAATAAGGGGTTTTAGCACAAATTTCCCCTCAAATCCTGGGCTTCTGTTTATCAAGATTTCTTTAGAATTTCTTTATGTGTAGAGTTTCCCGGCTGCTTCCCGCTTTACTTTTCTTCTTAAAACCTTTATTTCTACCTTTTTTTTGCGGCATTGGCATTGCTCATACGCCGCGTGGTACGTTGTACACACAAAGAAGTCGCACCTAAAAAGCCAACGCGTGTTGCTGTCATTTTCCCCAATGCGTTTGCATTTATTGACTTTGTTGGTGTTTTCATATACAGTTTCCCTTTGCGTTTTCCCCTTCCTCTGCTGTTCTTTTCTTTTTTGTCTACAACGCCCTCGAAGATGTCATTAGAGTCGGTAAAAAGAATCCTGCCAGGGAGAGCGAGAATCCTTTGGAGGTAATGCGTGGCCGGAGGCTGTGGGCGATTTGCATTTACCTGGAACTGAGAAAACTTTGGAGCTGTGGAACTGTGAAGCACTTGCTCCGGATACATTTACGCCGGCATATAAGTGCTCCAATATAATTTGACTCGATTCTCGTTTATTTTGTTGCTTTAGCCGTACTTACACATAGACAATACATCGTACATTCAATGTCTAGGACTAATATAAAAATACATTTCATTTGTTTATCTTTTTGCTTGTTGTTTTTGTGTTTCTTGTTTTTGTTTCTTGTTTTTCTTGTTGTTTTCCCCCCCTCGTGTTGCTATTTGCCTTGGCTTGGAAGCTTTGGAAGCTTGTTAACATTTGCTTTCTTTGAATTCGATTTGTTCGGTTTGATGCCATCTAATCCTGCTGCCTTATCCCCTAACCTGTCTCCACTCTGTCTCCCTTCTCCTAAGTAGTTTCAGCAATGTCTACGGTTTGGTCAGTTTGTTGTGTTGGCTGATCTTGATCTGATTTTTGGTGCACTTAATTCGGTATGTGTGTCCTTGGTGCTTGTGTAAAAACATCCTAGCCTAGGCAAACATTCGCTGTTCGCATGTAAAATTGGACTATGCTTAAAATATGTACACTGGATCGTAGTGGGTTAACTTTCTTTCTCTCTTTTTGCCTTCCTCCCCATCTGTTCCTCCCCTTAACCTAGCTCTACTCGCACACACACACGCACACACTGTTTTTTGAGGCACATTCAGTTTTGAATCATTTTACAAATTTATAAAGTCTGCACCCTTCCGCTTCGCTGGCACCCTAACGTAACTAATTGTAAAAATTAAAAATTGATTTAACGTTACCTTTGCCCGGCAAAAAACAGATTCATGGAAAGTTTGGCCCGGGGCCAAAGGTTATACTCCTGCAAGTTTAATGCATTTATCACTATTTTCCGGCCTCGGGACGGGCTAAAGGGTTGGGTGTTGGGTTGGGGGTTTTTCCCGGGGCTTCACCCGGGGCTTAGAGCGTGTTCTGTTTGGCAGCCTCGCCGCTTTTGGCAGTGGCATCGGGTCGCGAACGTGGGCGCCGCTTCGGCTGCAGCGAATAAAGTCGTCCGCTGCGTACTCGCGTCTGTGGCTCGCACTCTAGCCGCCACGTGCCAGGACCTCCACTGAAATCGAGGTTGAAGGGGGTTAAGGTCGGGTCAGGGGGAAATAAAAAGCCACTCACTTCATCTCCAGCTTGGCCAAACGCTGCTTGATCTTGGCCTGGCTGGCCGTGTACTCCGCCAGCAGACGGGCCAGCCGCATGTTTAGGTTCTCCACGGAGAGCTCAAGCTTCTCAATGCCGCCCTCAATGCTGTCGTGGACTCGTTGGGAGTCTAAAAAGGTGGAGGAAATTTTCAATATTCAATTAACAACTTTCCAAAGTTACCAATTTGCCAAAAATTTAATTTTAAAGGGAATTCAATTTGAAGAAATATAAAAGTTAAGGTAATTTATATTGATTGTTTGAGTTGAAAAAAGAGAGACTTTCTGTTGATAAATCTAGCTTTTAAGATATTCTTTAAGCACGCAGATAAATATATTTATTTCATTCATTCATAAGCCACATCCATTAAGAAAAATGATTTTCACAGCTCAATGATTATTAAATACACATATTTATGCTATAATTCTGACAAATTAAACAAGATTTATTATAGCTGCGCAGGCTAAGTAGGCCATAAATTAAAACAATTTATTTTGCGCTCTCAAATCCATTGTCCAAGGATTAAACTCAATGTTTTTCCACCACGCATTTAACACTTCATGAATTATTAATTAATAAGTATTTACTTAAGTGTTTTCACCAAGCAGAACAAGTTCATTAGGACCTAATAAATGATAAATAATTCATAGCCCAAAACTTACCAGCAAATATCTGCTCATCCAAGAGCCCATCCTTGCGCAGCAGCTGGCATCCACGCTGAGTGAGCGTGGATCTCGCCTCCGGATAATCGGCCAACGTCTCCCACAAATCCCGCTTCGCCAGACAGAACAGATCCGAGTAGCCCAGGGATCGCACGTTGGCCGTCCTTCGGTTGCCCGTCCGATTGCCGGCTATCTCCAGCACGGAAACCTCACCGAACACGGAACCAGCACCCAGGGTGGCCAGCACGGTGATGCCATCGTCTCCCACGACCGAGAGCTTTCCGCGCTTCACAATATACATCTCCTTGCCCACGTCACCCTTCCGGCAGATATAGTCGCCGGGACTGAAGACCTGCAGCTTGAGCTTCAGCACCAGAGCCTCCAGGAGACCCGGTTCCGTGTCGTGGAAGATCCGCACCTGCTTCAGTGTGTCCATGTGCACCTGGATGGCTATCTCCGCCTTCAGCTTATCGGGCAGAGCGGCCAGGACTCGCTCCTCGTCGAGGGCGCCACTCTGCGACCAAGTGTAGGCGAACCATCGTATAACACGGGCCTCCAACTCGTGTCCCACGCGCCGGAAGGCCATGTACTGTTTTACGCCGTCCATGCGATTCTGAAACTCCACGCGGGCCACGTTCATGTTGGAGATCATGGAGCCAATGTTACCTGGGGGAGGGGGAGAGGAAGAAAAGGAAACTCGGCTAATGAATGCAGGCGGCAGGCTGGGCCGGAATGGCCATTCATCTTGGCCGCTTCATAACCGGCTTGTACAATGAAACTGAAGCCATCAGTGTGCCGTGCCACTCGGGGATTCCGGCATTCGGCTAATGCGGCACAAAGGCGACTAATGGCGGCACTTCCGGTGCCAAACTCACCAACACACCAAGAACATACATAAGAATAAGAAAGTAACGGGGTGGAATGGCGGAGTGACCTCCGAGCCACTTGGCAAAAAATAGATTTTGATTCGATTTGGTCTCAAAATAATTAATGTCGAAGGACGATTTAAGAAGGCTTTAAGAAGTTCAGGAAAAAATGAAGCTCATAATTTATAGAATATAGTATATGGGAAGCATAAAATATTGTAAGAAATCTAAAAATCAAATTAATGAAGACAATTGTTAAAAGAATAAACTGATGGATTATTAAAAGGAAGAGGAATAATCTGTCATAAATTAGTCTAAAATGTAGGAAGACAACCAAACTAAATGGCTTTGTTAACGTCATTGAATTAAACAATAAAAACAACACTAATTAAAATTGTGAACCAATAAAGTCAAAGGATTGTGGTTGGCTAACTACTTTCTTTTTCTGCCAGTGCATCCGTCAAATTGTCCTGTCCAAACGAACTCGGCATTCATCACAGTAAGTAAATTTGTTTGCACAGCGAGGTCGTGGATGTGGGATGCGAAATGTGAGGCTTCGAGCAGTCTGGCAGCTGCCGGGAATGCGACTTGCTCCGGGGACGGTAATGGCAGCGATAAGGAGGACGACAAAAATGATAAAAAGGCACGTTTGCCAAAAAAAAAAAGGAGGAGCAGGAGGCAACAAATCAACCCGGCAAAACAAAACAAAACGAGCAACGAGCGAGACGAATACAACAGACTGCGAGCGTAATGAATAATGTGGGTCGCCGGAGAGGAATGGAGGCGGAGGCCGACCCACACGACCAACGACCCTGACGTGCGTGGCTGTAAATTAATACCCATTGATGTCACAGATGTCACTCTGGAACCAATTAAACGATCAGACAAAATATTTGCGTAAACAGGCGCAAACAGAGGACCCGAAAAGGATTTGCCAGGGACACCCGCTGACCCACTGAGGTCCTGGAACCTGAACACTACTATAAAAGCAGCAGAGGAAATTGGTGAGAATTATAATAATTCCTAAATGAGGGCAGACACACACTTTTCTTTGAAATTAATTATAGGTATAAAAGGATATTTTTTAAAGGAATGTATCCTTCTATTTCCGCCTTAAAAAAGCAAGCAAAAACTCACCCACAATGGTGGCAAAGATGAGAACTCCCGCCAGGAAATCGGCCACCACGAACAGATACTCCACATCGTTCTCCGGCGTCGGAGTCTCTCCAATGGTGGTCAGTGTCAGTGTGGACCAGTAGAAGCTGTAGATGTACTGCCGCTGGAGCGTGTTGTTCCGCGTTCCATTCAAATTATAGACCCACGAGTCCGAGCTGAATCCGATCTCGTAGCTGATGGCAAAGTACATGCAGGCATTCCAGTGAATCAGCACCAGGATGGCCAGGACCACCTTGCAGATGCGGAAGGCATTCGGATATCCAGTGGCCGTCTCCGTTCGATCAAACCACTCCCACAGCCTATTAATCCTCAGGAGGCGGTTCAGGCGTACGATGACGGGACATGGCAGGTACAGGCTGGAGCAGGTCTCCGGTGGCCACCAGATGTAGGCCAGGTCCGTGGGCAACATCGATAGCACGTCCAGATACCAGCCCTTCGTATGGAAGTAGTGACTGCGCAGCCGGTATGCGTCCCGCACGAGGAGCCCCTGGTCCAGGAATCCTGCCAAGGATAAAGGCGACACACAAAAGGGGGGTTAGCTTGGGCTTTGACTTGCTCTGTGGTAGTGGTGACCCAGAGTCCGGGTCCGGGTGGAGGTGGTGCCTTCTTTTGTTTCAGTCATGCCTTTTGCCTGCGCCATGCGGCGACAGTTTTTATAGTTCTCTGGATTTTTTTAAGGGTCTTGTGGGATTGATGAATGTGGGAATACCCTGGGATGTCGAGGGGTTTTAGGGGAGTTACTTTTAAAAATTATTAAAAATTTTTGAATATTTTAAAGGTAACAAATTAAGCTATACTCTATATATGTAAATTTCCTAAGTCTACTTTATTTTTCTTTTAGCAAAAGGCTATGATAAATCCTTAATTTTCATATATTTTATGTAAACCTCAGACCAGCATTAATTAGCCTAAAATAAACCAAAATATTTGAGCAGCAAACAGGAAATTGCAAATTACAACAGGGAGAGAGAAGCTACTCATAAAATACAAACACTTGTGAAAAAGTTTAGTTTGTTTTCTTGGGATTGCGGAGTTTAAAAGCAAATTTGACTACTTCCAAGCTTCAGTAACATTTAAAATGAACTTTAAGATATTTTTGGAAATATATCCTTTAACCCATAACTGTCACATTTCTCCCATCAAATTAGTTATGCCTTTCACAGCCGTAACTAAGGGGTACCAGAACGTTTGTTGCCATTGTATAAAATGTCAAGGTTGGCTTATCCCCTGCATTTGGCAACTGAACCACTCCCACAATACCCCATTCGGACCCGTACCCACACCCGGAGCTGAAGCTGGCAGGACTCGTCTACATATGTGGGATTCACGGACAGAAATGGGTTTCATATGCGTGGCAAATGGCTTTGCCGACAGCATCGCTGCCATTGTCTGAAGGCGGCTTAGTGCCGGTCTCATTTGCATAGGTAAATCTCAAATCTCAAACACGCAACCGAGAGGGAGTTGAAATGGGATGGAGGTTTCAGTGCTTGCGATGTTGCCAGGATGTGTGACGGGTCAGGTGCTCACCCTCGTGCATGTGGACGAGCGTATCCAGCAGATAGATGAAGTCGCAGAGGTAGTCCAGTGTGTACCACACCGCCGGTGCGCTCTTGTTGATCTCCCAGAAGACGGCCCGTCCGACCACGAAGATGATGTTGTACAGCACCGCCAGCGAGACGATGGCCAGCCACTAAAAAAGTAAACTATTATTATTAACTAGTTCTATATCCTTATAGAATTTATTGTTTTAATTTAAATCGTCTTTAAGTAACTGCTTAACAACTTTAAGCTTTCTCTTGTCTCAAATGCAAGTGGTAGTAATAGTTTTCTCCAAGTGACTCAGATTTCATTTGGCAAACTCCAGTTGCGAGTTCACTCACCCTGTAATGCGACTGCAGAGTGGGATCCACGGAGAGACGATTGCACAGGACACTGGAGCCTCGAATTTCGCTGGAGAGGGCCGCATCCTCCATGGTCGGACATCCCTTGCCAATCTTGTCCGTGTTGGTGGTGTTGGAGAACTTCTCGAGGAACCAATCCGGCGGTTTGGGGCGATTCCTTTTAGTCAGACGCTGGCGAAGGGCTTGAAGGGTGCGTCTCAAAGCCGATGGCTTGCTATGTTTGCTAGGTTCCTGCAGGGAGAGAAATTTATGGGAGAGGTTAAGAAAATTAATTCAAGGTTCTGGATTATACATTATAGCTTGCAATATTTTATAAGTATTTATATATACAGTATATATCCAGATTATTGTGATTTTAGATATTTTAAAGGCATTTTCTCTCACTGCAACTAAGAGTAGGGTTAAAAGTGGGTGGTTGCTCAGACATAAGTTCTGGGATAAAAGTTTTCCCCGAACGTTTACTAATTGAAGCGTTTTAGTGCTCCGGTTATGGGCATCTCCTTTTTCTGGTTCCTCCTCCCTCTACTTGCCCCCTCCGTTAACCACATTAAAAGTTGGGCAGCATCCAAGTTTGGTGCTTAAATTTTGTTATGTCTGCCAGCTGAATGACGCGGACAATTGCTAGACAGCAGAATAGCAGAAAATCGAATAAACTACAGATTTAATGCGGTTTAAAAAGCATTTCATCTGCTCTGCATTTTTTATATATTTCGAATAAAGAAAATCATTTCGGCTGAATTAAATGCAGCAAAAAAGGATTAAACAAGAAATGAAATGAATTAATGTATGTAAGGATATTTATGTTGGTTTTTATGATTGCTGGTATAATAAATTGTAAACGGATAAGCCATAAAAGTATAGTAACAGCAGGAGCAAATATATAAATTACAAATTAAATTCAATAAAGAAAAGTTCTTGAATAAATATAATAAAATCATAAGAAAGGAAGGAAATTAAACACAATCAAATATGTTTTAAATTTATTTGTATTCATCGAAACTTAAGATTTCCAGCTAAAGCTTAAATATATTCAAGCAATATACAATTCTTTTAAGTACTAGATTCCACCAGACCAAAAAAAAAAAACATTACCCAGATTATACACTTTTCTAAGCCTCAAGAAATCCCTTACTTTTACTCTTTCGCAGGCTTCAGTTTCCATGATAGCTTTCTAGGCATTAAGGGCGTGTGTTTGACAGTCTAATAAACGCTTATCAGCCGCCGGCAGCGGTTAATCCATTAAGCTATCCTTAGCTTACAAAAAAAAAACCAAGAAAAAACTAAAAAAAAAAAAGGGGGCTACAAGGGCAAGAACAGAAAATATGACGCATACGCCTCGTTGGGCGGGCAATGGCAAATGGCAAATTGCGAATGACAATGCAATGCCACGCCCCCCGCTGTGTATGTGTGTGTAGGGGGTCTGAAGGTCACATGTGTATCTATGAAGGTGGATTTACCGCATCTGTCTGCTGTCCTGTTATGGCGGATATATCCAGAGACTGCACCATGTCTCTGACTTTGAAATGTCGCATGCAAATCGACGGAGCTGCTCCTCCTGCTGCTGCTTCTCCTCCTTTCACTTGCTCTCACTTCCTTTTGCGATTTCACTTCCACTTTTACACTTTTCCGTCTATCCACTTCTGCAGCGTGATTCTACCGAATTTGGCCTGCGGCAATAACAATAAACGGCGGCAATTGCGATTACTTATTTGGCCAACGGCTGCGCGCATGCGCTCACTCAGCTGGCGTCGAGCTTCTCAAACTGTTCGTGTCGTCAGATGCCGCCAAAATGCGGCACTTGACTTGACTTCGCCCGCTGCTATCGAAGGCCGGGCAGCGACGCTGGCAGAGGCAACGCCACTGACCAAAGCCACGACATCCATACGCAATATGGTACAGTGGAGACTCGCTAACTCGCTTGGCTTTTGCAATTAATTTTGATAAATCAAAAATCATACTGAGAGATTTTATAGGGATGAAAAAACCCTTGTAAAACCCTAAAACTACTCCTAAAACCCTCTTAAATTATTCATAACATGAATAAGGGATGGAACTCTGTATTTTTGTTTTTTTATATTTATATTTTCCTTTCAAGTTTAAGATATCCCTCTATTTTAAATTATATTTTATAAAACCCTCCCGAAACTCTCTAAAGTTCCCTTTAAAGACCTTTGACTGTACTAAAATCGAGAGGTTTTCGTTTTTTCTAGCTTGTGTTGTTGTCAATTCAAAATGCTGTTTTGCCATTTTCTTAATTTGCATCGCCACTCATCGAGCTGCCGCGTTTTAATTAATTAACTTGCAGCCACAGCGGATGATGATGATGTCTCCAGTGACCGAGGTCCTTCATGGCACCGAAGATCCCGAACGGAGCAAGCAAGATTGATGACACTGCCCGGCGTTTGGCGTTTTCTCTAAATGCTTTTTAATTGGCCGGGCCAACACCGCCGCTTCAATTAAGCTAAAAGGCGGACCGCGGTCAGCTTGGAGGCGGGAGGGTTAACTTGGGCATAAATTAATCGCAATTGATTTGACGGATAGCCGGTGTTTTTTGGGAAGATCATTCTGATTTCCAATGAGCTCATCAGCCAAACGGTCAAGCGATTCGCCAAACGCAAGGTTACGCACAAAAATCGAGCGGCTTTTAGTATTATTTAACTTATTTTATTTTATTTCTTGGCCGTACTTGAAACACTGACCCAGCAGCAGCATTGGCATTATCAACGGACCACCGCCTGATTGGCATTCGAGGCACAAAGGGCCAGCGTGGAGCTCACAATAAATTTCCATAATTGCGAGTCCGTTAGGTCGGAGTCCGCCCACCGCCGCCCGTCAACTCCCCCACCTGTCCAGGTAACTTTATGCTAAGCGAATTAAGCGTTTTCATATCGACCTTTATGGCACGCGTGGGCATTTTATGCTCACTCCATAAAAACATGACAAAGCTGGCATTGCACCATAAAAATCGGGGGTTGGAAAAGACCAAATAGCTAATCCGTAATTGAGGAAGTGAAGCCAATAGAGTTGTAAATTCTGAAGTTTATTAACGGCCAAGCCAATAAAGTCTATTTAGGAAACGTTTAGGAGTTATTTTAGGATAGGTAAAGTGCCAGGGAATTGAGTACGGGTACCAGTATATGGAAATTTAAGTTGAAAATGATTCCCCTAAACTATATATCCTAACCTATCTCTTCTATGTTGTTCTCTGAAATCTCTAATTGATGTAGTGAGTGTAGTGATTAACCTGTGCTTATCATCTCCCAAAGAACTGATATATTAAAGCCCTTTGTTTTTGTCGATAGTTTGCATTAACAAACCTTGGACTGATTTCTGGCCTGGGAAATGCCTGAAAAACAACACCAAATGGGATGAGAAAAATCGCTTTGTCGATATCTTATCACAGAACAACGAATTCAAAGGGGGGCCACACCCCTTTTCTGTTGTTGTGGATGAACTCGTGCACTTTATCACTGGCCTGTTATTGATACAGGCGATAGTTGGATATTTATTTGATTGTGATTTCGATGGGAACGTGGGAAATTATGCAAATTGCGACGCAGATTGGATGACCATAAGCCCTGATGTTTATCGGATGGCAACAGGCGTTGAACATTGGTCTAAACGATAACAAGGTCCGTTTAATAAACTGACTAATGCCTCCCCAAACTCCTCCCCCAATGTCCTGTTTGTTGTCTTTTTCCACCCGAAAAAAAAACAAGCTTCGAGGGATCGAATCAGAGGAGAGACCCTCATCAACATGGAAATCCATGTCCCTGCAGTTGTTGCCATTGTTTTTTCTTTTTTTTCAGTTTCTTGTTATTGCCGCTTCAGTTTTAAGCCTTGTTTTCAATTGTTTACCGAACGCATTAGTTGACGAGTTCAGCATTGTTTTTGCCCTTAATTCCGGGAGTTGTGTCGGTGTTTTGTTTTTGTTTAAACGATTATTTAGTAATTTTATTTATTGCAAAGTTAGACTGTCCGCGAGCTAAGCTGCCGCCTGCGAGCGCGTTTTTTTCGTAACTGTCGATGGTGCAAAAAAAAAAATTTGACTAAACGGAAAGTCCGCGAGACAGACCGCACTTTCGCTGTTTGCTCTCGCTCCTTTCTGCTTTCTCCCACTTCCCCTTTCACCGACCTTCTCCGCCGCCTAGTGTCATCATCATCGCGTTGAGTGTCCTGCCGCCTTCTCAAATTGCACGGCAACAACTACATTATGGCAAAGACGGCAGGACAATCGAGCCAACATCTACAGGGAAAGAAAAAATATATATCTAAGAAATTTCTTAGACTGGATTTCAAATAATAATTATGTAATAAATTAGGTGCTAAGAACATAAATAAATAAATATTTAAGGATATCTTTTAAAATTGTTTAGGAGACTTAAAAACCCTTCTTTTTGATGTCTAAAAGTAGTCAATAAAATGTAGAAAATCCACAAAACTATATGGTTTACAGACACCAAACAAAAGCATGAAGCTCACTCCATGTTAGGCTAAAACCCTACCTTTTCGCACCGTGTATGTACGCAGGTATGGCCCAGGCAAATAGAGTTCATTAATCGGTTTAATGGCATGACTGGATGACTGAATGACTGTACGACCAGCTGACAAGGATACACAGCCCTGTGCCGTCCTGTTGTCGGGGCTATTCAACTCGAGGACTTGTAACTATTTTGGATTGGCACGAGACTTGTCATATTTTCAATGCCAATTCTATAAAATTTCCCACTTTTCCTGCTCTTATCCCCCTCGCGCCTTTCTTCTTTTGAGTAATGGACGTTTATATAACCACAATGGCAGCAGTTTGGGGTTTCCTTAGCTTTTCTCCGCCTGTTTTGAGCTGGTGCTGCTGCTGCTGCTGGACAAACACTTGGAACACACCTCAAAAGCATTAACAACAACCAACCGAGCGACCAAGCCAATATTTGGACGACAACCACAACGATATGCGGGCGTGGAAATGGAAAATTGTAAATGGGAAATAGGACAGAGGGGGCTTTGGGAGGATGGGGACTTTGAGGGCTTTTCATTTGTATTTATTTCATTGCGTTTTTCTTTTGGCATTGGTATTGGTATTGCTGTTTCTGTTGCCATTTATGAAATGACATTGAAACAGTTTGTGGTGCTGCTCTCTCTGTCTCTGTCCCTGTTCCCATTCACTTTGAGCGGAGCACTCGAACTCGACTCTCTTATCTATCAAATTGGTTGTCGCCCTTGGCTCTGCACCGCATAGCCTCTGGTGGACCCCGCCCCGGATACCACGAGCAGCTGGTGTTGTCCCTGCTCTTCGTTAAGCACACATCCAACACCCCCGACTCCGGGCCGAAATATACACTCACTTATTTATAGCCCTGCGGGTCGGAAGAAGTCTGGTTTCCTTCTTCTGCGTCTTCTTCTTTCATAAGGAAACCCAAGTAATGCAATTATCCTGGACAGGACATGCGAGATCTGGTGGGTGATGAGTCCGCCAGCTTGCTGATGAGGCTTGCCGATGCAGTCACGTTAAGTAAGTAAGTTGATTCCGGCCAGCGAGAGATGTGACAGGTTTGAGATTCAAGATACGGAAGTCAAGGGAAGTCACCTTTTGGATTAGTTTTGTGCCGGCCAAGGCTTTGCATTTAAAATTGGGAAATGTAAATATGTGAAATTTGCATAATAAACTTGCAAATAGCTTTAAACTAAAGCCTTGTCAGGCTAAGTTAAAACTTGTCATATTTATTTTAGGCAAATTGTTATCAGTTTATTAGTTTAGTTAAATTTGTTCTACAGGAATTTCTTCAAAAGGTTTACATTTAATTTTAGAATTTGTTTTGTATTTGCAATAAATTCTTAGATATGACAAATATAATTTGGGTTTAGAATAGATGTGTTTGAAAAAGGTAAAGGGATATCTTCTTTAATAATCTTTAAAAATAAAAAATATATATATTTCATTGTATGTTTTATATATTTAACTGAATTTAGACTTTAACCCCCTTTACGAACTCAAAGCCACTTTAAATATCTTTCCTTTATTTATTTTCCTAAACTCTTTTCACCTTCAACTTGGTTATTCAACCACTTCCTTTTTGTCAGAGTATCCCAAACAGTGTGCTTGGCCTAATGGGTCTGCCCAAAAAATAAAGACCCCAACACCTCCAATCCCCCTTTCATGACCAGCAGCACCTAGCCTTTTTTGTCTCTCTTTTTTGCAGTGTTTTAAGTCAATTGACACGTGCTAATAAAAATTTCTGCGGGTAACCGAAAACGGCATTCAACTGGCGACGCCTGACAGAGCCCAAGGGTCCCAAAAGGCAGGAGAAGGCGACTCGGGGCGATGCCTTGGCTACGTGACAATAGAGGAAGTAATTAAAACGCGATTTACGGCAAGGTCAAGTTTATGAAGGTCTGAGCAGTTCATTTGCATTAGTCTGGCAGATGGAGGGAGCCCAGGGGCAGGGACAGAAACAGAAGCGAAGTTATGCAGACAAAGCGGAGTTGGCCTGGCCCGCAGCTCCAGAAACTGGGCCAATAGCTGCTCCTCCTCTTCCCCCTGCTGGCGAGGCGTCAATCAATTAGAGCAATTACTTAATTACATTTCCACATAATTGAATTGTGGCCAGGGACAGTCTGAAATTACAACCTCGACGGGACATAATGCATCAGTTATTGGCCACGGATTATTGGCCATCGTTTATCAGTGAGCTTTTATCTGAATCTACTATCAAATTGCGCATACGCCACGTTGGCCCTGCAGACAAATTGATTTACTCATTTTACGCCCCTAGGCTGGCATATTTTGGAACTATTTAATATGGAATACTATATCTTTTAATTCTGCATTAAGTTTACGAATCTTTTGATTTTATTTAAAGAAATACTTCTCAGCAGTGTGGTTTTCCACTCACCTGTATCAGCTTCCTGCCATTTTCCACATAACTGGGATCACTGGCATGCGGTTGATGGTGATGGTGGTGTTTTTGCTGATGGTGCTGCTGGTCAGCCCTTGCAATGGCCTCCTCCGGGTTATCCTCGCCTCCAGCCTCTCTAAACTCCTCCTCATCCTCATCATCATCATCATCATCTTCCTCGTCATCGTCATCATCGTCCTCGTCCGCCCCTTGACCCGTCTGCCCTTCCGCCTGGCGATGATTCCCCTGACGATATCTGCGCTGCCAGCTCCTGGGCGGATAGTGGAGATGATGCACCTCGCCCTCAACGGCCATCGGTATCGAGGTGGCCGCCTGCTCGACCGTAATCGTCGCCGTTGGCGCAAAGGGTGCGAACAGACCGCCGCTAATCTCCTCCAGCGGTGGCGGTGCCATGCCGCCCATGCTGACTGCTTGATGGGAGCCGCAGGGCAACTGCAGTTGGGCGGGCGCCGAGGAGGCGGGGCCCACGAATCTGGTGATTCGGTACATGGGACGAGTGGAGAGGCTGATGGCACAGTGACAAGGAAGGTATATGGGATATAGTTTCATATATTTTTATAGTAGGTATTATTCAAGTAAAAAAGGACATTCTCTAGTTTAAGCAAAACTTTCTTGAAGAAAAAGATTTAAAAATAAATAAACTAAATCTTAATTATTTTTTTACCTTTTATTTACATTTAGTTTGAATAGTTAAGCCTTAAAAACTACTTTAAAATTTTGTTTTTCCATTAATTTTTTAATTTTTGAGCCCAATTTAAATTAAATTCATTAATTTTATTTACATTAAACCGTAATAAACATTTTAAGAGGTAAATATTTAGGTTTAACTTTAACTGATCCAACTTTTAAACATTTTAAAATTGTTATTTAATGTATTCTGAAATACCTTTCACGAAAGTTCCTTGTCTTTGTGGAGACTAAAACACATAAATTAGTTACAATGCAAGAATAATTTAATAAATACTTTAATAAAATACTTTTAACATTTTTTAATATAAAACTAATTGTAATTAATACATTTTTGGTTAAAATTGCAGATTAAATTTAACTTTAGCTCTTTAAAAAGAATAAATAAACGTTTTTCTCTTTTCATTCATTCAATTTAGATTTTATTTTCAAGAAATGTTATTATTTTTCAGATATTCTAATTATTTAATTATTTTTATAATTAATACGAAATTTTATAAGGCAATCAACGAATCAAACTCACTTGTAACCGTATTTGGGGGACTCCGTTTCGGGGCGTCTCCGGGTGGACATCATCGTGTTGACCCGATCTCCGCGAGCGGCAGCCATCATGTAGGTCCACATAGCTGGGCGATGTCCGGACGTCGGATGGGATGTCGCTAGCTACGCGGGAAACGAACACACCACCATGGTAAGCATGATGACCAGCGGGCAGGGAGTCTGCAAGAGGAGAAAGAAGGAGAACAGGTCCAGGGTTAAGGAGGAAAACTTTGCATTCATGACGGCGGCTGGCGTGAAAGTTGTTTGTGGCCCAAGTGTGCCTAAACGCCCACTTGGCGGCAATTGTGGTCTGGCTCTGGCCACGCCCGCCAACACAGTTGCACCGCCGAGGATCCGGGGACCCGGGGCAGTCATAAATGCTCCTTTCTGCGAGGCCATAAAACAGTTTGAGAGACGTAAACATAAATGCCAGCCGCTTAGTGCCCGGGAGCAGAGGTTGTGGGTCAGGGGCTCCTCCAGAGTCATTCCACCGCCTCCTCCGCCCCGGGAATGTCTGCAGAGCAGCAGTAATTAAGCAATTAAATGCAAAATTCTTGGCTTACAAAATTACGAAACACACAGTCTGTGGCGGTTTGAAATTTTTAAAGGGCCCCTCGAGGCAGGCAACAGAAAATGTTCAGCCTGAAGCTCGTGTGGCGATACTTGCTAAAACGAGGAGCTCCTTGCTCCTGCCTCATAAAACTTTCCCGGCAGGTAATCAGAAAAGCATTTCAGACTGATAGTAAATGATTATGAGCCACTACTTGGGCGGTCTTCAGTTTAAGCTGCTCAACTTTAAGGCTTTTGGGGAAATTAAAGAAACTGCATGGAGAACTCAATCAGCGAAGGTCGGGACATAACGTTGAAGCTATATAGTATAGTGTTGAGAAAGATCTAAGCTTTTAGATGTCTTAAAAAATAGAGTACAAAGAAGATAGATCTATACTTTGATTTACTTTAAGTTCCACTTTAATTATTAGAAACTTGCGGAGTAAATTCTAGGAAAATAGATAACACTTTATGAAATTTAGCTTAACAACTGAAAATTACAGCAAATAAATTCAGGATAACTATTTGGACTTTCAATTAAATCTGCTAAACTTTAATCGTTTGCAAAAGCGTAGAAAAGTTCCAAGGCAAACTCAAGCACAAATCCTTGATTAACGAAGCACTTTTTGCACTTCACTTGGTGTTAATTGAAGAGTTCTCTGGATTCTGGGGCCAGCCAGAGCAGCAGCACCAGCAGCAGCTGTCCAAGTAGGGAAAGTTCTCACTCGGGCAAATAAATAATTCCGTTTAGACGAGACCTAATGATGCGCAAATGATAAATACAAGCTGCCAGATGAGCGAAAAAATTTCAACAGATAACTAGAGCGAATGCAGCTGTGACTCATACAGAAAAAAATCAAAAAGGGATTCGGTTTTGGGCAACGAACAGGAAAAATGGAAAGGGAAAGTGGGTAAGGGAATGGGATTGGGAATGAAAATGGAAATGCGACTGTGAATGCAAATGCAATGGCTGATAATCAAAACGAGCGAAAAAATGAAGAGCAAATGCAAAGTTTTTTCTTTATGTAATTTCCAGTCGAGTGGCTGCCACAAAGAAGGTACATGGACAAATACGCGTCCCTTTTGAACAGAGAGAAAGCTACACTCAAGTTGCAGTTGGTCCTTTGTCCTTTCCCTTTGTCTGGCATTAAGCGGCGTTTACTGTCGCGTGATTTTATGTCATAGATTATCTGTGGGTTGCACGCTCCTCCAGCCAAGCATTCAATTTTAAGTGCAATTTCGGTTTTTGGCCAAGTAGCCAAGATGGGGCGAACGGGAGCCGGGAGCCGGGAACCTTCGATGATTCAGACACGAGTCTTTGACCGCCCTTTCGGTCCATTGTCTCGACGGGCTCTCCGGGCTCTGACTCCTGGTATTAGACAGATTCAAATGGGAGAAATACTCGCTCTACGTACCGCATCGATTTTTAGCTGTAAAATCAAAGTAAATCCATTTATCAACTTCAGCTGCAAACATTTTTCGTGCAGATAAGAATTGACTTTGATAAAATGTGGCTGATGCTGCTACTGCTGCTTTGCTGTCCTGGCCAAAGCCACTTTGCCTGCCCCCGAGAACCAATCAAAAATCCGGGGAAATTGGCTTGCAGCGGGATGCCCGGCCAATTAAACCATGAACCTCAAAAGCAACCGCAGCCGATGTGGCAACAACTTCAAAACTAGACAAAACTTTTGGTCTTGCCTTTGGCCATAATGCCCGTCGATCTCCACACCCCTTCGAGCAGCAAGCTGCGAGTCTCGAAGCTCGAACCTCGAACTGAATTGCTAACGAGCCATAAATGTTACCCGCTGAGCGTGTGTGGGTACAGGGAGAGAAAAACAATGTCATAAGTAGAAATATCTCGAGACTGCTATCAAGATTTATTTGTTTTCTTTTAAACTAAAATAATAGGATTTAGATTTGGACTATGGATTTACTTCTTAAGGTCTATATAGAAACAAGTTTAAAACTGGATAACGAATGATATGACTGCATTTATAAGTGACTTTTGAAGATACAAATAAGTCGTATCATTACCTGAATGCCATACTCATGCGGATTATATTTTGTATATAAGAATCCATTATCCACTTCCTCTCCTACACCTCAAGGCACTCTTCCTTATATAACATTTAATCGATTTGAAATTTTTGCCTCTGCACATATGTGGCTTATTTGTAATGATTAAGTGGCACTGCGGGTATAAGCAGAACGATACTGGGGGAATGTGTGAAGTTTATGCCCCCAAGGAATCGTTTACACTCGCCTCGCTTAGCGGGGATTATGGATTGTCCGAGCGGGTGGGACGGTTTGTGAGATACAAAGGCCAAGAGGAGTCCTAAATAAGTAAACACATGTCCATATTGAAAACAAATTTCGCTTGCTCTTCCTTACCAACCACCATCTAAGCTCTACACTTTGTGCTCTGCCAGGGCCTCTGTCCATTTCCGCTTTGTCAGCTTTGGGGGGGGGGATCAATTAGAACTTCCCCCAGTGACCGAGAGGAGGGGCATAAAAAAATGTTTATTCAATATAGAAAGAGAACGGATCCCACACTGGCACTTCACTTTACTGCCAGCTATCGTTTTGTAATCCTCTCAGACGCATCACGTATACGCCATGTGGGTGCTAGACGGGAATTTGAAGTTCAATCAAAACGTGGGAGTGGGAAAAAAAAGAAAAATGAAGAGCAACTTGAAAGCATTTTCTAAAACAGGATATCCCTAAGCACACACACAGGCACACACTCACAATCGACGTGTGTACGGGGATGCACAAAATATGCTAATGCCAATTATTTTGTGCGTAATTTGCTGTTCATGCTTCGCCGGCAAATGTGTAACTGGCGCCTCATTATGAATATTCATTTGCCGTCCCTGCTCCGCCCCAGAGTCTCCTCCATCGACATCTCTATATCTCTCTTCGCCAACCCTCTTTGTCCGCTAATCATTTCCACAGCCACCAATCGCCGCCATCGACTTATCTAATCTGTTTTGGTGGTTTTGCTGCTGGCTTGATAAGTGCTCAGGGTGGTTCCGGGGGACGACAGGTGTATGGATGGGTATGTATGGGTGTATATATCTCCCTCTGGTCCTGAAAAGGTGAGGTGACTTCAATTAACATTCGTGCACGTAATCGCAATAACGCAAATGGATTCGGGCTTTGTTTAATAAAATGTGATATTTATGGAGTTTACTGCTCCTCTTGAAGCACCCCTCCCCCTCCCCCCGAAATTAATATGGCCACCGAGCTAGCTCTTTATTAATTCGTCTCTGTGGGTGTCCGTCCCATGGGCTGTAGCTAACAATTAGCCGGATAGCGATACGAGTATCAATATCGAAATGAGCCAGAGCCTGGGCAGGGGCATGGAAATCACGCATACGCCGTGTGCGACGTCCTCGACAAATTAGTGATTTTGATTAAAAGCCTGTTGCACTGGACTGCGCTAATGCCTGCTCCACATCCTACCTGTTTGAAGTCGTGGGGTTCGGGAGGAAGCTGAAGCTTTCGAGTGGATCCTTGCTAATCCTCCGAAACTGTCAGCGGCGGAGGTGATGCGTAATCCTATTAGCAAACGCTTGGCGTCGCCTTTTGAGTCTCGAGTCTCCTTATTATTTGCACACTTGTGCCAGCATTGGATTATTTAAGAATGCGTGCAGTAATTCCGACATGAAATTTGAATATTTTTTACGCCTCGCGACTTACGCAAATCTTTGCATATTTCCACACACAAAAACACACGCACACACACTTTTCTTGGGAACCCAGAATAGAAATTGAAACGACCAGGCGGACATTTACATTTGTTGCTGCCCGGTATATATCGCTTTTTATTATTATTATTATTATGATTCCCGCGTTTTTGTGCACTTTTTTATTGAATTAAAATTCAAATGAAATGTGACGGCTGTGCGCCCGTTATTTCCTTTTGAACGGAACCGCGCACAGGAACTGAACAGGGATCTCGTGCGGATATGGGGATCTCTACGGAGGAGTCCGCGCCGTGTACGTTCGCTGGCCCGGCTGGCGGCGCAATGAGAGCTCCGGAAACTGAAGGCAGAAAACAGAAGCAGCAGCAGAAGCTGAAGCTGAAGCCGAGAGCCCATCGGCGGCAGCAGCTTCTCCGCTTTTCATTCATGAGTATGGTCTTCGTTGTAGTCGACGTCGTCGTCATCGTTGGCTGAGCTTTTCCCGAAAAGCTCTCTTCGCACGGAAGCTGGCCAACCTGTTGCATGGCCCCAGCGAGGAGCGCCAGGAGTCGCTGGGCATCCTGGCCAGAGTTACCAGAGTCGGCTGTTGCCAGGCCCGCAGCGACAACATAAATTAATTAAATCAATGCTCCTCCAATGCCCGTTTTTCGGTTGATCATCTGACACATTGACAAATCGACGGTGATATGGGGGTGTGAGCTGGAGGAGTGCTAAGTCCAAAGTTCGAGATTTGAGGTCATGGCTTGGACTCCCTCCCATTTGGGTCTTGGACCCAGGGCCAACTTGGTTCATTTGCCGAAGTTGATTAATGCATGTATCGCTCCTTTATCGCTTTTTGTTGTCCTTGCCTTGATTTAAACTTGTCTGCCACATATGTTGTTCCCGGAGATGGAGAGTGGGCATAAGCATCCTTGGCAACTTTCTTTGTTGACAAAAAAGGTGCACTGACATCCCAGCCGAATCGAATCGAAAAACACAACTAATTCGGCACGATTATTCACACTTAAACTTGGCCAGCAGATTATGTGGTTGAGCCCGGTCCATTGGGTTCTCCCCCCTCTTCCATTGTGGCGAGATAGAGCTAAAGTTTTCCTCGAACATCTGTGCATGTCTACGATTATTGCCTTTGCCTTTATTACACTACGAAAAAGAGGTATTGAATATGTACAGGAAATGTTGAACAAATATTGAAATGAACTCTAAGAAACCAAAGACTATTGTGGTATTTAAAGGGAATTTTTTAATATTTCAATAAAATATAATAAATTGAAAAATACTCCTAACAAGGAATATATTACTTTAAAAATATATTTCTTTTAGTAAACTTAGTTAGGAAAGGTTAAAACTCCCCCCTTTCCCGCCTCTTGGTAACTTTTCTCCTGGTGTACGCTTTCCCCATCTTTGGAGGAAGAGCAAATAGTAAGGACAGTTCATTGTTTGAGCCCAAAGTTCAATAGTTCGAGTCGCAAGTTCACTCACCAAACAAGATGGCAAAGGCCAACAAGTGGAGCTTGTCAGGCTGGCGCAATGTTTCCATCGCAATCCTGCGGCACTGACAGCTGCATACATATTAATCCCGATTCCCGAAACCATTTCCAATCCTTCGCCGAAAAGTACTACATGTGTTTAGTATGTGTTCATGCGTCTGTCTGGCTGTCTCTCTCCCAGTGATACAATGACTTTCGCATTCACAATTTCCAGTAATTTGTTATTCAAACACATTGCGAATCGATTATCCGCTTGGCATGCTCCCTCCAATCGAGCAAATATGCTGATTGACTTTTGTCAAGGCTTGTGTGTGCGCTCGGTCCTCCTGCTCCCACGCCTGCTCCCAATCAGCGCCCGGAATCAGCCCCCATTCGATTCGATTCCATTCAGCCTTTGTGCTCGGATGATGGGTGAAATGCCAAAGCAAATTTAAATGAGGAAACGCGGGAGGATATGGGCCCTTGTGTTGGCTTTCACTTTTACCCGGATCCAGGGAACTCCGACCTCGGAGCGAAGCACATAGTATATGTATGTATGGACGAAATGCCTGACTGGTTCTATATGGGTGTGTTTCTTGTACGATAAGGCAGACAGTGTCGCGGAGAAGGTGGAGCGGCCACAATGGCAGCCGAGAGCAGAGTTCCCATAAAGTCAGTTGTGAAATGCCTGTCAAGGACTCCGGTTTAACCTTCAGCGGAGGTCTGTCTCCTCGACGCTTTAAATATTCGTCATATGCTGGATATTTATCTTGGCCAAATGGCCGAAGGCTAAACACTGAAGGAAGCAGGAAGTGGGCCACCACGGATGCCTCCTATCTGAGCCCCGTCTCAATGTCACTTGTTGAATGGAATTGATTGCCACGCAATAAAATGTAATTGCATTGGCCCAGCTTGAATTCAATGTTAAGGTGCAAGGACATTAATTAACAGCAAGCAGCAGCTGCGGTCGGTCCTGGGGTCCTGTGGGCCCCCCGAGTTCCTGAAGTGGCTCTGATTGCTCGGCATGCCACTAAGCGGCCCGCATATTAATTAGAGCGCCAAATGGAATGGAATAAAGTGAGCTGCCAGCAATGCAAATATGCAAATTTTTTCGGGCTGCATGTCCTGCCGATGCTTTATCATCCCTGCTAGTTGGGGGTCCATGGAAATAAACGGCAGCAGCAGCAGTGACAGGAATTCCACAAATACTCGAATATGAATGGAAATATATGAAATACGAGCAGTGCAGTGCCAAAGGTTAAAGTTAAGCTTGACAAATGTGCGCACTTGATCCAGCTCAAGGCGAATCCTTGGGGGAGCAACCCGTAATAGGATTGCTGGGATAATGGCACTACAATTAAGGCGATATATGTGTATTTAATTTATTGAACGAATTCGCTAAGTGTGTTCCGTGTTAATTAAAGTAGTTGAACCGATACCTAGGACTGGGTCCTGCTCCTAATTGACCTGAGCTGCTGCTGCAGCTGCTCGCAGCGCTGGCACTCGCGGGTGAGCTGCTTGACGGCCAGCGCGTATTGCCGCTGGAGCTCCAGCAGCGACTGCAGCTCCTCATTCAGCTCGTCGCGCCGCATCCGCTCCTCATTGTACTTGTGCCTCACCTTGTCCTGGGCGCTCTTCACCCCGTCCACAATGGACTCGAACTGGCGGATAAAGTCCTCGCGGCCGTGCGGACTCATCATGCCCTCGTTGTAGGCCTCGCAGATGGAGTTGAGGAGGGTCAGCTCCTTCTCCAGGTAGCGCTTCTTGTCGTTGAGTGTGTTGTACAGGATGTAATATTGCTTGGTCTCCAGATGCTTGCCGCTCATCTCGTTGTGCAGTTCATGGAATCGTCGCTGATATTGGGCAAGTTCCGTCCGATCGGGAATGGCGTCCAACTTTCTTTCGATGGCCACAATGCCGCGATTGCGTTTGGCCAGCTGCAGGCGCAACTCCTTGAGCCGCTGCTCTTCGCCAGCCAAGGCTGCGGCTTGGGTTTCCGCATCTTGAGCACTGAAAGCCTCCAAATCGCTGTAAGGCAAAGGATTTGAAAAGTAAATAAATTCTAATAAATGATGGAGACAGCTTATAGCTAGACCTTACTCAATTTGCTGCTGAAGATTGGCCAAATCCGTGCGACAGGACTCCTTGAACTCCGCCTCGCTCTTCTTCAGCTCTTCATGTTGCTGTAGCAAGCTTTGAACTTTATCCAGCAGCCTAGGAAATAAATCATCATTAAAAGGTCTCTATAAAACCATTTCTTATTACAACTCACTTTGGATCTGCTTTATCCGCCGTGTCCTTGTGCGCCTTCAACTCAGCGTTGAGAGTATTCAACTGTTCCTCCACTTCCTTGGTCTTCTGGTCTTGCTCCTTTTCCGCTTCCTTCAGCTGTTCGTTGTCCTTGCAGTAGCGTTTCACCTTGTGCTCCAGGGCTATTTTGGCCGCTTCCAGACGTTTCTGCTGATTTTGAGCCTTCAGCTCTTGGGCATCCGTTTCCATTTCCAGCTTGAATTCAGCATAGTGCTGTTGCAGCTCATGTCGCGCTGATGGATCGAGATCAATACGCTTCTGGGTGCCCGTAAGGTCTTCTTTAGCGAGGGATAAACTGCGCAGGTATTCCTCCAAATCAAGCTGTGGAAATATGGGAAATTTTAAACAGGAATTCCACTTTAAAATGATAAGGATTAAGTACCTCTTCAGCTTCTCCTGCAGCCTGAGCGGCCTTTCTCTCTGCGCTGCTCTTGAACATCGGCCCGGGATCTCCGTACTCAAGCAGAGTAAGACGGACTCTTGACACATCATCGTCCCCGGGGGCTTCCTGTCTCTCGTATAGTCTCTTGGGACCGTACACCTCCTGTATCGCTTTGATGTGAGTGGATGCCAGGCGTATTTTAGTGAGATTGTCCTTGTCGCTTTTGTACTGATAGTGATTGTGGAATTGACCAATGGCAAATCTCTTCAGACGCTGGCCACGCTCAGCACGGTTCTCCACCTAGAAAAGTCAGGTAAATGCTAATAAACTTGGTTTTGGAGAGCTCAGAAGTCCACTTACCGAAGTCCTGACCAGCCACTGGATGACTGGGTGAATGGCCAGGAACTCCAGGCCCTGAACTTGATGGGGCTCCAGGCTATGTGGGCACTTCATGTCAATCAACACAGAGACTATCTTTTCTACCAGAGCACTGTGAGAATAGAAAGGGAACTTTAGTGACCTTCACCTTAACTAGCTGCAGATATTCCCTACATCTTCTGCCCAATGGAAAGGCTCTCGTGGAAGAGTAAATCCACATCCACGTCGTAGTCGCAGCACTCGATGCACCAAGTCATTCCGCCCACAACTTTATCGAAGGCAGACAAGCCCTTTATGCGGGCACGATAGTAGCCCGCTGCCACCAGAATGTCAAAGGTGTCCTGCTCCTTGGCAGTGGCGTCCGAATCCTCCCGACGCTCCACCTGCAAGGGAAAATGAATTAGAAACTGGTAATTCCCACAGGATTAAGGCAGCTGACCTGAACTTCACGTCCATCCTCATCGTAGCGAGTGCCCAACTTGACATTTGGCAGGATCTTGGAGAATACATCGCGGTTAGCCATGAACAACAACGATAATTACATGCTATCAGAGAGCTGGAAGCTATTGCTTATCAAATAAAATTGGCAAAACACACAGAAATGTCAACAATAATTGAATTTTTGTGATTTTAAGATAATGAGCTATGGCCACACTAGCTGAAGCACACTGAGCCAAATACTAAGTAAATAAATATTTAGAAAACTCATAAGAGAATTTTCTTAAAGAAGATTTTTATTGATTAAAAAGAAATATTTTGTTATATTAATTGTTGAAATTAAACCAACAAAGCTTGATTTTTTTTTACAATATAAGCAAAAATAAAACATGTTCAAAACTGTCACCATAATGTGACCAGAGTTGTCCATTTCATGGTATTCTCTAAATGTAATGGTTCGGCCACTCTTTCGCCGGTCACCGCATTTTTTGTTAAGTTTAAAGAGGCTGAGCGGATTGTAAAAATGGTTGCCTACGTTTGCCTGCTCCAGGAGGGCATCAGCAACATCCCAAAGTTCATCGAGAAGGCTATCGAAAACAAGTACTCCGTGGTGGCCACCTCAATCAACGCCAATATGTTGCCATTCGAGCCCCAGGAGTCGGATCCCACATACCCGGCCACGGTTCTGGGGGCCCTCGACTGGAACTCGAAGGTGATATTCACGTTGTCCGACGTGAATGTGGACTCGCCGAATGCCAAGCTGCGCGCCTATGCCAAGGAGGTGCTCCTAAGGGAAGCGAACTGGGCGGAGCATCTACAGCACTCGGGCAATGTGATGGTGAGTCTCCGAGGCCCACAAAACGAGAACCTGGCCGCTATTGTGCGGTCCAAAACAAAAGGTAAGCTGTATATAAGGAACAGCAGCCCTGACAACTTATAAAAAGACCTTTTCCCCGCAGGCAACTGGTTAATCCGTGTGCCCATCACCAACCCGGAGTTGGCCACCTTCGAGCATCGCAAAGATGCCACCGAAGAGGACATTGCCAAGGCGGAAGCCATTGATCCGTGGTCGTGGTGGAATAACCTACGCCTAGCCGTCGACCACAACCCCAAAGTCAAGGTGGTGATCGAGCTAAATGACTCTGATCGGCCCTGCAAGGAGACTGTGCGTCGTTGGCTGGGAGAGCCCATCGAAGCCATCATCATTCCATCCTCGCTGTTCATCAGGAATCGCTCCAACTACGCTGTGCTCAAGAAGGAGTGGCAGATAATCATCGGGCACTTTATCGCGGTGCGAGCCAACATCATTATATCCACGAATCCCAACGACAACGCCTTGAACCAGTATGCCGATTACCTCAACAAGCTCATTAGCGAGAATACAGATTGTCACGCGATAAACAGGTCAGAATGAGTTGGGCTAAAGGAGAGCTCGCCTTAAATTTTCCTACTATTTTTAGTTATGAACACGTGCTTGAGATTCCACTGCAGCCGCTTGGCGACAATCTGGATACCTATACGTATGAGATATTCGAAGCGGATCCTGTGAAATATAAGCTTTATCAAAACGCCGTGCAGGCTGCTTTGCTAGATCGTGTTAGCGACAATGAAGCCAAGAGCAAGTTGGTAGGTAGAAATCAACATTTTGTTTGGAAATTCAATTACCTTTCTGATTCTCTTTTCTAGACAGTGATCATGTTGCTGGGTGGTGGACGGGGTCCGCTTGCCCGGGCTGTTTTCAATGCCGCTGAGCTGGCACAGCGAAAAGTCAGGTTGTACATTATCGAAAAGAATCCCAATGCCATTCGCACTCTCTCCTACATGGTTAAGACTCTATGGGCTAACAAGGGTAAGCTTTGGAAATCAACTGCCACAAGTTAAGTCATCATCTCCATGGAATCCTTTCAGATGTGCACATTTTCTCCAAGGACATGCGCGAGTTTAATCCACCGGAGCTGGCCGATATTTTGGTTTCCGAGCTGCTGGGCTCCTTTGGCGACAACGAGCTCTCACCCGAGTGCCTTGATGGTGCCCTGAAACTGCTCAAGCCGGACGGCATCAGCATACCCTACAAATCCACCTCGTACATCAATCCGGTGATGTCTTCCGTTCTGTATCAGAATACCTGCGCCTTGCCCAACGCAACTGCCTTCGACTGCGGTTATGTGGTGCTTATGAAGAACATTTACCACATCGACGAGCCGCAGGCCCTGTTCGAGTTTATGCATCCCAATCGCGAGGAGAAGATCGACAATACGCGCTGCCAGGTGCTCAAGTTCACGGCGAAAAAGAATTGCGTGATGCACGGAATTGGCGGCTACTTTGATACCCATCTGTACAAGGACATCTGCCTGAGCATCAACCCGCTGACCCATACGCCTGGCATGTTCTCCTGGTTCTCCATGTTCTTTCCAACGGTAATGTGATCTGATCTGATCTATAGAAATTTATATTAATAATGTTGATTTTCTTCAGCAACCGCGAACATTGAAGGAGGGCCAGACTGTATCCATCAAGTTTTGGCGCTGTGTGGACGCCACCAAGGTGTGGTACGAGTGGCAGGTGGTAGACTCTCCCGAGGACTGGGAGCACCACAACATTTGCGGCATTGGCTATAGCATCCGACTGTGGACGGAGTAGGAGCTGGCGAATGCAATACCGAGTAGTTAATGTTTTTTTTTTCTGACTGGAAATATAATCAAAACCGAAGCGACCTTAATTTGTCTGCGACTTTTATTTAGGTTTATGTTTGAAAAGTTTATAAATACTCTTAACGTACATAGATGTCCTTACATATCTGTGGGTTTTATTATTTTCGTTTTGTAAAATTTAGTTAATTTCCGGCTCCACGCATTCATTTAATTAAATAATATAAAATATGTATGTTTATTTAAAGCGCTGCACACGATCGCGACACGAAATCTCTCTAAGCGAAGGCAATTATCAGTTATGTTAAGTATGTATGTTTAACGTAATCCACATAGTTTAGTTTAAAGCGGAGCTGAACTGGGCGGCGACGGGTGACGGGGCGATCGGATCTACGAGTTGACAATGTTAGCCTGCGGCGCTGCTCCGCCACCAACGGCCCCACCGCCACGGATGGCGATGGCGCCCTGGCCGGCGCGGATCGGTTTGGCGATCTGTGCCTGCGGCCCTCTTCTGCCCAGATGCTTCTGTCGCACCGCCTCCTTGATGCGATCCACCTCGTACTGGTAGCGCTTGCGGTCTCGCATTGCGCCCTCCTTCGCCTCCTTCAGTGCCGTCTCCAGAGCCTTTACGCGTTCCATGGTCGTGCGCAGGCGCTTCTCCAGCTTGGGCAGCTCGCAGCGCAGGTCGGCGTTGTCCCGCACCAACTGCTTGTGCACCTTGGTCAGCTGGTCGAGATTGTTCTCCAGGAAGGAGATCTTCTGCTTTTGTGCAAGGGATCCGCCGTCCTCCTCGCTCTCCTCGTTCACCACGTTCTTGCGAATGCGTTGCTGAAAGGAGAGAGAATGAGCATACGTGATTGTGGGCAAGTATATCTGTTATTTACCTGGAGATCCTGGACGAAGAGCTTGCGCAGGTTGTGCAGCGTCTGCAACTCCTTGGCTACGGTGTCCTCCAGGCCCTTGAGGTCCTTGCGTGCCTGTTCGCGTCGCTCGGTGGTGAGAATGATGGTCTGCAACTCGTTGGACTTCTCGGCCTCCTCGTGGCGCAGCTTCTCGTAGTCGACGGTCATCTGCTGGTGGGCCAAGAGCAGCTTCTGGTGGACATCCTTCATCTCGTCCAACTCGTGCTGCCTGGCGGCGTTCTCGTCGCGCAGCTCGGACACCTGGCGGGTATGGGCCTCTCGCAACTCGTCCATCTGTGAGTCGAACATCGAGCGCAGCTCCACCGCCCGTTGCTTCTCCTCGGCATTAACGGCGGAAACGTGCTCGGCGGCCTTGAGCTTGGCGCACTCCTCCCGCAGCGAGTCGATCTGCTCCTCGAGGGTGCGCTTCTTGTTCTCTGCCTCGCGCATCGACTCCTGCAGCGATTTCATGCGTGCCTCGTGCTGGGAGATGAGTAGACGCAGCTCTGCCAGCTCTTTCTCGTACTCCGAGATCTTCTTGTTGGAATCCAAATGCTGGGTTTCCATGTTTGCGCAACGCTGCGAAATATTCTTCGCCTCCGTCTTCATCTTGCTGATGTACAGACGAGCCATGGTGAAGTCCTCCTCCATCTTGCTGGCATCTGTGCCGGCGAGAGCGCTCATCTTGAGGTCGATAGCCGATTCGCCAGAGGCAAGAGCCTGGCCCACATCGCCAAGTTCGCGCAGCAGATTGGCCAGCATTTCGGAGAGACGCTTCTTCTGGTGCGAGGTCATGTCCTTGAGCTGCTGCAGTTCCGTACCGGTGGTGTTCAGCGCCGTCGCCTTTTGCTGCAACTCCTCATTGAGGGCGTCGATGTCCTTGTTCTTGTTCTCGATCTCCTGAGACTTCTGGTCGTAGTTAACAGCCAGCTCTTCGAGAGCTTGGAGCACCTCCTTGACCTCCTCCTTGGCCGACTCGTTCTCCTGCTGGCTGCGCGCCATTTCGGTCTGCAGAGCCTCGTACTCCCGCCGGGCATTGGCGATGAGCTCCTCCTGCTCCATCACCTGCTCCTTGAGCTGCTCGGCGTACTGGCTCTGCTGGTTGATTTCCTCGTCCTTGTCGTCCAGCTGCTGGTACAGTCGCTCGCACTCTGAAGCCAGCCTGGCTTGCTCGTTAGCAGCCACCGAGGCGGACATGTTGGCGAGGGCGGTTCGCTGGGCGGCCTTCGCCGCTTCCGCCGCAGCAGCGGCAGCCTCCACATCGAGATTGGGCGTGCTGGCCTCCATGAGATCCTCCATGTTGATTTGCTCCTCCGCCTTGACGGTCTCGCCGGCTCGCCACCGTGCCAGCTCGATTTCCAGCTTCTCCACCTTGCCCTTGAGCCGGCCGTTCTTCTCCTTCTCCTTCTCGTAGCGCCGTTTCCATTCCTCGGCGGTGAGCTCCTCGTTCACACAGACCACATTCTTGACGGTCTTGGCTCGTCGACCAAAGTCCAGGGTAGACTTGGTCTCCGATTCGTTGAAGCTAGCCGGTGAGCAGCAAATGACGATGGTTGTGCGTGCGTTGCCTCCCAGCGACTCCTGCAGGATGCGCGTGAGCTTGGAGTCGCGATAGGGGATGTGCGTTTTGTTGCCGTCCGCCAGCGCAGAGATTACATTGCCCAGTGCCGACAGCGACTTGTTAATGTTCTTGGCTTCATCGAGGACCGTGCCCTCGGCGCCTGTCTTGGAAACCTTCTCGGAACCCGCCAGATCGACCAGGTAGAGTTTGCCGGAGAGCTTCTTTTGGTTCTCCAGATTCTCCTGTTTGACGTTAATGAGGAATACTGAGTGCGATCGTGAAGAGTGCTCGTTCATGTCTAAAAGGAAGAGATTTTTAGAGTTTTTATTTGTGCTCCTTGAAGGATAATAGAGTTATGATCATTAGAATATTATGTGAATCAAAGGAATAGTCGGGTAAACCCAGACAAATGAGGTTTATAACAAGAAATTAAAGTAACTTTGGCTCTTCAAATTATAATACCCTGCGAGGGTATAAAAATAGTTTAGTTTTTCGAAAACAAAATGTTTGGGAGTGACAATGGTCGCTTAATTGAAACCAAGCGGTTAACAAGCTAATTATAATATTGTATCATTGTCAAGCTCAAATATACACTGAAAAAAACTATATTATACTATTATTACAATGAAATACAAAAGCAATTACGAATACGCGCGTTTTCTTTGAATTTTCGCAATTTGGTTTGGGTTTACTTTGGTCTGGCAACTAGAAATATTCAAAACTCACTGGTTACTGCGATGTGACGATTGGATTTGCCCTCCTCGATCACCTCAAAGACATCCTCCGGCGATGAGACGAACCGCTCCGTGGCTCCCTTGACATAGGGCACCCGATTCTTGTCCTCGTGCACGCTGAGGTTCACCTTGGAGACGTCCAGCAGATCACGGATCTTGTCCATATAGATCTCATAGTAAGAGACCTTGATGTGGAACTCCAGGTTCACCTCCATGGCGTAGATGTGGTTGAAGATGTCATTGACGATGCGCGGTATTATGCCCTGCTTCACGGAATCCCCGATCACGCCCTCCATCGTGTGCGTCTTGCCGGACGATGTCTGGCCGTAGGCGAATATCGTGCCGTTGTATCCGGCCAGGACATCGGTGACAATCGACTTGGCCGCCTCATTGTAGACCTTTTCCTGGGAGGCGTTCGGCTTGAAGACCTTATCGAACAGATAGACCTTGCCCTGTGGGTAGACGGAGGGAATTGAGTTGTAGTTTCTCCCGGTGTATGTATGGTTGCGGTGAAATTTCTTTCGGAGATTCCCTCCTGCCCTGCTCCCTGCCTTTCCCGCCGACTGACTAACTTTCAAATCATTTTCAACGCATGGCCGCGAAACAGATTGTAATTATGAGCATCAAGAAATGTGGACGGCGATGGCGGGGGGGAAGAATAGTGAATAACGAGCGGCCAAAGCAGAAGAAGGTAGAGGAGAAAGAGAGGCGAGTGGAGAGCGCCAGAAGTGCGAGTAATGATAATGCATATGTATGTATGGAGAGGTCTCATCTACTAGTGCTGTGCCTCTGTTTTATTCTTTTTCTTTTTTGGAACTGGTTCAATTGCTTAAGTTTGCTTCCAGGAAAATGATGAATTACACCTGCTGCCGCCGTTTAGCGGAAAACTCGGTTATGAAATATGGTCTGCATGTCGAAGAAGAGCGCCAAAAAGCATTAATACGGCCAGCGGAATGCCGTTGCCTTCAATGTTGCTCTTATTGTTTTCTTTCTTTTTGCCTTTTTTTTATATGCTTTGCGTGTGCATGACTCACTGTGGCACGGAGCGGGATGGGGATGACTGGCGGGGAAACGCTCTAAGCGTGTGTGCTTGGGTGTGTGTTGGTGTTTTGCCGTGTTTTTCTGTGTACTGTAAGTGAGGTAAGCGCCCGACCGAAGGCGGACTGGAAACTCTAGAAAAGCGCATTTTTATGCGGCCCCCAAAGAACGGCCAGCTTTCGAGCATGGCTTGTGGGTGGTATTTCTCTTCGTTTACCGCCAGCACACACCCCCATTCCGGCTGAGCCCGGGGAAAATCAATTTCATGCAAAGTGCTATTGATTTGGAGCGGTTTCTGTGGATATTTCCCAACTATTTTTGTTTTTTTGGGGCTCCACTGCCGATTGCGAATAGTAGTAGTAACGAGGGGCCTCTCTCTTTCCGCCGCTGGCGTTCCAATTGCTCAGCGAATTGGGGAAGGGTAATGTACGCTAATAGGCATGACGTCATGGCACGGCACGCAGAGATTAATGCATAACACAGTGGCGGCACTCGAGCAGGGGGTATGGTGGGGCAGACATCAAAGGGACACCGAATAGGGAACTAGACTGTTATTTACCGCAATGGATATGCAGTTCTCCTCCACATTGTTGGGGAACTTGACCACGAACTTGGAGCCGGCCTTCTCTTCGCTGTCGTTCAGCGGTCGGAAGCGGCAGACCACCTTGATGCTATCCTCGGCGGGGATCTCGCGTTCCGCGGACATTTTCACAGCTCTGGCTCTTTCTGGCGCTGTTCGGATCGGAAGGGCTCTAGGCGCGACCTCTACTCAGGCAGCTGTTTACGTGGATAATCCTCGCCTGGGTCGCTCCGGTCATTTAACGAGCGAATCACTCACTGCACTGGGTTTCTTCCACCGAAAACCGATACGGATGCGAATTGGGGTCACTATTCTGATTGCGGGAGTCCGTTTTGTGTTTATTTATTTTGTGTTATTCGATTTCCTAATTCCTGGTTCCCGATTCCCGATGCTAATTCCGATACCGTCGTCGCACTCGCGAAAATTTGGGGCGGCTCAGAGGAGAGGCGCAGCAGTGAAAAAAGAAAATTTGTGGTTATACCAGACACACGTCTCGCCCCTTAGGTGATGAGGGCCGGAAATTTCGGTTCTGGATGCCCCGTTGGTTTACATAAGCCCGGAATGATTAATGCAGCCGTTAAATGCACTCGCATGCGACAATGGGAACGGAATTTGTGTCACTCGAAATTTTATTTGCCTATTTTCGCCTAATTCTGCCCCGTGTGGCCAGTGTGACCGCGATTGTTGCAACGCAAAATGCCACGACGGCTCGGAAAAACATACCGCAACAATCGCGTTGATTTGTCAAAAATACCACACAAAAATACTAAAAGCTTTATGTATGTGACGCTGAGGCCGACTATTTGATACCCTAAATTGAAAGCTGTAGCTGGTGGAGAGATTAAGTGCAATTTGGGCAAGAATATTAGATATGGACACAATGTTATGTTCTCTTGAAAATTAAAAAAATAATAAATTAATAATAGCTTTTAAAATGAGCAAAGATGGAGCATTCTGAGTATGGAAATTCTTAAGATTATTCAGAATTTTTAAAAAATATTTCCACTACAGATTTAGTTAGTTTATCTTATTTTAAGAAAATAGACCAATTATACATTTTTTGAAAATCACTCTGAATTTGCTGTCAAACATTTTCGGCTTTAAAGCCTTTAAATGTTTGAATAGTCTATTTCGCACTTACACACCACTTAAAACCTTAAATTATTCCGTTTAGAAGGGACTACACTATGGTAGATTGATCACCGATCGATTGGGAACGAGTGCGAGGGATTGTGCGGCAAAATGGCGTCAAGCGAGAGTCAAACGCAGAAGCTCATCGGTCTGTATCGCTCCTGCGAGTGTCTCTGGAATCAGCAATCTCCAGGATACCTTAGTGGTACTGTGCAGGAGGATGCCTGGCGAAAGATCACGCGAGGAATGAACTGTGGTTTGACTCTCGACCAGGTTAAGCTCCAGGTGTTGGCCCTGCGGACCTACTACGATGCAGAGTGTGCCGCCATCCGGCAAAACAAACTGGAGGGATGCAGCTATGAGCCGCGACATCCCTACTTTAAGGACCTGCGCTTCTTAGGCAGCGTTCTACCCGAAGAGACCGAGGAGGTGAGTGAAAGGCAACTAACCAATTAGTAAGTCATCCTATGACTCGCTTTTAATATGTACATAGTCAAAGGTTAGCTTCTGCCTGGGTCAATTGAACGGTATACTGGAGGATTCGCTTATCCAGGACGACTATAACCTAATTAAAAGAGATTATCCGCCAAACTTTTCAGAGGCCACCTTTTGCCAGGGTACAGGTAACTCGTTTTTCTCTTAAAGCTCCACCTCTTGACATAATATAATCCTCCACCAGCTTCCTTGTGTAGCCGAACCAAAGATACTAAGCCCGATTACACCTTTTATAAGCTGATTCTGGAACCAGAGAAGCCATCAACCCCTCAGGATAAGGAAAGTGGGGCTGTTATTGGAAAGCTCAATGAAAGATCCGTCTCCGGCAATGATAACCCCAGATGGTATCCCACGTCCTATTGTGAGCCGTGTAAGAAGCCCGAGTGCTGCCGGAGAGACCCATGCCTTTTAACCGACTCAGAAAGTTGCTGTTCAACGGTGGATAGTGTACCTTGTGTACCTTGTGGCAGGCTCAGAAATCATCAAGCTCAGAGGGGCTCTTCGTGCTCGTCGAGAAGCGTGCTCTCCCAGTCCGAAAGTTGCTGTCTATCAACCGGAAGCAATGCATACACATGCCGCAATCCGTGGCCAAGGCCCAGACCTTGCTGTCAACCCCGCCCCAAATATGTTCCCAGGCCCCGGAGAGACCCTATGGAAACAGGCAAAGACAAATCTTGCTGCGGCTACCAGTGGAGGCGGAACAACGATGCCGTCGGCCGACGCCGACGACAGGAAGCCCGGAACCCACCGTGCTGCTACAATACACATGACCGCCGGCTGTCTGGCGAGGACCGAATGAATCTAGGCCCACAGAAAGGGACGCCGCAGAACAACTACCAGCCGCCCATTGGTTCACCTGGCATTGACACCAACCAGCAGGATCCGGATTGCGGTTGCTATGATCCGCAAGAACCAAATCAAGGAAACTACTTCGACAACCAGCAAGCACCGGAAGCAAATACTTACATGAATAACCAGCAAATGCAGGATCCTGGTCGCTACAATAATGACCCGCAAAATCAAAGAATATATTCGAACGAAAGGTTTCCACCAATGCAACCCGCCCAGACAGCCTACTACGACCCGCAGCAGCAGTTCAACCAGAGTCCTACGAGCCCGCCGCAGCCCAAGAGCTTCACTAAGTCAAGCCAGCAGTACGGCAATGCGAATTATGTGCCCTACCAGCCGGTAAATGATTACGGCCGACCTTTATCTTCGGATCAGTCGAACGTTTACAACTATGGTGTGGATAACACATATCGTGAAAAACTTCAGTCGGCAGCTCCAGTGCCTGCGACGTGCCTTCAGGACTGTCCGGCTCCCTGTGGTACTTTAGGACCCCCGGATCTGGATAATAGGTACCCAGCTAACCCTAGCATGTATACCGAGCAGCCGGCAGTAATAGCAAACGGACAGCGGGAAGACTATGAACCTCGATTTTATCCTAACAATAAAAAAGATCTCCAATGGCAACCAGACGATGACCGTAAAAATACCCAATCCCGAAGAGGTAGCCAAAATCAAGGTAAATACCCCAACGACCAGCAGAGGAGGAGGTCAAATGACTATGATCAAGATGTTGATAGAGTGGATCGTGTCCCCAGAACTCAAACCAAATCCAATGACTATGTGGAAGATAATACTATAAGTCCCGAATTTTATGATGAGATTAAAAATTTCAGGACACCTCGCAATACTGGTATAGATAGGAATTATGAAGAGTTCCCCGCCGGAGGGAAACCAAACATGGCAGAAAGAGAAGTGTGTCGTCCTGACTGTAACTATGAAAAGTGCCCTTCTCCGAGGCGACGGAGACCTGATGATTATAATGATTATTCCGAGACTCTGACCAACAGATCCCCGGGCACTGAGACACCTCAGAGAATAGACTCAAGAAAACCCACTCCTAAGTCTCCAAAGAAGACAAAGAAAATTGATTATGTGGAGTGCAAAAACCCGGACTGCCAGCGTCCAAAACAAGCAACAAAGAACTACAATGGTTCCCAAGAGCGTAATTCTTTTTCAGTACCCGTGGCGGATATGCAGTATGTGCCATGTCCAGCTTATAATCGCCAGAATCCAAAGGAATACCCTTATTACAGTCAACCGAACCAAAATTGGCAGGACGGCGACGATAGGATTGATGCGAACAGAAAACCTCCCTCAAGGAGCTGGGACTACGAAGATGACAGAAAACCAACTGCCAGGGATCGAAGTAGACCCCCTCCAGAAGAAATCGAAAGCGAATTCGAATCGGATAGGGAGAGGATGGCCCCTCCCAAACGCAGGACAAGAAGATCTTACGATGAAAAAGTCCCCAAAAACAGGCAAGATCGGGATGTGGAGAAAGGAAAGAAAAAAAGGGAAGTTATGGAGACTTGTTGCAACGATGACACGTGTCCATACAGATATCAAGAAAAGTCCTACGATGACGATAGGGAGGCGAAGAAAAGCTCTAGAAATAAATCTCCGACAAGAAAGAGTCATCGGCCTGCGGACGATGCCGCAGACTACGAAAGACCCAAGAAGAGTTCCTCCTCTCCAAAGAGATCGAAGAAAAAGAAAGCTCCCATGGACGTCGACAATTGCGAATGCTCTACAGATGATAATAATTATGACCAGGGAGGATATGGTAGATACGATCAGTACGGCGATGAAGAACTTGTCGGTCGCTCGTCCAGAAGAACTAGCAGGAATGAACCTTATAAGAATAATGCCACACTTCAGAGGGGATATACTGATAAAGACGAGGATTCTTTGTTTTATGACGATTATAGAGCCAAAAGAGGCAAGAAAAATCCGAACGATTATTTCGACGACTACGCTTGCAGCTCAGATAGTGATAAGTATGCGAAGAAAATGGACAACCGGGATTATCGAAGAAGGGGAGAGTCGGCTAGGAACAGCCAAATGTATAAGGACTACAAGGAATGTAAAGGAAAACGGCCTTCGAATAAAACAAACTCTTCTCGCCGTCAGTCAAATGAAGCCGATGTATACGACTCGGAATGTGACTGCCCAACAACGTCTCCGAAGCGAGGTGATAAAAAGAAGTCTTCAAGGAAGCGAGAATATGTGTCAAAGGAAAGCGATGTATACGATTCGGAATGTGACTGTCCAACTAGTTCTCCCAAGCGAGGTGATAAAAAGAAGTCTTCAAAGAAGCAGGAGTATAAGTCAAAGGGATTCGGTGTATACGATTCGGAATGTGATTGTCCAATTAACCCTCCCAAGAGAGGTGATAAAAAAAAGACTTCAAAGAAGCCAGAGTATAAGTCAAAGGCAACCGATGTATACGAATCGGAATGTGACTGTCCAACTAACTCTCCCAAACGAGGTGATAATAAACTGTCCTCAAGAAAGCAAGAGTATATGTCAAGGGAAAGCGATGTATATGATTCAGAATGTGACTGTTTAGCTAACTCTTCTCCCAAGCGAGGTGATAAAAAGCGGTCTTCAAGAAAGCGGGAGTATAAGTCAAAGGAAGGCGACGCATACAAGTCGGAATCCGACTGTTTTTGCAGTAGCGATGAAAAACCACAAAGAAATGATCGGAAGCCTCCCCCATGCCGCCCGCGACGTCGGTCTAGAAACGATCAAAGAAAGCAGAAGAATGATTCACAGGACCAAAAAACGACTTGCAGAAAGAACCCCGTTACTATCCCAAAAGATGAATTCAAAGATTGTGATTGCCAATGCCAATGCGGAGGAGAAAACAACACAACTCCTAAACCAAAGAGTAGTCAGGCTGAAAATGGTTGTTCGTTCAGTTGCTGCCACAGTGATCCTTACGCGCCACAGCCTCAGTCCTTCGACCGCAATCCTGCAGGAAATGGAATTGGATGTGGATGCCTTTTTGATGATACAGTTCAAGTTCAGGCGGCTCTGAAACAACCATCTGCGAATGCCAACAATCCATGGCAGGCATCCTATACATTTAACATCGACTTGCCTCTCCCCGGGGAAACGAAATTAGCGCCGGAACCGGAATGTACTGTTCCTCTTCCTAGCAAGAAAAAAAAGCCTAGACCGGGATCCGTTGGTCCCTCAAAGAATGCCAGATCCTCCAAGCAGAAATCCAGAGCCGCCAGCCCCACGCACAACTCAGCGAAGACGCAGCCTGTTGAGCCGGCCAAGAAAAGAATAACCTCCAGTTCGAATGGAAGACGTAATGCCCCGGATGGAGCCAAACGGACCACGGACACAAGTGCAGCTGCCAACAGCAAGTTGCCCAATGACTTAAACTCAGCCTTATATTTTATTTGCAAATTACAGGACGACATTAACAGCCAGCAGTATCTCGTTGTCATACCAAAGGAGCCAAATGCACGATCCGATACGCACCGGGCTGACCCAGGACAGGGATCTTGGAAGCAGTTGCACTGCCAACGGCAGTTCTCCGGCTTCCAGAGCGTGTCCTGGGGCAATCCAGCGTTCAATTCAGTGTTGTCATCGCCGCCAAATCCTCCACTGGAGATCTGTGACATAAGTTCCTATGCAATGCCACCCGACATGACAGACACCACGATGGGCATCGTGAAGAAGTATCTATCGCAGACCACTATAAAAACCCAAGACTGCCTCAAGCCGGTAGTTCCTCCTCGACCGAAGCCGAAGACAGTTTTATCTGGGCCAATACGACGCATTCCCGTTCAACGGCCATCTACCAAAGCGAATGCTTCAATTCTGACTGAGAACCGGACCGTTCTGCTCACGAACAGTCCCTTTCAGAATTTAAGTTTGGCTGAAGACAAGAAGGAAGTGATTGTCCTGCATCCTCCTGATCCAAACTTTCGGCCCTCGAAAAACTCCCTCAACATGGAAGTGCAGCGCATTGCGGTGCGAAGCAGTGGCACCGATGTGAAACCCAGGCCATATCCAACCAAAAAACTGCCTCCCAAACCGCCGACAAAGCCCAAATGAAAGACGCTTCTGTGATCAGTCCATAGTTGTTATGTCTTCACACGTACTTCCCTGGCCACGGCCATCGAATCATATAAAGAATAGTACCCAACCGAAGCGCTGGACTCAGCTGCCTTTTATTCAATGAGACAATAAGGACTTTTGAGCCAGGACTCCAGGGGCGTCATGCTTCGCCGCCCCATTTGGTGGCGGGAAAAATTCAAAAAACTGTTTCGGGGTTAGCCCAAAACTTGCATTCCCCTATCAATGAACTTTTTAGTAATTAATTTACGATATGTTTACGTACCCATTGAAGCGTAGCCAACGATCTGTTGGTCAATTGAATCAGCGTTTCACTTGAGGGAAGATGTGATCTTTATAATGTCTAACCATTTCTTAACCCTCAGCCTAATTGAATCTACAGCACCAAACAATTGCACAGTATGCGTCTAAATCCGCATAAATATAGTTTCCTGGAAATAAATCTACTGATATCTGATGAGCTCGACAGCAGCTATTGGTTAAAAAATTTGCTGTTAATTGAAAAAGGCTTATTATAAATCATTAAGATTACCTGTGAATGGCACTAACTGAGACAAATTAAGCAGGGCAATATCATTGCCATCTGTGGGTCGCAAAATTTTAGTGTCTGTCATATTAATAGTTGGGCCACCCTCTGTGGTCGAAGTATCATACTCCCCCAATCTTGCAATTCAGCCAGTTAATATTTTTGAAATGTTTCATTACTCACAAGTTATTGGTTGAACTTGCACAACTATTAATTATATACATATGTGTATATTCGATTTTTTTCAACAGTGTAAGAGGTAGCATCTTTAAAATCGTCAGATAGTAATTATTTTTATACCCTTGCAGGGTATTATAATTTCAGTCAGAAGTTTGCAACGCAGTGAAGGAGACGTTTCCGACCCTATAAACTATATATATTCTTGATCAGCATCACCATGCGAATCTTTCTAGACATGTCCGGAAAAAATCGATTTTTTTGCCATTTTTGCAAAATTTTTGATTATGATAAAAAATTGAATTTTCAAAATTTTTAAATGAAGTATGCAGATGTATTAACTGTAGAAAATCTTGCACAGAACAGTTTTCCGATTTAAAATTAATGCTCTTTTGGCCGAGTTATGATATTTATAATTTAAAAAAAAACAAGAAGTTTTTTAATATAAAAAATCCGATTTTATAATACAAAATAATATTTTTCTAAGTCAAGGAATCATTTCTGACCCCATAAATCATATATATTCTTGATCAGCATCAACATGCGAATCTTTTTAGATATGTCCGGAAGAAATCGATTTTTTTAAGTTAATAAAAACTAACACAAAACTGCTTTTCGAATCGAAATTAATACATTTTTGGCTTAGTTATGATATATTGTAATTGTTACCTGCAAGGGTATACAAACTTTGGCTGGCCAAAGTTAGCTTTCTTTCTTGTTTTTTATAATTTTCAAATTTCAAACCCAATATTCTGCTGCTTTTATATAATATGAGCAAATTCAAATTAAATTTTAAGTTAACTTATATCGTTTTATTTATTTTCTTTTATCTTTAGACTATTCTACAGTAAGATGAAAATCACAAAGCTTAACGCTAAATACAGAAAGAGAATTAGAGTATCCAATTACTAGGAGGACCCTCCGCTGATTCCAAAGCTACTCTCGCTGCTGCTGCCATTGCCGAAGATCGAGTAGGCAGCCGCATCCACCTCCACATCTCCATTGTTGAGAAGGTCACACAGGGCCAGAATATAGGACTGGGCCATTTGTAGGGTCTCGAACTTGGACAATTTCTGGTCGATGGATGGAGCGGGCACCACTTCCCTCAGGCGATCGAAGGCCTCGTTCAACCCATTCATCCGTTTCCTTTCCCGGGCATTGGCCGCCTGCCTTCGCCGCTTCTGGACTGTGGGACTGAGATGGGCCTGTTGACTTCCGGAGCTATTTTTCTGGTCATCCGACGACTCCCCAGACTTATCCTGGCGACGCCTGCCAGGGTGTGGTTCCAATGTGTTGAGATCCGACTGCGCTGCGATTTGCACAGAGGAGGCAGAGGAAATGGTGACCAGTTGGGCTCCAGCCGAGGCATCCAGGAATTGCCATTCGGGCGATAGGTAGGATGTCTGGACGTAATCCTGCGTGGCAGCGGAAATGCCAGCCAGGTTGTAGTTCGGACTGCCAAGGTACTGGGAGCTGCAGTCCTCTTCGGACGCAGATGAGTAGTAGTAGCTCATGGCAGAAGAACCGCGCGGCTCTGAAGTTTCGATGCAACTGAATGCTGATCGGATCCAAGACGTCGGAACTCAACCCCCGCGGATGCGTTCTACAAATATTTTCACCGCCGCTGCTGACCAAGTTTGTGTAAGCGGCCCGCAAATGACCCCGGGATCGAGAGGGATCCTTGCCGTTATTACCATATCCCAACCGAAGGATCTCCTCGCGTGGAGGGGTTACTTTAACCCCCTGCCACACGCTTAGGGGTTAGAAGTCGGTCCTCTCTCTCTCTCTCGTTCTTTCTTTAGAGCACGCCTACACTCGCTGGTGTTCTCATTTTGTCGGCCATCCCGCTTTGGCTCACACTGCGCATGGGCCACGCGTCATAGCTTGCCAAATTGGTGCTATCATGCCAGTGATCTCCTGGCCTCCCTCTCCTCTTCGCTTTTATTCCTCCTTTTTTTTTTTTTTTTGTAATTTGTGACTTTCACGCTCAACAGCACACGAGCGAGAAGGAGACAGAGTGTTTATGCGAAGCAAAATTCGTAAATACAATTCATGAATTGCTACCGAAGCTATACATGAAGTTGTTAAGAAATGTAAGTTGATTTTCTTTTCCTACTGGAACTCCACGGAAGATCGGAAATTGTAATTTGTCTTTGTCGCATAAGCTAAAGATACTTTTGATTTCATGTATCCACGAATTCACGAAATGCCACGCATAAACGCCGTAATAGCAAGGGATAGGGAGCGGAGCAGCAGGGCTGCGAGGATGAGCTACTGTACTGGATAGTTTGGGCCATCAATTAACTCGCCGACCGAGAACTGCATTGTGGCTCGTGTCTAGTGACCATATGTTGCACCGAGCCACCTTCGGTTGGGCCCTAACATATGGCCAAGGCGCATTCAGATGAGTAGTGGATGTCCTAAAAGTCCTGGAAAGGTAGAAACCACCGCAGACACACGACATTTGCCGTCTAGCCAGCAGTCGCATCAAACTATTAACTGGCATGGAACAAAAAATTAGAAACATTAAAAGGTATTAGAAACCGAGCCTGGAGATCCTTTAATAAAGACATGACCCAAAAAAACTTAATAGAATATAAAAAAATTAATGCCCAATACAGAAGAGAAATCCGATCCAGCAAAAGAGATAGCATGCAAACACTTACATCAAGTATATCACCAGAATCCAAACCCGAAAAGATTTGGAATAAAATCAGACAATTCTGTGGCGTTCACAAATTAACAAATATCCACTGTATACACGACAACCATGTAAATACATCAGCTACAAACGCAGTAGATATTGCTGCCATATTCGCTAGACATTGGTCATCTCTTTCCGATGACAGAAACTTCTCCCAGGAATTCTTAGATGCCAAACAGAAAGTTTACAGACAAAACAATAATGAACAGACACATAAGGCAGCTGATTTTATGGAAAAACAAATTGAATATCTAGAATTCTGCGTAGCTCTAAACAGCCTAAAAGGACACACCCCTGGGAATGACAAAATCACCTATGACATGATACAGCATACAGGGAAAGCGGTAAAAATAAGAATAATTAACTTTTTCAACTCTATACTAAAATCATTTATCCCCCAAGCTTTTAAAATCAGTACAATAGTCCCAATCCATAAACCTGGAAAAAACAAAACGACCATAGACGCATATAGACCAATTAGCCTCAACCCATGCATTTCTAAAACGCTTGACAAAATCATTTCCAAACGACTGTGGTGGTTTGTTACTTCTAACAAACTCCTTAACAGTCGTCAGGTAGGTTTTAGAAAGGGGAAATCTGTGTCAGACTGTCTACTATATGTAGACGCTCTAATCAACAGGGCCCTCTCTGAAAAACGACACTTGTCAGTAATATCTCTAGATTTCGAAAGGGCTTTTGAGAAGATAGGACTACACACAATACACAACCAACTTACTAAATGGGGCTGCGGGCCAACGATACTAAGCTACGTAACACAATTTATGACTAACCGGAAAATCAGAGTTAGAGTTAACCAAAAATACTCTTTAATTCACCCCCTACATAATGGAATCCCACAGGGATCTCCATTGTCTGTGATTCTATTCCTCATTGCCTTTAACAGCCTATCAGACACAATAAGCATGCACAAAAACATTAACTTCACTGCATACGCCGATGATTTCAACATAATTATTGACTTAAAAAAACAAAAGAATCCACAGATAAATGTTGACAATCTTTTCGAGGACATAAGGAACTGGTGTAACAAATCAGGAGCGTCTCTCTCCATTTCGAAATGCAAACATATACACGTATGCAGAAAGATAAACTGTAGCTGCCAAGTATCTACCCATCTCAACAGAATAGAGACAGTACAGGAACTTACAATATTAGGCCTATCATTTAACTCCAAATACAAATTTAACCCTCACATACAAAAACTTAAAAAATCCCTTACGAAGTCGACCAACATTATAAAATGCCTCTCAAATGAGAAATATAATTGCCAGCCACTGACGCTCATTGAAGTCGTTAGAAGTTTATGTATCTCAAAAATAGATTTTGGGCTTCCAATATACGGATTAGCACCGAAATCAACCACAAAACCAATACAAACCGTATTGAACAATGCGATCCGAGCAGCGTTAGGTGCCTTCTGTTCGACACCCACGTATAATCTGTACATTGAAGCAAACCTATCCCCGGTAGAAACCAGGATAAAACAGCTTCAAGCCAAACTTTCTCATACAATTATACACGCTAGGGACACTCCACTAAAACCAATAATAGATAAGATAACAAAAAAGAAAAACCGGAAATTTAGGAACTCAGCACTTCAAAAAATTATAGAGTTATGCAAAAAAGTTGACATTCCCATAAACCCAATAAAAATGCAAAAGATAAAAAAGCCTCCATGGCACCTAAAAGCGGATGCCATAGACACACGCTTAAGTCAACATCACAAATCAAACACAAACCATGCAATATTTAGACAAGAATTTCTGCAGACCAAATCTGAACTTAAAAACTACACATTTATATACACTGACGGATCACTTAACAACGACACAATTGCATACGCAATAACCACGGAAAACGAAATATTAAAACAGGCCATTCTCCCACCCTACTCATCTGTATTCACAGCAGAAATTGTTGCTATATTGGACGCCATTGAGATTGGACGGAAAATAAAAGGAAGAACGTGCATCTGCTCCGACTCCTTATCAGCAATTGACTCCATTCGAAACATTGACAATCCATCGTACCTCCCCTCGAAAATCAGAGGACTATTAAATGACTTGTATCCAAAAATAAAAATCTTGTGGGTTCCGAGCCACGTCGGAATCAAGGGCAATGAGTTCGCTGATGACATCGCAAAAAATGGAACAATCTCACCTTTGATCACATCTCCTAACATCAACCGCTCAGATATCAACAGATACATAAAATCAATCTTCTCTAACAGCCATCTCAATCTCCTACAGTACTCTTCTAGTTGGTACCAAACCATAAACAAAAACAACTACAGTATTAACGATTATTCAAAAAAACCAGACATTATCAAACTCCCCAGAAAAATTCAAACCAAAATTATTCGATTACGCCTCGGACACACTCGGCTTACACACAACTACAGACTATTGCAGGCCATAACCAATACCTGCCAATTCTGCGGCAACAACACAAAGTCAATAGAACATATTTTAAATGAATGTACAGCATTTCAAAATCACAGAACCTCTATTCCTAATTCAAACCTTACCCTGCTTCTCTCCAATCCTACAACGAGCAACCTCCTCAAACTTCACAATTTTCTTAAAAAAACAAACCTCCTACACCTCTTATAAAATAAAATCAATACTTAAGATAACATAAATTTAACCAAAAATCAAAACTTATACGTTAAGAGAAAAACTTTGAATTATAATATTTGTTAAAATAGAATAATAAGAATCAAACCTCATAGATTTTAAGAGAAAACTTTGAATGAAATCCCTAAATCCAGTCAGCCTAAAGCCTAAGTAGCTATGGCTGCCCCCCATCTGTTGCTTTAGTTTATAACTTTAAGCAAACAGAATGTAAATAAATAAATAAATATTAACTGGCAATGATCACATATCCTTTACAATTAAATATAAATGAGGAGTAGTAACACATTAAATAAAAGAAAAATACAGTCTGAACAAATGATGTTTTATTTTATATTTAGTTTATATCTCTGTTCTTTCTTTAAACTTTGTTTAATTCGTCCTTTTTTAAATTATTTGTAACTTTAATTAGTTATAAATAAATTCTTTTAATTTTAAACTTTAACTAGAGTTTTGTTGTCCTTTTTTGATATCCTTTACTTATAATTAAGATACTGTTTTTGATTATCCGCGATTTTTGAACGTTATTATTAACACAGCAAAGGAGTAAAGGAAGAACCTGTTTGCGCATGCACCGCTACTGGCTGGCAAGCATCCCACATCCTTGTTATCCTTGCTCCTACTCCCACTCCCTCTCACTCTCTCTCTCTCTCTCTCTCTCTCTTTGAGGCACTTGTTCGGGTCTCGTTTTGTTTTGTAGAGAAATGCGATACGAGAACGAAAAAGGACGACTTCGTGTTTTCAGCCACAGCAACAGGATTGAATATAACGGGAGGCCAGCAAGCGGAGTGTTATCATTTACAGCCAAGAGTTTGTCGCTTATAAACATTGTGCACTTTATCAGTGGATTCAGCAGTTAAGTCAGATCCAGAAGCTTAGAGTGCAGCGACGGAACCAGCCAAGGAGCCAAGGATTAACTGCAGCCAGCGTATACCCTTTCACCAACCCTCGCATGTGTCTGTATTTGGGAGTCGTGGAGCACCTGGTGGATGTGGTGGCCTACTGCATGTGCCGCGTCCTGGAGCTGTCCCTCTTCACCTGCATGATGGTCTGCGGATCCCTCAAGTCCAAGCTGACCCACGGACCGTCCAACGAGCTGGAGCAATGACCAGGCTACTATTACGAGAGTTGCTAAAGGATGCGACGGCCAAAAAGGATGCAGGAGTGTGCGTACGTGGGTGCTGGTGTTTGTATTGGTGTTTGTGTTCGACTAAAATTTAATATAAGCAAACTTTTCTAGTGGCGAATAAATTACGGCTTATACTATGTATATGTGTGTAAACGATTGTCTTTCTTTTCCTGCTGTTCTTGTTGTCCTGAAATTGAGCCATAATTCAAGATTGCCCACGGCAAGGATTTGCCCCTCCCGCTGTCGCCTTTGTTGTTGTTTACACATCCCCCTTTATTTGTTTGTGTTGCGGAGTCGTTTATCGTTCTTATTAGCCAGGAATAACGGAGGCGAAAAAAAGGGGGCTCAAAGGGGGTTCCGTGGGCCATTTGCATGATGATAAAGTATCGACTTGGGCTTACATGCCAGTACTACACACTGTACTACACACATGGCAATTGTGTGTTGCGGCCTTTGTTTCGGCGCCTGCAAATATGCTTCACTTCTGGCCAGACATTTTATTGCCACCATAGAGGGGACTCCTCCGCATCCTGCTTTGGCGCTCCTGTTCCTCTGGTATTTATGTAGTTGTTTACAGCCGCCGGCCTAGAGCATAAATTTATTCAAATTGTACGTGCAAATGGGAGGACATAACGTTTATTACAACACACACACAGACACACACCGCCCGCAGCAGGCACTTTGAATCTGACTTCCGGCTCTCACAAGTTTTTCATATTTTTGATAGCTCGATAACTAAATCCCACTAAATTTACGCCCCTCGCCCCACATCCCGGTCATGGAAAAACAAGCCATGCCGCTTTTCAACTTCAAGAAACTGGCAATTAGCAAAAAGCAGGAGGAAGATCCGGTTCATTCGGCATCGGTTGATAACAAGAAGGATTTCGATCATTTGCTCGATCAGCCGATTGTTTACGATTACATGAACTATCCTTCAAACAAGAAGAAGAACGCCAAGCTGAGCAAGTGCACAAAGGTCCAGAAGACCGTTTCCTTCAATGCGATGGTGGAGCTGGTGACCTTCACTGACAACTGGAAGATGAAGATTATAAAGGGCAAGTTGCGCACAGAAGAGGAACAGGTCTGGGTTTACTTAGTCTACTTTTTCTTATGCATTTTGGATATATTTTTTAAGCATAAATCATTTAATTTCCTATATTATTGGGCATTTCCCTCTTTCGCGGAAAACTTATATTCCAAATGCATTAGAGGGAGTATTTTTGGTATTGTATAATTCATAATTATTGACTATTCTTACGATCCCTTAGCACAAGTCCTCCATAAAGCGGCGTAACTTTTAAGGACTTTTGGGGAGAGTTGTTTAAATAACCTAAATTTATGTTGATTTTTGTTGTAACCAATTAATACAAGTTTTCAGTAAATTCGATTTTTATTAAATAAATTCAGCAGAAGATTTCAGGAAAAGAATTTAATGAGTTTTTAATAATTAATATTACCGATTGGAGTTAACCATAATTTTCATGTGCTAGAATTTAATCTATTGCAGTTACAGCTACTCGGACTTCTCAGAATGCTCGTCTCCACCCAATCCCGTACACTTCAACTGATTATTGATGTTACTAATCACATATTCATCGGAGTCCTTGCCTCCGAACTCAACCGTGCAAATGCCATCGTCCATGGTGCGCATCATCTGGTCCCACAGTTCGTTGGCGCAATGGCGGTGGCCCAGGTACTCCAAGAGGTCTACGATGGTGGATATGATGCCGTAGGCACTGAGATTCGAGTAGTTGGTCAACGATAGCTTCGTCTGCAGGGGCTTGAACACGGCGTGATTGTCACCCATCTCTACAGCGCTGAAGAGATTGGCACCGCCGCAGACTCCGCTGCAGATGGTCGCAAGGAAGGTGGCATAGCGATCACTGGCGAAAAGGCAGTCGAAATAGGAGGGGTTCGTGACTAGCCTGCTGATGCACTCCTCCACCTCCATTAGCTCTAGCTCCAGGCAGTCCTTATACTTGCAGTGGATCTCCTTGGCATCCTCCACCATGGCCCCGTCGTTTAGGGGCCACTCCTTGGCCTTGTTGACCAGTGTGACTCGCTTTCTTCCGGCATCCACTGCCGCCGCAAAAGCGTGCTCCAGGTACTTTCGGTTGCCCGCCTGGGTAACCACCGACAGGGCCTCCACTACGCCCTTTACCGGTGAGTACTCCAACTCCGAGTAGTTTCCCATGTTGTTCTGCCCAATCATTTGGATGTCAACGCACGGAAACCGGCACTTATATCCCGGAAAGCTCCGCGTCCGCGTCTTGAACACATACAGGTCCAGGTCATTACAGATCTTAAGGGCTCTCGCCTTGGACTTTTCATCCGCATTTATGTCCACATGAACGGCAGCCCTATTCCGGAGAACCGATTTGAAATACTCATCCTCCTCGCCAATGGGCTGCACCTCCACGGGCACCCGACTGCTCTGGAGCAGCGAGCTGACGAACTTGGCGCCCTGCTGGCCAATGATCGAGCTCCCTGTGTACAGGGTGACCATGTGGATGCCGCCGTAGTAAGGCTTGGGCAACACGTTGACGGGGTCCGTACGCACATGGCCCTTCAAGTAGGAGGAGCTCAGGCTGGCGCTCACCTCCGACTTTGAATAGTAACGACAACCACTGATCCTGGCCAGCTGCCTGCCGACTTTAGCACCTCGAAGCATTCTTATGGTCGGATTTAAGGTGTGAGTCCAAAAGGTGAGCCTACAAATATAAAGCAATCAATATACAAGGATGACAGCATAAGTTAAGCCTCCTTAGATTTATAAGTAAGAAAAACCAATTAATGCTAAATTATTAAACTTAAAACTGGAATTTTGTCCAACAAGGAGAGAGTATTTTGTAATTGTATTCATTGTAAGTCTTGGAAATTATTAAATATTGCTATCCCAAAGCTATATATTTTAAAATTGATTCTAAACAAATATGCATGTCTTTATTTTTACAAAATTTCCATCTTTATTTTTGCCGAGATTAATAGATCTTTTCCCACCCGTGACTTTTGACTCATTCTTATTCCCTGCCGAATCCTGTCCAGACCTACATATCGTAGCAGAGAGACTTGTTGGTACACGGACAGCCATCGATGCCGTATTTTCCGATGGGAATCTCCGTCTGAGTCTCCTTGTGTTGCGGTCCGGGCAGGTTCCAGGCCGAAGCACCGGAGAGGTACCGGTCTGGTAGATAGTAAATGGGGTACTCCTGCCGCAGACGCTCATGGTCCTCCTTCAGGCGCTGGGCCAATTCCGGAGCTGCTCGCCGAGCCTCCAGGCGATACTGCTTCGGCTTCACCATTCGAATGGGTGGGACCAGCTGCACCTTCCAGGGCGGAAGATAGGACATAAGCTCCTGGTCCATTTTCTGGTTCTGTTCCGCCTTGATCCTGGCACAATGTGAGCACTTGCACTTGCCACCATGGTAGCAGTACCGCTTCCGTCCATCCTCGTCCACCATTAACAGCGGCACGCAGACGGGCGCATAATCAGGCTGCGCCTCCGTTTGCGTTGCCTGTGACTCCTGGGAGGGATCGGAAAACATTGTGAGGTCCGGGTCTGGGGTTTTTATTAGAGCCGAGTACTTATGATTTGGATTAAATGCTGACCTAAACTGAGTCAGGAGATCAAAGATAGCAGCAGCAGCAAAGGCAAGGATTGCTAGGGGTCGTAAAACGATAAATATAAATATTTAACATCATTCTCAGTTGAATAAGTAAAGATATTGATACATTTTATAATCATTTCCAGGCATTCATATTTTTTTATTTTATTCTAAAATACCACAAGTTCAATTGTTTTTAGGAAATTAAGAATACCTAGATCTCTTTACATGGCAATAGAGCCGCCTTCACTCAGTGCTAAGTGTAGACCTGCGAGGAAGGAGCTCTATCGCCAGGCAGAATCCCCATATCTATTACAAGCCTTGTTCATAGTTTTATTTTGTATTTTCTTCATGCTCTTGGCGCCCGAGCAGTAGATATTATGAGAACAAGGCTCCCAGTTGGGACAAACAGCGGGAGCCCTCGAACATCTCTCCCCGGCCTTCATCCGAAGATAGTAGTCCCTAAGCTGCCGCTGACGCACTTCGGCAAAGAACTCCCGCATTTGCGGAGAGTCTGGAATGCTAGGTGAGTCTACTCTGGCCCCTGAGGAGCAGGTATTTACTGGAACGGTTTTAGTAGCCTTAATCTTCTTTGACAATTTCTTCCCGGTGCTTCGGCGTATGCTTCTCTTCTTGGCCTTCAGTGGCAAACTCATTTCCGATGCCATGGGTGAGATTTTTGGCCTGGGGCTCTTCGCCCAGGAACACGACATTGCCACCACGCCGCGTCGTTCCGATTCCTCGGTGTATTTCTGGACGTATGTGTTGGCCCTGTTCAGGGACCCGGTCACGTACAGTAAGTACCATTTCACAGGCGTCATCATCATGCTAAAGGTTAAGCTTAAATTTGTTTAAAACTATAAATTTTGACAAAGAATCCCCAGACTCTTTCGAGCAAATTAAGAGGTTTCTCTCACCAGCCAAGCCTCATTATCACCGTATTTGGGGTTCTCTTAATAAAGAGGGATGGGGTTGGGGTTCGCTCTTCTCGGACAGAGCATGACCACCCGAGCGTATAAAGTGCCTTATCACCGCCCGCTATTGTTTATTCTTTATCCGCCATTCAAGCAGTACGGATCGCGTAGAAAAAAAAAAACTAATTTACTATATACTATACATGGCAATGTCATTTATCGAGGAGGAGAACCAGTGGCTGCGCTCTACGATTCTGCCAAAGATTCTGAAAAGCGGACGCTTGGTGGACAACTACAGCGATGCAAAGGCGGACACCTTCCAGGTCGGAGACATCGAAATCGATGTGATAGGACCTGCTGAGGCCTTTATGCTGACGACGTGCTACAGGACAACGATTAACTTTGAGTACGATGGCGAAAAATTACAGCGGAAGATGGTGGTTAAGGTATAATTTATTACAAATTTATTTTGTCGAATTTAAGAGCTACAAAAGATACAAAAGTAGCTTGCATATTATATCGTGTGCGTTTGCGAGAAAAAAGCACACATAAAAACATCTCGAATTGTGAAATAGTTGAGAGATAATTAATTTTTATTAGCTTTTTATAAAAATCATTGTCCAAAACCACTTGCCAGATAAGAAGGCAAACCTATTACTAAAGTGTTTATTGTTCTTTTGAAACGCAAGTGACTTGTAATGAATGAAATACATTTCGTATTTCTAGAAAACACCGAAGGTTCCGCCGGAGGTGTTTGACTCCATTCAGTTTGGACCGCTCTTCAGCAACGAAATCAACTTCTACACGAAAATTCTTCCAGAGATCCAGAAGGTGGCTGCTGGAACGTTCGCGGCTCCCAAGTATTACTACAGCGAGCTGAACAAGCATTCTGCGGTGGCCATTCTGGAGGACTTCGCCGAGCGGGACTGGCGGGTGACCAAGGATCGGGTGGGTCTGAGCTTGGAACACGCCATGATTGCGGTGGAGTACTTGGGCAAGTTCCATGGCTTCGCCTACGCCATAAAGCACAAGAATCCGGACCAGTTCACCCAGCTTACCAGCGAGCTGAAAGAATCGCGGTACGCCAACGATGAGATTCATCACGACTGGAACCTCACCTTGAAGACCAGCCTCAAGCGGGCGGCCAAAGCTGTGGCCACCTATCAGCCCAAAATCGAAGAGGAGTTCGTGAAGAAGTTATTCTTCCTAATCTCGGATTACAAATCGTATGGTAAGCAAAGAGTGGCGCCCAAAGAGCCTCTGGCGACTCTCTGCCACGGGGATTATGTGAGGAACAATGTGGCCTATAAGTACAATGGCGGTGAGGAACCGCAGGAGATTATGATGTTCGACTACCAAACACTGCGAGTGTCCTCACCCATGATCGATCTGGCTGTCTTCCTGGCCGTATCCCTTTATGCCGACGTCCGATATAAGAAATTTGATGCCATTTTCGAGAGATATTGCTTCGCACTTTATGGCAGCTATACAAAGCACACCAAGGACACCACGATTCCAGATTTTATGAGGTTATTATTTAATTACAATTTATCCTATAGATCAACTGACATAATTTATTTAAATATCTTACAGTCATGCGGAGCTGTTGAAGGAGTACGTGCGATTCCTGCCTTATAGTGTGTCCATTACAGCCAGCTTCCTTATGAGCTTGGTTGAGCCAATGGACATGTCGCCCGAGGAAATGTTCAGCCTGCAGGTTACGGATGAGGAGATCATCGAGCGGGTGATGACCAAGGGCGGAGAAGTGGTGGATCGAGAGGTTGCGCACCAGATTAAGGAGATGCTGGAGCTAAGCCAAAGGTGTGGGGTCTCTATAGACGATGGCATTGATGTCGATAAGCTGCCGAAAGTGTAATATACTTTCTAATGTATAATTAATTGCTTGTCTATCTATGAGCTTTAAAATGTAATTCAATTCTAAACAATACTTCAATTTTAAATAAACACTATGTCATTCCAGTTTAATTTAGATGACCCTGAACATGATGTAATAATAATAAAACAAATGCTAAGAGCATAGATTAGTACCTACAAAAATCTTAACTCTCTTATTCATCCGAGAACATTCGGTGACGCTCTTTAACGATTTGTCTAATCTTCGAAAGAGCAAGACCAGCAGAGCGCACAAAAAGCACTATCGCCTCTTGCCGCTGCTCATTCAATTGCCGAAAGCAAGCCAGTTTGGATCGCAAATAAAATTAAGCACACGCCATGTCGCAAATAGAGGAGGAAACCCAGTGGCTGCGCTCTACGATTCTCCCAAAGATTCTAAAAAGCGCACGCTTGGTGGACAACTACAGCGATGCAAAGACGGATTCCTTTCAAGTGGGAGACATCAAGATCGATGTGATAGGACATGCAGAGGCCTTTATGCTGACCTTCTGCTACAGGACCAGCATCACCTTCGACTACGACGGGGAGAAGTACCAGCGGAAAATGGTCGTTAAGGTAGAGTAACTGAAAAGTCGCCAAACCGAGATAATGAATGGAGGTGTGGCACGGATGTAGATGGGTTACTTTCAGCTCAATAAGCCAGTCACGGAATAAACAAATATAAATCTTGCTATACGTAGCGTAGAACCCTATTAATAATACCCCATAATACGTGTACATTTGCAAGTCCCCGTAGACAGTCGCTTGCGGATAAAATATCAGCGTTGTTTTCCAGACAAAAAGCAGATAAGAGCGGCACGACACGCTCAGGGGGTTCATTGGATTTTCAACAAACATTGTGAAATAGGCAGTGAAATTGAATGTTTGCAGGTTTCTGTTGGGTCTGCCTAATCACGCTAGTATTATAGCAATTATTATTTGCTGATAAGGTACCCCATACTATTAATGATTACTAAACAAAAACAATACTTAATAATGAAATAATTCCCACTGTCTTACAGAAAACACCAAATGTGCCTCCAGATGTTTATGAAAGCGTTCAGTTCGGACCGCTCTTCAGCAATGAGATCGAATTCTACACGAAAATTCTGCCAGAAATTCAAAAGGTTACTGGTGGAACGTTTCCGGCTCCCAAGTATTATTACAGCGAGCTGAATCAGAACTCGGCGGTGCTCATTCTGGAGGACTTTGCCGAGCGAGGATGGCGGGTGACCAAGGATCGAGTGGGCCTAAGCCTGGATCACGCCATGGTTGCAGTGGAGTATCTGGGCCAGTTCCATGGCTTCACCTACGCCATAAAGCACAAGAATCCGGGGAAGTTTGCCCAGCTTACCAGTGGGTTGAAGGAGTCACGCTACGAGAGCGATGTGGTTCACCCGGAGTGGGATCTTACCAATCAAACGAGCTTTAAGCGTGCGACCAAGGCGGTGGAGACCTACCAGCCGCAGATCGACGGAAAGTTTGTAAGACACTTGTTCTTTCTGATCGCGGACTACAATTTGTATGGCAGGCAGAGGGTGGCGCCAAGAGAGCCAATGTGCACACTCTGCCACGGGGATTATGTGAGGAATAATGTGGCTTACAAGTACATTGACCAGGACGAACAGGAGCCGCGGGAGATCATGATGTTCGACTACCAAACTCTGCGGGTGTCCTCGCCCATGATCGATCTCTCATCCTTCCTGGCCATATCTGTTTATGCTGATGTGCGGTATCCCAACTTTGATGCCATCTTCGAAAGATACTGCTCTTCATTGCATACCAGCTACTTGAAGCACTCAAAGGATTCTGAGATCCCAGTCTTCATGAGGTGAGCAAACACCAAAGAAAAAGGGAAATAATATTAATATTTGCAATGCTCTTAGTCAAGAGGAGCTCTTGAAGGAGTACGTAAGGTTCCTGCCTTTCGGCCTCTTCATCACAGCCACTTTCCTCATGAGCCTGGTGGAGCCCTTGGACATGTCGCAGGATGAGATGTTTGCCCTGCAGCTGACGGATGAGGAGATCGTCGAACGCTCCATGAAACAGGGTGGTGAAATAGTGGATCGGGAGGTTGCCCATCAGGTTAAGGAGATCTTGGAGCTTAGCCAAAGGTGTGGTGTATCTATAGACGATGGCATTGATTTGGATAAGTTGCCAAGTGTCTTTCCTATGAATTAACTAACTTTCGAAGGAACTATTTAAAAGAAAAATAAAAAAAAGAAGTATTATTCTGATTTCTTAAAAAATAAGATAAATTACTCATAGCTTCCAAACTCCTTTTGTATTCATCCACAAATTTGAATCTCCGCTTCTTCTTTGTTGTTCTCTTAAAGCCGAAAAGAGCATTGAGCTAGCCTACAAAAGCAGCTCACAGCGCTCAAGACTGTTTATTTATTAGCTGGAAGCCAAACAGCAAATCGAAGAGAGTGTTCAAAATATATTTATTGCTCTCTCTCGCTATTAACAACAAGTGCTGACTCTGCTCTTCGATTTTCCTTATCTGAGAGCGTGACTTGCCTAGCAGAGCCTACAAAATGAGCTGACGACATCCGAGCATTTTCACTAAACTGTTTGAAGCCAACCAGTACGGACACCATATCGACACCATGTCACAGATCGAGGAGGAGACCCAGTGGCTGCGCTCAACGATTCTGCCAAAGATTCTGAAAAGCGGACGCTTGGTGGACAACTACAGCGATGCAAAGACGGACACCTTCCAGGTGGGAGACATCGAAATCGATGTGATTGGACATGCGGAGGCCTTTATGCTGACGACGTGCTACAGGACAACGATTAACTTTGAGTACGACGGGGCGAAGTTCCAGCGGAAGATGGTCGTTAAGGTAGAGTAACTTCAAAGTCATAAATAAAATGAAGAATGGAAGGTCAAGGCGTGGGAAACGTAAAGGAATATGCTGCAACGTTTTAGAAATAGCTAAAATATACTCGAAATACGTATCAAGTGTTGATAAGACAGTCCTATCAGTCGTATAATAGATCAAAGATAAGGTTTTATAATCAAGCAGATTACAAAATTAACAAATAATAATGAATATTAGTTTTAAATCCCCAAACGTAAGCAGTTAAGTGAATATTATGGCTTTTTCCCAGAAAACACCCCAGCTGCCGCCACCCATCTATGAATCCATCCAGTTCGGAGCGCTCTTCAGCAATGAGATTAACTTCTATACACAAATTCTGCCAGAGATCCAAGGATTGGCTGGCGGCAAATTCGCCGCACCCAAGTATTACTACAGTGAACTGAATCAGTATTCGGCGGTGGTCATCCTGGAGAACTTCGCGGAGCAAGGCTGGCGGGTAACCAAGGATCGGGTGGGTCTAAGCCTGGAACACGCTCTGAAAGCCGTGAATTACCTGGGAAAGTTCCATGGTTTCGCCTACGCCTTGAAGCACAAGTATCCAGAGCGTTTCGCCCAGCTGACCAGCGGTCTAAGGGAATCCCGCTATGCCAGCGATGAGGTGCATCCAGATTGGAAGCTGACCGGCGAGACGGGTATCAAGCGAGCAGCCAAGGCGGTGGCCACCTATCAGCCCCAGATCGATGAGGAGTTTGTGAAGAAGTTCAGCGTTTTGATCGCGGACAGCACGCAGTATGGCAGGCAACGAGTGGCGCCAAGGGAACCTCTAGCTACGCTTTGCCACGGGGATTATGTGAGGAACAATGTGGCCTACAAGTACAATGACGGGGAGGAGCCGGAGGAGATTATGATGTTTGACTACCAGACGCTGCGCGTGTCCTCGCCCATGATCGATCTGTCGGTATTCCTGGCCATATCCGTTTATGCCGATGTGCGGTATGCCAATTTTGATGCCATCTTCGATGAATATTGCTCGGCTTTGTATGGCAGCTACAAAAATCACACAAAAGAAGAGGTTCCGGAGTCCATGAGGTTAGTCTGAAAATGTGTGCGTAATTATTGTATTTAAATATATCCCATTCATTGTCTTACAGCCGGGCGGAGCTCCTGAAGGAGTACGTGCGTTTTCTGCCGTACAGTGTGTCCATCACGGCCTTCTTCCTCATGACCCTAGTTGATCCTATGGACATTTCGCCGCAGGAGATGTTTGCCACGCAGTTTACCCCAGAGGAGATTATAGAGCGCACGATGACCCAGGGCGGCGAAGTGGTGGATCGGGAAGTGGCCCACCAGATTAAGGAAATGCTGGAGTTGAGCCAAAAATGTGGGGTCTCCATAGACGATGGCATTGATGTCGAGAAGTTGGCCAAGGCGTGAAAAGTAGATAAGAAATAAACATTTCTTTGCTTCGGTGCTTAACAATGACTAAAAATCGATTGTAATCATTACGGCCCATTTTAATAGGTAGCTGTAGGAAGCGTATTTTCGGTTGTTAAATCTTATCTGTTCGATTATTTGGGAATTTTGTTATCAGCTTTGTTTTTGTTTTGATTTGGAACAGCTGATTGCGGCAGGACTGCCAACCCGTGTTAGTTTTGAGCCACACATGTAAGACGCTCCAACCCAGTGTTGTAAAAGGATCGGGCATAAAATAAAAATAAAAACCGAAAATGTTTCAACCTTCCCGGCAGCAAATCCTGCTCCTGTACAAACATTTAATTCGGTACGGAAACCACTTAAAGCTGACCGACAAGAACTACTTCCTGGGTCGAGTACGCCACGAGTTCCGGGACAACCGAGCCCTCACAAATCCGGTGGAAATAGAGTTTAGTTTTAAGGTAAATATCAGCTAACTATTTCATAACACCTGTTTAATTCGGAGATATTTCCTCATGTTTAGAGAGGAGAAACCCTGCTGAAGAAGGGACGCATTCTGTAGGAATGCTGCGGGGTCTGGTGCGTCTCCTGGCGCTTCCTCCGCCTGCCGCGCGCTACAAATCCACTGCCAATCTGGACTACTCCCGCTATCCGACCCTTCAGGAATCCGAGATCGAAGAGACTTTTACGCGGGGCAGTGGTCCTGGTGGCCAAGCGGTCAACAAGACCTCAAACTGCGTGTTCCTGCGCCATCTGCCCACCAACATCACCATCAAATGTCACACCCATCGACTGGCCTCCAAAAACCGCGTGGAGGCCAGGAAGTTGCTGCTGGAAAAACTGGACGCACATATAAATGGAGAGCATTCGATAGCGGCGCAGATCAAGGCCCAGGAACAGAGGAAATCCACAGAGCGGCGTCGTAGGCAGGGAAAACTGCAGGAGATGAAGAAAAGCTGGCAGGAAAGGGAGCGCCCGGATGGAGGAACAGAAGGCAAGAATAAATAGAAAATATACCGAACTTTTATACGATCTAACATATATTTTGGAGAACATTTACCAACTGGAAAAATTGCCAAAGCCACCGCCCAGTTTCTTTTTCTTGGCTGCTTGTGCGCCGGTAAGTGGAGTCTCAGGCTTTTTGGCTGCCGCTTGGAGTTTCAGGTACTTGCCCACACCTTCTCTGTAGACTTTGAGGGGCTCTTTCATTCGTTTATGTTGCTCCTCCTTCTTCACCGTCTCCTCCTTGCTGGCAGCCTCCTCCTCGCGCTCCTTGGCCAGCTGCTCAACGGCCTCGGCAAAGGGATTGACAAATACCTGGGAGTTCTCTATGATTATATCCTCAATTGGTCTGTCCTTGTTGTCCACCTCGATATTCTCCATTTTCTGCAAGGTTTCTAGGCCGCCAACGAGCTTGCCGAAGATTGTATGCTTGCCATCAAGATGCTTGCAGGAGCGGTATGTGATGAAGCTACCAAAATTAAGAGGGAAATGAGTAGTTTGGAGTACCTTAATTAGGGGCAAAGGACTTACAACTGAGAGCCATTGGTGTTGGGTCCTGAATTAGCCATGGAGAGCACGCCGCGACCCGTGTGCGTGAGATTGGGCTTGAACTCGTCCTCGAACTTCTTGCCCCAAATGGATTCACCGCCTGAACCGCTGCCAGTGGGATCGCCACCTTGTACCTGCAACCAGAAACTTAATATCTCTCAGCACTCCTTCACAGCCCTTGCATACTTACAATGAAGTTTCTGATAGATCGATGAAACATTACGTTGTTGTAGTAGCCATTGGCACAGTGCTTGATAAAGTTGTCGCAGGCTCGTGGCGTTTGATCGCAAAAGAGCTCCAGGTTCAGAGGGCCGAAATTCGTGTTTAGCCGAACGTAGCCCTTCTTCTTGACCCTCTCATACTTGACCAGATCGTCGTCTATTATGGCTGCCTCTATCTGGGACACGGGCACCATGGCAGTGGACGTGAAGCTAGCGGCCACAGCTCCTGTGGAATAGTGAGCGGCATTGAACTTGTCCGCTGTACGCTTGGACGTAGATGGCTCCTCCTCCGCCGGCTGGTAGTCCTTTTGCAGCTGAGCCAGCGTTTCCTTGGTCTCCAGATTCATCGTCTTGATACGCGTGCTAGCCGGATCCTTCCGCTCTAGCTGTTCCTCCTCCGTAAGCACCCTTAGGTTCTTCTTGATGTGATGAAAGGTAGAGATGTCGTACTTTTCCAGCTTCTGAGGATCCTGTATGGTGATGATGTCCTTGCGCTGAAAGGGCGTGTCGTCTACCAGATCCTTCCAGTTTTTGGTCTTGATATTGAGCTGATCGATGGCCTCCCAGCAGTAGACATTGCCTGTGGTGGCCACCGCCACGATGTGCGAGTTCTTGCTGAAGGGCTTAAACAGAGCCGGGCAGTGGTACTCGTCGTTGGCATTCCTATAGAAGTTCAGCTTCACGAGGGACTTTGAGTCCATCTTCTGGCCGGTGATGGGATTGATCTTGAAGGTCTTCAGGAAGTTCAGAATGGCCTCATACTCGAAGACATTGCCCTGCAGATCGCAGTAGGGCATCTCAAAGGGCGCCATCGTGATGCAGCAGTGCTCGAAGGGCAGCCGCTTGAACTTGACATGGTTGTTTTCCGCAGACTCGGTCTTTTTCCCTCCATAAAACTCACTCCACTCCGTGTACGTAAGGTACCTGGAAACGAAGGGGGTTTATAATGGGATGTTGCGTTTTTGGGACTTGGGAAACTTGCATTTTATCCTTCTGGTGCTGTCTTTTACCCATCTTGGCTGTCTTTTGTTAAAAATGGATGAATTTAACGAATCAAGAGGAGATCCCAAAACTTTGTTTACAAAAATTGCAATGGAACTGCCAACTCGTGCGCAGATCATCGATTGCACTCGAACACTAGACATCAAAGTGTTGCATTTTGTTAAACGTTTAAAATTCTAAACATAAGCACCAATTAATTAGTTAATATATTTATATTGCTTAATTTATTATACCTTACAAATCAGTTTATTGGTATTAAATAAAGTAAATCTAGTGTTTTATATTCAAACTTTTATGATTTGCTAAAGAAATATAAATATTGTACAGCATAGGAAACCAACCCGAGGTTTAAATAATATAATAGCTCTTCAAATATAATATTATAACTTATTTAGGGGTAACTGGAATTATGAATGCAGTGACTTGCAAAATTGCACGATAATTAAAAAAATACCAAATCATAGAAAAGAACTAGACCTTGTTGCACAGTGCTATTGAACCACACGAACAGCTGTTCTGCAGGGCGCTGCAGCCCTGGTTCGGGAGGTTCAGTAAAATCAAACAACAAAGGCGAGCGAAGAATTTTCCAACGTATAATATACGACGATAAAAATAGGCAGCACGGTTGACCTTGGGCGCGATGTCTAGCCCCCACATTAACTACCGCTCGCTGGACGAGGAGATGGCCAGTCCCTTCCAGGAGCAGCGTCGCCCGCCCGTCACAGTCATCACAACAACAGAAAAAGCGAAAGACGCAAAAACGCAGGCAGCTGCTGCGCATTTAGACCCCCTCGACGACCATGGGTTGGAGCAGGCGCTGGAGGAGCCCGACACGGAACACGAGGCCGAGGACACGCCCCGGAACAGTGGCGTTATGATACACATGGTCCCAGAGACGGGACGGGCGCGATGGAACCACATCGAAGACCTTGACTCGTTCTTCTCGCGGATGTACCAGTACCAGCAGAAGCATGGCTTCCAAGTGATAGTGCTGGACGAGGTGCTGCAGGTTCTAGAGTTCGGATTTGTCGTCTGGCTGCTGGTCTTCGTGACGCACTTCGTCCGCTACGACGAGCTCTTCGGCGATGTGCCGCACAACGGAACAAAGACCACGCTCTCTGACGTGATCTATCCCACGTCGGAGTGGGGAAAACGCGTTGGATTTTTCACCTACCTGATTGTGTTCATTGCCGCCATCTACCTGGGCATTCGCCTGCTAAAGATGGTGTATCACATCACCCAGTTCGCGGACATCCGGCGCTTTTACAACTCGGCGCTGCACATCGAGGACTCCGAGCTGGACAACTTCACATGGCATGATGTGCAGCAGCGCATCCGACGTGTACAGGCTGAGCAGCACATGTGCATCGACAAGGAGTCGCTCACCGAGCTGGACATCTATCATCGTGTGCTGCGCTTCAAGAACTACCTGGTGGCGCTGATGAACAAGCAGCTACTGCCCGTTCGATTTCACCTGCCACTGATCGGGGAGGTGGTCTCCCTCAGCCGTGGTATGCTGTTCAACATAGACTTTATCCTGTTCCGTGGACCGGGATCGCCCTTCCAGAACAACTGGCAGCTCAGGGATGAGTTTGCGGTGAGGAGCAATCAAACTGAGCTGGCCCAGCGCCTGTCCAAGCTGATCCTGGGCGTGGCGCTGCTTAACCTTCTGCTAGCTCCTGTCATTTTTGTGTGGCAACTCATCTACTTTAGTTTCTCCTATGCCAATATCCTGCGCAAGGAGCCCGGCGCCTTGGGACTACGCACATGGTCCAACTACGGACGCCTATACCTTCGGCACTTCAACGAGCTGGATCACGAATTGGATGCGCGGTTGAACCGGGCCTACGAGTACGCTGACCGCTACCTCAACTCCTTCTCTTCGCCGCTGCTCGCTGTGATAGCCAGAAACCTGCTCTTTATCAGCGGAGGCTTGCTTCTGTTCCTCCTGGTGCTGACTATGTACTCCATTCACGTCGCGGAGGTGGAGCACGTGGTTACTATCATGGCTGTGCTCACCACAGTGGGCGTGATTGCCAGGACTCTCGTTCCCGATGAGAACCTCATTTGGTGCCCCGAACAGCTGATGACCGCCATCTTAGCGCATGTTCACTACCTGCCCTCGGAGTGGCGACAGCAGGCACACACAGCTCGCGTTCGTCAGGAGTTCGGCCACTTCTTTCAGTTCAAGGCCGGCTACCTGCTCAGCGAAGTCTTCAGCCCGTTTGTCACACCCTTTGTGCTGATCTTTGTGTTCCGGCCCAAGGCCATGGAGTTGGTACGCTTCTTCCGCACCTTTACCGTCTCCGTGCGCGGCGTGGGCAACGTCTGTTCCTTCGCCCAGATGGATGTGCGCAAGCACGGTAATCCCGACTGGCAGCTGGCAAGCGAGCTGGATGAAATGACCCGCCCAGGGACCCAGCAACCGCACCACCAGCAGCAGCAACAGGATCCACAGCAGCGGAGTTTGGCCGGCGGCAAGACGGAGATGTCGCTGCTGCGCTTCACTCTTAACAATCCGGAGTGGCAGATGCCCAAGGAGGCCAAGCAGTTCCTGCGCGGGGTCCGAGAGCATGCCGTAGGTGAGTTGGTGCAGGCCAAGACCTCGACGGTGCAGGAGAACCCGCTGACCAACAGCCTCGTCTCGTTCGGCACCATCGGCGAGGAGTACTGCTCCCTGGCCAATTCGGTGCTGGCCGCCCAACTTACGCCGCACCAGCTGGAGATCTCGCAGTCCCTGCGCCCGGGCATGGCACCAGGACAGAGTCGTGGTCCTACTTCAGGGGGATTCCCAGTCGCCGGCAGCGATTTCCGCCAGATGCTGCAGCAAAACCTGTCCGCCAGCATGGGACCCACGGACAGCATGCGTCACTTGGGACTCAGCCGTGCCGAGGGACGCGTGGAGGGTCCTGGAGAGACCCTGCTTTACGGACTCTGCGGCATGGAGCCTCGCGTTGGACGGACTCCGCTGAACGTGGGCGTGGCCGATATGTGCCTGAGCGCTCTCTACCTGCACGAGCTGAGCCAGCAGAGGCGACAGGCGCGCCAGTCGCGCATCGACGAGGCAGAGGACGAGCGTCCTGGGCCAAGCAACTGGCCGCCAAGGCCACCGCCGGCTGCTCCGCCGGCCACTGCCGGCTCCCGCCATACCGTGATCACCTCAAAGGCTGCCGAGAGCACGCCGCTGCTGGGTAGCATCCGCTCATAGCAGCGGCCAGAGTGGATCTAACCACTTGTAGAGCTAAGGACCACCCCCCATTTCTGCTATTAGTGATTAACCTTTAATTAAGTTTTAAAGTGTGAACGAACGAGCGAGCGAGCGAACGACGTCGTCTAGTGCGTAGCTAAACTAATGTCAAACTAAGCTAAACTAAACGAGAAGCAATAAACATAACTGCATTATCAAAAATAAAGGGTTTCTTTTATATTAATACTATTCCAGGGGTCTGTTCTTATAATAATTATACACTTTTAAGTAAAATAACTGACAATAAATTTTCATAATCAAGTAATGCGTTAAGTCTGCTTAGGGGCTTTCTTAAATAAATTATTTCTTTGTATTAAACTTACCGTGGGAATATAGATTTAGGTATAACCATAAAGGTTAAGCCCCCAAATATGTCAAAACCCCAGCTAGCAATAGATAACACTCTCCTTTGTCAGGATAACATACCTAAAGCCTATTGCCTTTTATCCAGATCTCACTTCTCATCGGGCTGTGGGAATCCTGTGCCTTTACATCTCCTGGGGCTCTGATGTATGGCCTCCATTTGCCGGCATTGTTGGCACACCACATCCACCAGCCACTAGCTGGAACCGAGATCAAGATGCAGCGAGAGAGAGAGAGAAAGACGCATCGCATCCAGCTGTGCTGCAGCGCCTCGTGTGTCACTTGCCACACACGAACGCCATTTGGCGATTGGTGTTGATGGCATATGCAGCGAGCAGAGAGTGGACACCGGAGAACTCAGATCGAAGGAGTGAAGTGTGGTGGCCAAGTGCGTGCCTATGAATCTCCCCTGGCCAGGCCAGACACAGATATACAGATACCGCCAATCCCCGCCAGCTGCAGCGGCTGCAATGGTTGTGGCAACATTTATGAATTATGTGCGTGCTGCATGGAGCTAAAGCTGGAGCTGTAGTTGGAATCTCTCTGACTGGATCGCTGGAGAGACTCTTGGATCACGTTGTCTCATTTTTCCGCTGCACGCCAATTTTGGGGGGAGCATTGGCCAACAGTACACGAATGTACGAACGGCAGGCCGGCGGCCACTTGCCCGTTTTGGATCCATCCTCCGACTCGGACTCTGAATCCGACTCCAGCTCCGATGGACGATGGAGGATGGAGATGCAGTTGCAGTTGCATGTAGTACTAATTGTAGAGCTTGTGTTATCCGATCCTGCACAGGGAAAAAATTATAAATAATTATGTTGTTTAGATTTTATAACTTTAAAAGTTTTAAACTTTGAAGTTTAGATTCAGGTTTAATTTTAAAATGAGACAGATTCTTTAATAAAGTCTCAATTAGAAGATTAAGAAGTAAAATATCTTGATTTCTTTATCCCAAAATGAAGTGGTTATTCCTTTTTTTGGCCATATTTTTCCTTTCGTGTAAATGATATGGAGTGGAGTGAGGTGACGCGTCGCTTATGGCTCAAATGGAAACATTTCGCGAGCCTTGTCAAACAATCGAATTTAATTTATGATTTCCTGCGCCAATCGAGTAATGACACTGCATGTGGTAGACCTCGGCGGACCCCGAAACTCTGGATATCTCGTGATCACTCGATACGCAATTTGGTCACAGCAGGGCCCGAAAATCGTAGCTTTGGCTGCGAATTGGAAAGGCCCAGAGAGGGAATGGGAATGGGAATGGATTGGATTGGATTGGAATGGACATGAACGTGAACGTGGACGGGAGCCACTTGCATATGCGGCTGTCTGGGATTCTGATGGCTGTGGACCACCGCGTCGCGATCGCGGCGGCAGTAGAACCAGTTCAAGATCAGGCGTCACTTTGCGGCGCTGAGTGCCGCTGACAGTTGGATAAGGTTCGAGTTCGAGTCGCCAAGCTGTAAGACTCAGTTCCCTGAGACTCCAGATCGCAGCTGCCATTCCGCAA